TAACGCGATGACGGAACAATACTATCAATATTGTATTCTTTGATAGTATTGTACCGTCATCTCGTAAAGTACCTACTATCGCTCACTGCTGGTCTCGGTAGTAACTAAGATGAACCTGGTTAGATAAAAAAGAGGACTTTTGAGCTTCTATCCACTTCTGTATTTTTTGCTGTAAACACTAGAGTAGTCACTACACACACACACACACACACACACACACCACAACAACATGAGAGATACACGAGTAATATAAGAGAATAAAAATTTCAACACATCTAAGTGTGATAAAAGTCGCTTGTGTGGCAGTTATCTGCGCCCCATATTTTTAAGTATCATTTTTCCGCTAGATGGCATTAACTATTCTACCGCAATGCATATACAAATACACTTTGAACCGCTTGGAGTTCCCTTCAGTCCTCTTAGTGAGCACGTACAGGAACCATGTTTCGCGATGACGTCATTTACGTATCTTTGTTACTTTCCTGTGTAGCTTTCGGAGTTGTCTATCGAAAGTTTAAAAATCCTCACGAGAGACAATGGATCAGTACAAGTTTTGGCTTGATTTTAATTATACTTGTTTCTGGAACTCATGTGATGCACCCCCTCATCTGCCTGTTAATTAATGCGGTCATCGTGACCAGGCTTTCTTGGAAGTACGACACAATCGATCTATTTCGTAGTCATAAGAATAGCAATATAAGACATTTTCGTCTATTAAATATTAATTGAATACATATTAAAAAAAGACAAGAAATTTTAGTATTAACATACGAAGTGTTAAAATATTCTGGTTTTTCTTCTCTCAATCCAAAATTTATATAACACAAAGTATTTCAGCGAGTTAAGCATAAAATCATGCATATTTCGTATTCTTTTTTTATTTATTAATGCAATTACAGAGTCCAAAGTTCCAAATGAAAATTCATGTAATCGTGCATACTGCACCTACTTTTTTTTTTTTTTTTTTTTAACAATATTATTTCCGAGTTCGAAATTCCAAATTACTTTTTTTTTTCTTTTTTTTTCTTTTTTTTCTTTTTTTCAGAAAATTAATTGGAATAATAATGCTCTATTATGATAAATGTTCTCAACTAAAACTTAATAATATGTGAACGAATATCTAGTATTTATTTAAATAGCATGATATTGTAATTTGGTTCCTACTACATAAATAAAAAAAAATTATATTCTATAGTACATCTACATGCTGCGATATGTAAGTGCATATAATATTAAATTCATAGGTGTATTCTTCTTCAGAGTTTATCCCATAATATCTTACTACATTTTTGTCTTTTATTTACAGAATATGCCATTTAGCAAGTTTATTCTTTTCATTTTTTTATTTACTTATTATCTTCCGATTGGGACACCTGGTTGGTATGCCGGTACCACCTGCACATACAAATTTAGTTCAAATGATTCTTACATTGAAGTTGTCTGGATTGGCATTTGAAATAAACTCTGCTGCTGCTATGAAGCTACCAGATGATCCTCAAGGAGTTAATTCTATGGCTTTAAAAAAAATTAGTTTTATGGATGTTTTCCATTACGGTCTAAGTTACATGGGAGTTTTGACTGGTAATTCAATGCAATATATTTGATTAAAAAGTTGAAAAATATACATGTAATAACAATAACAACAACGATATTGACAAGGAATGAACTTTAACATGCATTTATATTATTGTTTCACAGGTCCTTACTATCGGTATAGGACATATTGGGATTCGTTACATAGACCTTTCTCCAATTACATCGATCCATGGCCTCTAACATTATATAAATTAAAACAAGCTGCAGCATTGTCTGTACTTTTTCTCATCATGAATTATACATTTCCTACAGAGGTAGAAAGAAATTTGGTTTTAAGCATACAAAACAATATAAATAAGGAATAACAAGAATAAATACGATGAATTTTGTTTCTATTTTAGTATACTGTATCAGAAGAATATGCAAATCGATCGTTATTATACAGATGGCTCTACGCATACCCAGTCTTTGCAACATTTCGACTAAGATTATTTTCTGGAATAATTTTGTCTGAATGTGCATGTCAGATGGCTGGAGTAGGTGGTTATCCCACCAGATGTGAAACTGCACCTGGATTGGGCCCACGTAATTACCAAGAATTTGAAGAAATGTAAGGAAATTTTTCTACTTGGGAAGCATGGATTTTTTAAATATTATTTTACATAAACTTCAAATTATATACATCATTCCATTTTACATAGATGTACAGATAAGGAAAAAATAACACAAGAACCATTTGATTTTGAAACCATACATAACATGAACATATGGCAAGTGGAGACTTGTCATTTAGTGAGGTCTTGTATGAAATATTGGAATTCTTGCATACAATATTGGATGGGAGTTTACATATACAAAAGATTTCCATTTAAACCGTTAAGAATTATGATGACATTAACTCTGTCTGCATTGTGGCATGGATATGCTGTTGGTTACTATGTTTGCATATGCTCAGTTCCGTTTTATTTACAATTAGAAGATCTGTTAATAAAGTTCCACAACCAACATGAGAAGGATAGCATTGTTAGTGTGAACATTTATCAAAATTATAATTAATATACATAAATATATTTTTCTAAACGCTCTTTCATTTTTTATAGGGCTGGAAAATCTGGACATTTACTCTATGGGCTATGAGAGTTTCCTGTATGGCTTATTTGGGTGTACCATTTCTGTTACTCGACTTCCGACAAATATTACAATTTTATGCAAATCTATACTATCTTGGTCATATTAGCTCTCTTATACTATATATAGTAGCCAGATTATTGAAACCCTATATTATAAAGAAGAACGCAGAAAAGAACAAATAGGTAGAAGAAAAACAAGAATACATATACATATATATATTATTTTTCTATCAACTAATAATTAACTACCATAAATAAAAGATTAAAAACACTCACAATACGATATTAAACACATGTAAAAATATCATCAGGTTATCAGCTATAAAAGAATACACTGCACTCTTATAAAAGGAAAACGGATTTATAAAAATTAAAAAAAAAAAAAGAAAAGAACATACGAACTTCTGTGATAGATGTCTGCTACAATAGGTTGAAATTCGCCTAAGGAATATCACGAAAATTTCTGGTCCAGTATGGCCGAACTAACACTGTCTTCCTGCACAGCAAGAAGGAACATGACATTATATACATACGTAAGTATGTATTACAAAATAATTGCCTTTTCCGTAGACTTTAATGATTTGCGATTGATAATTAAGGGATTAATTGTAAATTCGTAATAATTCGTAATAATTCATAATAATAATAATAATAATAATATTAATAATATTAATAATATTATAGTAGTGTAAATACATAATACTAGAATAAGTTCAAGGATAAAAATGGAGAATAAGAGCAAAGAAAAAAACAAAATATACACATATAATAAGTGAAAGAAAATTTTTATTTATAGCCCTTACATCGATAAATATATAACTTGAATGATTAGTTAAACGTAACGATGGGTTAGAGCAAATATTATATATGCTGTATATAGATATGCACACCACACACATACACACATATATATACATATAGTAAATAATTTTCATGGCTTACCTCTATAATATGTTAACACCAAAATCCTGTTGAGATATATATATCGAAGAACCTAGAAGAAAAACACAAAAAAGAAAGAGCGGAGAAAACATGTGATATTCTTCGAGCACAATTCCACCTAGTTTAATTTTACTATGTGGCGGCAAGTGTCGAAAACGATAGCCAATAATTGGTCAAATAATTATTGACAACTAAGATAGATGTGGTAACTTATCAGCTGACGCGTAATCTCGTTCGCGAGGTGTCTGGTGATATGCTCACGTGCTACCTGCTACCCGGATCGATGTCTCTGCGACCAGCAACCGCGTGCTGCTGCTCTGATTGCGTTCTGCTTTTTTATTCTCTGCGTTTGACCGTACCATCCGCAAATTCTGCAGTGCGACCCCCCAAAGAGACTGCTCGCTCGCACACTCTCTCGCATCGATCTCTCGCGAACCTGCTTTCACCAGACCACCAACCGCTCGCTACTGCAAACTGCTTACAGCCCTGCTTACTCGGCTTACAGCTTACTCTCAGCTACCCCATCATCGGCTACACTCGCCATGCCACTCCTTTCCACCGCCTGTGGCACCATAAAATTATAACTTAGTTATACCGAGATAATATGATATATCCATGACAGGATTTTAACGTTTCATTAAGAATAACTGTTGAACAGTTAATAAACATATTATTTTTAATTTAATATTAAAAGCTTAATATAAAAGAGTAATTCTTTTTTTTATTTGTTTTTAAATAACCGCTTTGTGGACGATACTGTTATAGAGCTACGTTTTTCCTAATCCTTAAAGCAATACTTAATTGAACAAAGTTTATTATAAAAATAACACTTTTCAACAATGAAGCTTTATTTCTATGGGAACATGAAATTAATGTGTTATTGTGTTGTGCCATACATTAAAATATTATTTATCGCATCCACAAAGAGTTAAGTAGTAACACAATATTACAGGATATTACTAAAATCACGTTCGATAAGACGTATTGAACATTTTCCGAACTAATCGTGTTCTGATTACAATATAAATTTTCAATACACTATTGTATCTTTATAATAATTACAATATTTATAAACTGTTAACTCCTACAATAATACTTTCACTTTGTTTACACAATTATTTTTTACAGATAGAACAACATTTATATACAGAATGTAAAAAATTTCAACAATTATATTAAATCATAAAATACACGTACGTAATAATTTTGTAATAATCCTTTAAATATATAGCAAATGTCATTAATTTTTGTTAAGAAAAAAGCTCATTTAACTATTATAATCAGTTAAGTTAAACTGCAAACTTTAAAATTTGTATAACACACACTAGAAGTTACTATAAAATTATTAACATTTAAATTTGTCTGAAAAGTGTTATCGTCTATGTCTTTTTATGCTTTATTTTTATCTGGCAAAACTTTACATTAGTAAACCTATATTATTACAGAAACGCATATCTTACTTCTAAAATATATATTGTAAAAAAAAATTTTTCATTCAATATGAGATTTTTCATTGTTTGAGAATAGTTTGAAAGTTAAAAAATCAAAAAGACGTTTTGTGATGTAATATTAATTACGTATAAAATTTAGTCAACTGTGTGTATCTTACATTACCTGCTAATTACCATTATACATTAACACCATTACACTATTTCCAGGAATATTATTTTAGTCCTTTTTGCCCACTGTGGGCAATCTCATAATTATAATAAAAAATAATATCTCAATGTAACTTAGAAGTATTTTTTTCGTTTTATTGTAAACTATTAATTGCATTTGATTGAAAATAATAATTAAAAAAATAAAGGACATAATAATTACGCCAATACAGTTATTGAGAAAAAAAATAGAATAAAAAAATATTTTAATAGTTGATATATCATCTTTCGTATTAATTTATCAATGTAACAAATGTTAATACTCTGTTTCAAAAATGGATAAATTATGCAAACATTATATTGAATGTAATCTTTTCTTCAAGTTTTCAAAATATCAATACGTCGTCAATATGTAGTCAAATAACTAACATTGTTAAAACATTATATGTAAATACACTAGTTGACAATGAACCTGTCTATCCATTATGTACAAACTAAATCGAATGAATCAACTAAGGTAAGATATCGTTCGTTCTGCTCGTACATTGAGGAAGCACAGATTTATTGTCGTTTAGTGTATTTAATAATTGTTAGAATTATTTTGAAAAGACCTGTACAATATATTAATATTGACTATTCTGTCGGTAATAATATGTATTCCTTTCCCCTATTCTCTGTTTTTTTTTATGCATTTATATATCTATAATGCACGTACGCGTACACGAACAAACGAGAGATTATTTTTTTGCAATTTAAAAGAAATACTATACGAAATTACTAATTATTCAATATTCTCCTATAAAACCTAATTACGTGAAATACAAATGTAAACTATTATTAGTGTGACTCTATTATCATTAATAAACACAGATTACTATTCATAGACGTTTAGTGATGGGTGATATTTCCTATAGAATGTAGTACAAGTGCCATCAAATACAATATAATTTTGATAATTGTGATATACAGTAAATTGCAATTAATTAGTCTGTATACAATAGAAAATTACAAGTTTTCTTTCCTTTCAAACATACAAAAGTATTACATTAAACAATAATGCTTAATGTAAGAAAAATCAAATGAAATATTTAATCAAGAATTTGGTAAATTTATAGACTAATAATGTAAAAAGTAATACAATAAACTTGAATTTACGTTTTAGTTTCTTTTTCCAAAAAAAAAAAAAAACCGTAGAACAATACGTATTCAGAATTAATATATAAATATAAATGACACTCTGAATGAAAGTATGTTACAGAAGTGCTGTAGGTATAGAGTAATAGAATACCTTTTCAAATCTCTTCTCAAGACAGATAATATGGTGGGTCGAAGGATGTAAATCATTTTGCTGGTACTCGTATATCCTTTTATTCCAGTATCTACAAAATTCCGTAATATTATTAACACAATATATTAGAACATTAAATTTGCTCCTGCCTATATTTCTAGCCATTTAACATCAAACAGTAAAGTGAACAATTTAGTTAATCTATGCTCTTCTAAAGCGAAAACAAAATATTACATAAATAAATATTACAATTATCCACAAATATAGGCATGTGTTATTCGTTGCATCAAAACATGCATACATAATATATATTAATATATTTATTATCTATATAACGAGAACAATATAAAAATGTTGATTAAATCAATAGAGCTTACCTTATCTTGATTTTGAACGACTGTCTTTTTGTCGCTCTTGAGACTTGCTGCGAGAACGAGATTTCCCACGAGAACTTTTACTATCAGAGCGAGAACGACTGCGGCTACGACTGTAGGAACGTCTACGATCTCTATCACGACTACGAGACCTACTACGTGATCGTGTACGAGATCGTCTGCGATCTCTGCTACGGCTGCGTGACCTAAATATAAAAAATCAAATTGATTAAAAAATTCTTACATGACTTAACATTTAACTTAAAGAAGATAACATTACCTGCCACGTCTGCGACTTCCACGACTTCGATGAGGTGAGGTTGGTCGACCATAACGTGCCATTTGAACTCTAAGTTCCCTACCGTCTAACAACCTTCCATCCATAGCATCCAATGCATCTTCTGCATCACGTTTATCATAGAATCTGTAAAAAGTTATAAATCAAATTAATTCCTTTGATGCTTGTGTGTGTGTGTGTGTGTATAATATAAAAAGCATTATATTTGTCAGTCACCTGCTTTAATCTCACATAGTACAAAGTATATTAACAGAAACATTTTTATCATCATACTAAATTAATAATAACCTAAACTAATTTATAAATTTAGTAACAAATTGTAACTAAAAAAATATATTAAAGTCCATCATGCAAACATATTTTTAGTTCAAACGAATAAGAATATACGTCCGCTTTTTCTCCCCATATTTGAAACATCACTTACCAAAGCGGAAACTGGCATCACAGTTGCAAACCGAAAAAAAATATCTTATAGATAACGGTTAGAACTGAAGAAAAAATAATTCTATTTATTATTATAATGAATTATTATTTATGAGTTACGACTTTTTAAGATGACGTCACAAATATGCCATTGAACAGAAGCCTGTTGGTAAGATGTAACACATACCTACACAGGTACTGTTTTCGTATATAGGATAATATTACAAATTTATGTTATTTTGTTCTTAGATGAGAGAATAAATAAATACGTACCTCACAAAGGCAAAACCACGACTTTCACGAGTGAAACGATCTCGTGGTATGTAAATATCCCCAACTTCCCCGCATCTTTCAAACACACGCCTGAGATCTTCTGGCGTCGTTCTATAAGTTAGATTGTCAACCTTTAAAGACACCATGCCGTCGATACGCGGCGGTGGCCTACCGTAACTCATATTCGCTATAATTACTTTTTTTTAATTTGTCACTATTTCAACCAACCAGTTGTATTATATTTAGAAATATAAACGTTAACGTGGTATAACTCACGAGCGAACTATACACTCTATTAGAAAATGGCGTGTGGAAGCAACGACGGCGGAAGAGTATGAAAGTGATTCGGCACGAAGCATTATGGGAATGTGGAGGGGAATATGGACGATACTACGTTATTCAGATGAACATTTTAAAACCATTATTCAATCTATTTATACTAAATAAATTTTTATTAATAAATGTTTAAAATATTCTTTAAAATATATTTAACATATATTTATATAGATTATACATATTCATCTATACATAAATAATTTTGATATATATATATATATATGTTATAGCAATGATGGAGTACGAATACTCATGTGACTCAGTAATACGTATTTATATAGATAAAGAAAAGATTTATGTGAGAAGTGGGAGGAAGTCTTAAAGGAAAAGAAACGGTAGATTCCTTTTCCCCCACTTTTAACTTTCTCGAAATCCACAGATTAGGATTTTTGTGACACAATCATATGATTTCAAATTTACGATGGATACACTTATGTTCACGGTCACCGTCCATGATAAAAAAGACATTTAAATATACACACTATCCAATAAATTAGCTACAGTGCTTATCCACGCTCACATATATATTCATACAACTTACGTAGAATTGCTCTAAAGCACGTTTTACTTGCCACATACACGTATACACATACATAGGCAGAATATTATGAATATACAGAATCATGGTGTACGACACCGGTAAATTATTTAACAGGATGTGAAATTTTACTGATATATATCTTATCCTATTAACGCACTCGAAAAATCTACAATTCTTATCGATAAAGAAAAAAGAATTGCGAATCAACAGATGCAATTTAAAATTTCATATCTGTCAAATTTGATAATATATATATATATATATGTAATTAAAAAGATTGAGTATATAAATGTAATAAAAATTATTAAATTGTAACAATGGAGGATAAGTCGTTAAGAGATGCTTCGATTATATACGATAAACAATTTAATGAAAATATGAAACTAGCAAAGTATTTCTTAAAGCAATTACGTGACAAACAAGGTTAATATTTGTAATATAAAAATTGTTTATTTATTCATTAAAAAGTTATTCTATTTTAGAAATTCAATTAGCTACGAAATGGCTTGTTCGTGTTAACGATATCAAGTCATCATCCTTGGAAGTAAAAAAAGATCGTAATGCTTTCTTATGTTATTTTCTGAAAATTTTGAGAGAAGCAATTTTAAAAAATCATAGCGAATGCGAATCCAGCAGAATGTTCAATTCGGAAAATAGATTAGGATTATTTCATTCTGTATGCTCTACAATACAATGTGTTATACATTAATAAGAAAGTAATCAAATACATTTAATTGTAGAATCAAAATTCTAAAATATCTACGAATGGATTATCACAAAATGGTACACAATCGTCAAATATTAAATATCATTCGAGGTGGTCACAAAATCATCGTACATATGTTGCTGTTAAACCTTTACCCGGAAGAGGGGCATTAATATACATGGCTGTATCTAAAAATCCGGGATTAGAAAATTGGGATTTATAGGTAACATTAATAAAATGTACGCAATAATTGACAATGATATATTTCTTTTTGAATTTCAATTTGAAACACAACTATCAAGATTATATAAGTAAAATAGATCTTTAGAAAATTCCTGCCTTTTTATGTTTTAAGGTTTAAATATATATGTATAAAGTTTTACAAAGAGAGACACTGTCAACGCATTATTGTTTTTTTCTTTTTGTTTTTTTTTTTCTTTTTTATTTAAGTTTCAATGAAGCTGTACTTATGGTATCACAACAATGCCCTTGTACAAGATGCCCCCTCGATAATGTAAAAATCTTTTCAATTTTCTATATATTATATAATCATCGTCGTATATCAGTTTTGTGGATCGTACCGATCATAGAAAGGGTAGCAAATGTATATTTAAATATGCATTTCCATTGTTTCATTACACATTTCTACATGCGTTTTCTTATGGACTGCTTTTATACATTCATACAAAAATCGATCGAATGTAAAAAGTATGAATGACAATGTAATAGGTAGCTTTGCTTTACGTTAATGTAAATTATAGTAATTAGGCGATTTCTAGTTCGACTGGAAATAATAGTTATGATTATTTTTTTTCTTTTTTTTCTTTCTTAAATCATTATATGATAATGATATTAACTTTTAATATGTATAATAATGATTCATGGTCAAATTTTTATATTTCGATTAAAAAGATCCTTAAAAACTAACGTATAACAAATTACATTACAGCAGCCCAATAATTAGCTTTAAAAAATTTAACAGAGATATTTTTAGAATAATTTTATACAGAGTTTAAAAAATAAAAGTCTATCAGAATAAAGAAAAATAGAAAGGAGAGTAAAAACAAATGAAAAGAAAAACGGATAAAAAATAGCAAATAGGAAATGGAAAAGAAATAAATGGAGCGATCAATCATAATAAGGGCAGATTTGATAAAAAGATTTGAAGTGTATAGCTCAGACAATTGTACAGTCGATGTTTCATCTTATGCTGCAAGAGGGCACAGTTTAAGTAGGATGCATTGTACCATACAAACTGTCGCTTACATTATTACTATTCAACAATTCAAAATACTTATAATAATACACACAACCTTGAATAATCTCAACAGCTGCTGGCCTAAGCCTGAATCAACTTATCGCGTAAATTGTGGATAAAAAATTAAATTTTTGCTATTATTATTTTGCATATATCGCTATGCACAGTGATATGTCATCATGTGCTTTGTTGAAATAAGTTAGTACTTTATTGATCAAAGCTTCATAACGCTATGGTATTTTTTAATGTTTTGTATATAAAATATGCCAGGGCACTCATAGTCATCAGTCACTAAAAAATTGGAATAAGGTGAATACACGCTGCTTGAATGTATTACACTTTTCCTTTTCTATTACACTTTCATACATACTATTTTTTCTTTTTGTTGTTGGCATTTATATACCCATCGCATAATTTTCATGATTTTTTTAATTTGCCTTATTATTCATTATAACATTATGTTCTATATAAAAATAATACTCAGTCGATTAGTTCAGATTAATACTCATGTACAATGGGAAAGGGGTTTTAGCGTTTCGAATGTTTCTAATGAGAATAATTATACTTATGAATTAAATTAGACATGTGTGTAGACATGACTTAAAATTTCTACTGCAGACAAAACAAAAATATGCAGATGGACGGAACAGTGCTATGTGATTAGCAAATAGTAAATTTTTTTGTAATAATATTTTAATCGTTACGCAAAAACCCCTCTTCGATAAGTATACAATTGTTTTTAGAAGCTGTCGTATACACATCTTCATTATAGATATCCCTAAACCGAGACCATTCAGGCACTCTAGCAATTAATTATATCAATATTTTTCAATGTAAACCAAATTAAAAGTTAAAAATAAACGTGCATTCATACTCTTGACACGTTTCTAGAAAACATTTTTCCTCTGATCATACTGTTTCAAATATTAATAGTCAACAATGTAACATTTTTTGGAGAAAATACGCATGTACATATATCATTCGTGTAAATATGTCATCGCTATAAATGGATATATATAGAAGGTCTAGGTGAGAAGGCACCTAAAGCATTGACCATCTGCATAACTGTACATAATAGATTACTTGATTTGCAAAAAGAAAAGAAAAAAGGGGGAATGATCATTTGCGCAGTGCCTGATCGTACATATTAACTGTTAAAAAAGAAGCTTGTATCTAATAAAATGTAAGTACAATGTCAAAACAATAAATTAAGAAAATCATTGCCAAATATCTTATGCAAATATTGATGCAAAACACAATGAATGCAATAAATTAGTTTAAATAATATTTAGGGAATTTATAAAAATAGGTGTACAAAAACAAGGGGAAAGGAGATTAACTAAATAATCTAATAATTAAGTAAGACAATTCTTCTTATGAAGGTCATTTTAAGTAATGTTGATTAAAATCTTAAGAACTAAAATCAAAACTTGCAGAATACTGATATATAAAAATATCTATATAAAGCCTCAGCATTATCATCTTTAAAACCAACCATTCGAATCTATGGTGGTCCACAACTAAGTCTTAATTAAAAGACAACTATTAATAAGATCTAATAAATTTATCGATTATATAATAGCAATACTTCATTCTTCATTCATGCTAATTATAAAAAATATCTTCTAATTTCGAGTTTAGCAGAGAGCTTCGAACAATTCTAATTTTTATCCTACACGATCATAATAGTACAAAAAATATGATCATTACTTTTTGAACGAGTTACTTTGAGCCAAACGTAACTGAAAAATGCTTAACAGTTTACCTGTTCAAGTTACTCTATCGTATAATCCATAAATAAATTGTTTCTTGTAAAATATAATACAATTAAAATGTTATAGTACACCATTCAACCTTATTACTTAGTAACATTTTGAAAAATGCTACTTAGAATCTTAGACAATATATATTCCAATTCCTGATCTTTATCAACTTTACTTTTCACATTAATATGAAAACCAGAAGTTGACACATATCTTTCAAACATTTGCTTTATTAATTTATATATAAATATATGTTATAAGTTATCAGTATTTTTGCACCTTATTTTTGTTTAGAATTGGTATTGTATAATCAATTTTTAAAAATTCAATTTTTTATTGTGAATTTTTGTTAGGCAAATGTTTCAGAAAATTTACATCTTATAGTGTTACTTATAATATGACATAATAATCCTTTTATAAATATATGATATATATTATGTAAAGATGTCTGTTCACAATGTGTATATATGTTACTGCTAAAGACCAAAATTGGATAATATTAAGATTCACATAGTGAATACCAACACATATCAAATACGTCAGTGAAAGACTGAATATTTAAATATATTCTTATACATTTGAACCATTATCGGTGTATGCCGTCAAGAATTGGTACGATCTAATGGAGTTTATTGATGTTTATTATTAATAATCTTTTTTTTTAATAATAAAGTATGATCCAAAAATGTAACACAAATATTTTTATTCAATACTTACTAATAGGGCATCGTGAATATCGACATTTACCAATGTAAATCAAAAATAAGGATATTAAGCAAATATTTCAGACATATATCAAGCCACCATGTTAATCCTTGATATTCTACAATTTCAGTCTTTCATGGTAACATATATACAAAAGATCCATTTGAAAGATATGTGACTTCTTTAATAGTTTTCACGAAAAGCATATTAAATATGATAAAAAAAAAAAGAAAAGAAAACATATCATTCAGAAAGAGATTCTGTGATCAAAGATTCTGATCACTTGGAAAAGATTCTTATTAGTATTTGTATCTATTTCTCCGATACTAGCACTATTTGTGCTTTATTATTTACTATGCAACAGTACTACACAAATTGTTTTCTTTGACATGTCCTTTCAAAGTTATTCTAAAAATTGACACAAATTATATTAAGATGTAAATTTCTTGTACCTGTTTATATTGTTAAGGGCATGTTTTATATATCTTTTGTATGTATTTGATCTTTATTTATGTAGTACTATCGTTTATTATTGTATCGGTCTAATATATTTGTATCTATGTGTTATATAGAATATATTTGTAATACGCTTATGCGTTTTTAAGGCTCCTTTGATAATTACTAAACCTAATTGCTCCACATACTATTACAGCTATATTTCTTGCTCTGTCATAAGTTTAAGAATTATTGCAGATTGAAAAAAAGCTCGCAAAAAGAAATATAAAAGTGTATATGTGTGACTTTATGTAGTACGAGAAATAACATATTAATTTTTGTTATATTCTCTTACCTATATTCTATGTTACACGGACTAAATCTATTTTTGGCAAAGTTGTTTAGGTATACGATGTCAAGTATAACAATATATAAGTAGATGCATTGGCCATAATATTATGCTCTATTAAAGACAGCTTAATATCTGTCGCTAATATCTTATCTGTACAATCTTGCAAAAAGTAGATCGGCAATAACTCTTAAAAAATAGAAAGAGCAAATTATTAAAATATTCCATACTACGAACATCTCTACTGTGTTACAAGAAACTGCTTATGTCTTTCTATTTATTAAAAATAATGAAAACATTTAAAAAGAAATTTTAAAAATAAAAAAATAAAATAAAAAAAATAAAATAAAACTATAAAAACGCTATAAAAATCGATAAATCTTTATAAAAAGCCATATTAATAGTGGAGCAATAAAATTTAATCTTAATTTTCGACATATAGACGAATGCTATTCATATATTAATTCGCGAAGATTTTGAACATTTTCGATCAATGTCGAGAAAAAGAGAGCATGTTAACAGGTTATTGTTATTGTAAGACAACAATCTATATCGCATCCATAGGATGTTCTTATTGCTTTTAGAATCTTATCTTATATGGTCGTGTACTATTTTCTTTGTTAAGTACAAATTGATTCAACTGTGTACTGTGGCAGTTGAGAAGCGTTTTGACATAGGAAGTAAAAATGAGGAAGTAAACTATTAATAACATTTACGTCTGCAGTATCGTGTTTGCATAAATTTACATAGAAGTTTTATATTTTATATATAATTTTTTGTTCAATTACAAAAGATATAAGAGAATAGAAAATATAAATTTCTATGTAAACTAATAACGCGTAATATTTAACACGATACTGACATGTAATTTGATAAATTTAAATATCCGAATGAATGTCAAAATATTTCAAATAGCTTCTTTCATGTACTATCAGATTTTTTTCGATCGTTTTTAAATACGTACTTACTTATACATTACTAAAGCATATTAAAAAATACAATTTTATACACTAGAAAAATTTAACGAGGCATTTCATAAAAAGCTTATTGTATATAAAACAACGAGAGTATTATTGGTTATTATGTCATTTGCGACCAAAAAAGCCCGTGGAACAAAACGTTAAGTTTTTTTATTTCATTAATTAGTTTCTTCATAATATATTCATTTGAAACTACTTGCACAGTAATCTAGCACTGTTTATTACTATTTTACTGGCAATCGAGCTCTATCCTTGCTTTTAAAACAGACAACGATTAGCTTCATGTACGCAAAAGTACATACACATCGAAAGAACAATTTATGCACATATGTACAATGATCACTCATCGCTCTCCAGTCGAAAGCATAGAAAATTTTGTATAAAAATATTCTTATTCACATGCACAAATATGTATATGCATATATATATATATGTACATTTTGAGTAATCATGTAATTAATACTGTGTGCTTAATATCATAATACCTTTCACATGTTCTGTACCACGGGCCTGATGACAGCTGAAAAAAATACCTCAACTGTATATCATCTCAAATTTTCGAGATATAAAGAGTGAAGAGATGAGATTGAAGATATAATTATTAAATACGTTAACCATTAATGAATTGTAAAATTTGATTGAATTTTACACTTTTGTACATCAAATTCAATCACATTTTACATTTCTATACTATTGGATCAATCATACTGTTTAGAAATTCTTTTTGTATGTATACCTAGGTACGATGTCTTGAACAAAGTTTCTCACTGCGTATCTTCAGCTAACGATGTCGCAACCAAATTTAATGGTACATCTGAAACATTTTCTTCATCTCCTTCCTGCGTTTCTTCAGTCTTTACCGAAAGACATTGTTGTTGTTCTGGAGCTTCAGTTTTCACAGGCTATAAGAATGAAAACAAAATAATGATCAATTTTCATAACATAAGAAAAATAGATAAGCTCATAATTAAACTTACATGTAGTACATAACCCGACATCATTGGAAAATTAAGTGTAGTAGAAAATGGTCCATGGCTACCAGGTATACGTGGTAATCCTCCCATTAGAAGATGAGGCTGAATTGTTTGACGCAAAGCCGCCAGCATAACTTTTTCAGAATCAGATTGTTCAGATTGTGGTGGTACTGCTGCATCTCCTTTTTCTACAATATTATCATTTACATTATAAATTCAATTAATTAAAGTAAATAATTATAAAAAAGATTAACCCATGCAATATAAATCTATTAAAATATTATCAAGTCTATGAAATTTAAATTAATAAAGAAAATAATAGTAAATTCTGATTTATTACTTCTATGTCGTGTTTGTTTTTCGCCTTTAGGTCGGCGTCTGCGTGTGTGTATTGTGTCTCTTCGCATGGTAACTGGACGATTAACTCCATGAAGTTTATAATAAAGTCCGCACGCATTACAAACCATTTCACCCTTCATATTTCTCCGCCAGATCGTTGTAGTCATAGTACCACAATTAGTACAAGCCATATCATTTTTTTTAGTATTATTACCACTTTGTTGATCGAATTGTGGTTTTTGATCGTCAACCTGAGACAATTATAAGAAAACAAACAAATAAAAATATCTAATTACTTTAATTTATATAAATAATTAAATGATAACAAAATACTAGTTTCATCCTACTTTTATTTTCATTTTATATGACCATCCAGTAAAATCTTGTGCTTGCTCTTCGCTAGACTCATGTTGATAATTAGCAGTGTCTGGGCTTGTTGGAGCCTTACTTGGATAACTTTGTTTTCTTCGACCTTTAGTTTCTTTTCGTCCAGTACTAGCTGGACTGGATGGATTACTGTCTATAGAAGTAATCTAGAAAGAAATCAGACATATTTGTATAGAATATTTTAAAATAGAGTACTTTCATTTTTTCCTATGTCAAAAATTATTAAATTGTATGTATTACGCAGAATAAATAAGAGAAAATATTCAATATTAATTTTATATAAAGTTCCGATATAAACAATAAATAAAAATTTTGTTAAAAAATTGAAAACTTCCAATTCCTTTTTCAGAAGTTAACATAAATCACCAAATAGTATATGTTAAAAAAGAATAGATAAGAATAAATATTCTAAAAAAGAAATATTCTTACTAAAAGTTCAGGTAAATTCAATGAATAGGATTACTATCCAAGGGTTCGAACATTCCAATTCATTTTTGAAATCTATGACAAAGAATTTTCCTTTTATCTATTATCTTGTAGCGTGTTCTTATTGGGTTTTTTACCTGCTAGCAGGTAAGCCCAATGAATGGACCCTAAGAAAGGTTTCTAATACACAAAGCCCTTTATATCTACTAGTTTCTAAATCTATACATTTTTATTATTAAGCAAACTACGAGATTTTTTCTATTATACGATTTCCATGTAAAATAACTTAAAAATAAAAATGCCATAAAAGAGTTATTCCGAATATTTCTACACACATTTTTTAAATAAAAATAATAATATTAACTAAAATAATTTTTAAAATATTAGTAATTTTTTAAATATTTTTTATATACGAAAATTTTGATTATAAAAAATATATTTTTAATAAAAACTATGAAAATAAATATTATTCAAAATTATAATATGTAATTATACGTACTTTATTTTCTATGCATGGTGTAGTAATACAATTCGCCCCAGGTACAGAAGAATCAGCTAAAGAATGTTCAGTATTTGTTCCTGGAGCGTCCTTATAAAATCTTATTTGTGTAGGCGATTTATTAGAATCAACAGTAGTAATACCAATTTGTCTATTTTTGATTAAAGATCGAAGCAGATTAGTTGCTTCTCCGGTAAAACCATTGTTTACATTATTTTCTTTTGTTCGTGTTACTTCCAAATTTCTAGTACTGTGTTTATAAGAAAAGAAAACAGAATCGTAAATATAGATAGAAAATCTAAAAATAGATAGAAACTTTTGTTCCTATACATTCAGTAATCAAATACTAAAGTTAATAAATTCTCATTGATTACTTACTTTGCAAGGGCTTGCCACAATTTTGTAGTTTCTTGATCGATATGAGTATCCGAACAATTGCTTTCTGGTGTATCCATCCTATTAACTGGACTATGATGAGGTGTATCTGGTTTAGAATCTTCACAGTTATCGTTCATTTTAATTCGTTTCATGGTCATATCATAGCCATTTTCTTCACCTTCGGTATCTTGTTCATCTCGATCCTCTATTTCGAGTCTATCTGGATCTGAACTGTACGAACACGTATCATCTTCTGGTTCACATTTATTATTATCATTTTCTAGCACTTCATTTGTACGCAATTCTAATCTGTGTGTTTGTATTTGAGGTATTGTGTTTTGATTAATGCTGGCTGGAGAATTTGGGTCTTCATTAAATAACGTTTTATTTAATTCAATAAAAGATTGTACGGGATTTACATCTGATATTTTGGCAGTGGAGAAAGAATTTACCTGAAAAAAATTACACTTTTAATTATAGTGGTAAATAAATAAATAAATAAAATAGTCTAGACAAAAAAAAATAACTATCAATATAAAATATTAAAAGGTAGATAGTAAAACAAAAATTTGCAAATCTTAATAAATTGTGAATGATTTATAAAACAAATATAATAAATAACTATACCTGAACATCATTGATTGATGATCGATGGGGGAAACTCAGGTACCGTTTAAATAAGCTATCTGATTTTTGTGCACACTCACGAAAATTGTATAGTGATTCTAACTTGAATGTACATCGGGTACATAACTTAGATGGTAGAAAATCATCTTTTTTCACCTACAAGAGTTATATAATCAAAATTACAGTGTTTTTAATTATATCAAAATTGATATTTATACAGATAATAATTTATTAATATTATTAAAGTCATCAGAGTAGATTTATTTATACTAATAAACATTAAATATTTCATTGTGTATATATGTGTGTAAATTAACATTACAAATAAATATAATTACAGTTTAAACAATACACATAGAATTTTAAAAAGAAACAGAATACACACACACACACACACACAGATACAAAATATTGTTCAAGAGTGAAGAAAAAAAATAATATTAGGAATATAAAATAAAAAAAATTTTACAGACAAAAAAATATGAAAAAAATGAACAAAGAATTAATAACATAAAAATGTAAATGTATGCATGTAAAAATGAAAAAAATACTTTAAAAAAAAATGTTCAAGATGTTGGTTTGGCAAGAGTTTATGTATATCTATATTCTAAACAGTCATTACCTTTACAATATGTATTATTCATAATATTATTTTAAAGAGTCATAATCTCCGTGTTAAAGGATAAAGCCTATAAAAGTCTAACGTCACATCATTTTGTGGAATCCGCGTGTGAAACCTGATAACAGGTCGTCCATATAAGGAGCTCCCCACTCCCAGAAGACTGCATAAGAGTGGAACGAAGCTTATCAGTGCCATTTTAAATGCTCCCATGAATCGTTACCTTATCTCGCGGTCACATCTCTTGCCAAACTTTCTCTCGTGGCACACACGCGCGCATAGTGTGTGGACGAGGATAGAGAGAGCAAGTGAGTAGCAAACGGATAAAAGGAAAAGAGAGAGAAAGAGGCAGACAGAGAGCGAGCAAGAGATAGAGAGAGAGAGTAACAGAGCACTCCACATACATATATATATATATATATATATATATCACGCACACATAAACATATATAAAAGAAGGAGAAAAGAAAAGAGAGGAAGAAGGGTGATGGCGGCTTATAGGGACAAAGGGGGAGAGGAGATAGAGAAAGAAAGGGGAAGGAAAAGAGAAGAATAGAAAAAGAGAGCAAAGAAGCGGATAACATTATACAAGTGCGAGGTCCACAGATGGTCGTGTTTAATTTATCACGATATCAACAGAAGAATCGGATAGAAACATTTGCCATAACTTACCTCAACACCGAGGCATGCTAATATCTTGTCGGCGAGATTTTGCTGTAAGCCTTGCTCCTCAAATATGGATGTTTTGACATCTTTCGTGGATAAACAAAGGCGACACAGGTCGTGCAACTTGGCCGATATATTAATCATAATTGTAAGCTCCGACTACTCTGCACGCCACGTAAAACACGAATCATCAAGGGTTGCACTCTTTCCTCGACTGACGAAGTATCTTTCTCCACTGCCACTACGCGTTTACCACGATAGGGAAGGACACAGAATCACTTATCACAGCCACTACCGCTCCTGGTCATTGTCAGCGGCACAATATACACAGGACATAACTATGACTACACATAGATAGTCTACTACCAGATGCCAGAGGATATCCTTTAGGATGCAAGCCGTATTTGCACTAAATTCATAGAAATTAAAGAATGCCACATTCAAAGAACGAAAAACACCATATCTAATACTAGTTAAATATCGAACGATTGTTCGTTCTTAGATTAGAATTATTTATAGGAATATATTTATATCTTTACTAAGGACTAAATCAATTTTACTTTAGTTATTAACTAGTTTTGATTTATTTATTCAACAAAAATAATTACTTCTTGTTGTAATAAAAACCGGTAGTCCTGTAATAATAGTGTCCAATCACACGGAAGTATAATGGAAACTCAATATCGATAAGTTCAATAACAGCGCTAAATGCGGTATAGATCGAACTAAAAATCAATATGGCTATGTAATCGATAAATTTAAATATTTCTAGTACCGATACGATAAACGTCTAATGAAATAAGAAAATAAACAATTATAGACGATTTTGTATAATTTTTAATACATAAAATATTATATTATGGGGTATTCATAAATCATTTTTCTCTTTTTAAACTTAAATTCTTCATGAAAAGATATGTCTCTAGAGTTAGTTAATATTTTGTTAATATAATTATTGATATATATTTATATCAGTTTTGAAAAGAATAAATATTATAATGTATATTTTTTTCATACTTTTATTCTGAAAACAATATTTGTTAACATCTAGTGTGAAACTGACCTTCAAAGTACGCTCAGAATAGGCTAGATTATGTGAAATTGTGATGCCATGTAATATGATTCAGAATTTGTAGATAATAATCACAACTAGGTGTAGACAAACTTTATGAACTAACAGTTATTTTAAGCATAATATACATTTAGTGAATATAGTCTGATGCCTCACATGTGACGCCATTTTACGCACTTTATAGCCATCTATATACAGTTATTCGATTCAACCGACTTCGATCTACCATCTTTAATACTGTTTGGTGTGCAGCGTGACCGGTTCTATTACTCTTTCAAAAGTTTATGTTCATATTTATGAATTTTGTGCCTTTATATTTTACTACAACTTAAGCTTTATCATGAGTACAGATAGCATCGAAAAGTTGTATAAAAACTTTGGCATTTTAGCTGATGCCAAAGATAAGTTAGCTGAAGTAAGTATTTATTTGGTTATGAAAAGCACTAATGTTTGTATAAGAATAAACTCATAAGCTTTTAAGGAGCATGGTACCGACCGAATTTTATGAAATTTAATTATTTCTTATATTTTTCAATACTTTGATCTTTTATAATGTTTAGTTCTTCTAGAAGATTCATTCTGTATGTTACTCTCTTTTTCTGACAACTAATGTTTATCTTTGAAGTCCCTTATCGTTGTAACGCATTCCAATATGTATTTATTTGAGAAATTGTAGTACTTGTTAAAAATTTTGCTGTGTAACATTATTATGTATTTTAATTTAATTAGCATTTATTACTTTAGCTTATCGCTGAAAAAGATTTTCCTTTATTATTCTATATACTAGTCGCATTCAAAGAAGAATCAATCAAATATCTGCCATTTGTTCTTTTCAGCATGAAAAAGAATACTTAGAAATTTTAACTGCTGTAAAAGGATCATCTAAGGAAAAACGCTTAGCATCTCAATTTATTGCAAGGTTTTTCAAAAATTTTCCTAAGTTAGCCGATCAGGCGATAGATGCCCATTTAGACTTGTGCGAGGATGAAGATATGGCGGTAAGTAATTTGAAATTATTTAATAAATATAAACATTTGATACAGACTTAAATGTAATTATAAATATAATTGTAATACAGATAAGGAAGCAAGCTATTAAAGATTTGCCTACCTTGTGCAAGGATAACAAAGAGTACACTGCAAAAATTGCTGACATTTTAGCACAATTGTTACAAGCTCAAGATCCATCTGAATTAGCAGTTGTACATAATAGTGTTATGTCTCTCTTGAAAAGTGATCCAAAAGGTTTGAATTTGAAAAAATAGAAATTAGAAAATAATAATATTTTATTTATATATATATATAATTTATATTATGTATTAATAATTTATCTTTCATGAAGGTACAATAAGTGGATTCTTTAGTCAAATTCTCAACGGAGATGACGGGACAAGGGAAAGGTGTATTAAATTTTTAGCGACGAAATTGAGAGCAATAGGTCATGATATTATTACTAAAGAACCAGAAGATTTGTTAATTTCAGAGTGCAAAAAAGTCCTACAAGTAGGTTTCTCTATTTTGTATAATTTTATGATATATTTTTACTTTATATTATTGTTTTAATGAATGATCTTTTTAGGATGTAACAGCTGATGAATTTCATAGTATCATGGAAGTTCTTAGCTGGACTAGATTAGGTTCTACTATTTCTGGTCAACAAGAATTAATTGATATTACGGTAGAACAAGCTGAACTTTCTGTGCCATTTAAACATACAAATGTTGAGCAATGGAGCCGATTGATACAATGTATCAAACATGCTCTTCCATTCTTTAGTGTAAGATTTCATATTATATATAAATATTGAAGTATTTAAAAGTGGAATTGTAATTTTATATATGTGATATTAGATTTAATAAGTATTTGATTTTTTCTTATGTTTTTATTTTTGCAGTCTCAAATTGATTCATCAAGATTTGTTTCATATATCTGTATTCAAGTTTTACCCCATTTATCATTAATTAATACACCCGATGGAAGGGATAGTCAGTTGGAATTGTTAAAACTTCTTGCGGAATTAACTGTATTTTGCGGAACAATCGAAAATCCGGAAGAAAAAGTACAACAATTATATAACACACTAATTGTATGTAAAATCGTTTTTTAATGCATTGATTCTTATAAAAATTATAAATTTTACTTTCTAATTTTAATTTTGTTTCTTTTCTTTTTCTCGTTAGACATATATGCCTCTTCCACCAGCCACAGAGATAACGGATGTCCCAAAGTTACAATTTAGTCATGTGGAATGTTTAATGTATGCTTTTCACAAATTATGTAAGCAAACACCTGAATTTCTGGTAAAAGATCCAGAACAACTTAAAGAATTCAGACTTAGACTACAATATTTTGCTCGAGGGATTCAAGGATATATTAAAAAATTACGCGAGGCAATTAGTGGCAAGTCTGAAGAGGAATTAAATACAGAAGAAAATCAGTTGAAAGTAGTAGCATTGAAGACAACAAACAACATCAATACTTTAATTAAAGATCTATTTCATTCACCACCCAGTTTTAAGAGTGTGATACATCTTTCATGGAAAACAACAATGAACGATAAGAAGGTAATTATATTACAAACAAAAAAATTAATAAAAATGTATAGTTGATGTTTATAATTATATATTCATATGTTGAAATTTTTCTTTATATCAGAGCGAAAAAAATTCTTCAAGTCAGAAGAGACATACTCCTATAACATTTGGAAATGATAGCAGTTCCAGTAAACGGAATAAAGAAGACAAAAGCAATAAAAGGGAAATATATACACCTCCAAGTGGAAAATACAGTTCAAATATATCCTCCAATTATGGTACATACTTTAATGATCTTTATAATAAACCCATTTATATCTACGGATATCTATAGTTACTACTGATAGTATCGAAAAGTGATTTTATTTATATTAACTAATTGCTCTTTTTTTTTATTTAGGAAGCCGTGGTAGATTTAGAGGTAATAGGTCTGGTGGACGAGGAGGCTACAGGTCAAGAGGACGTAGTACCTGGAGAAAAAGTTTTTACTAAATATCAGATAGTACGAACTTTTAAAATAAAGGAGACATTTAAAATCTTAGAGAGTGATACATGCAGACCTTAAAAATATATGTGTACAGAAAAGTATGTAGAAGTGTAATATCAACATCATTATGGTGTCAACAAATGTGACGGAACAAGTAAGACATTCTTCGTTCCTCAAATGTGTGAAGAGTGGTTATGTGAATGTCTCAACTTCATAAAAATCTTATGGAAACAAGCAAAGAGAACACAAATGATTTGTTTTGAAAATGCAGAACAAAATATGAATAATATCGGAATAATTATTAACAAAAATAGAAACATAACTTTATTCGATATAAAATATGATAGCCATAATAATTATTCATTCATGATTACTCTGCTAACATCAAACAAAATAGAACTAAATACTTCGATTTGATAACATCTGTATGTAAATGGTATATAACGGAAGCTAATTTAAATCTGCACAGTGTATGTACACATAATGTGGCTACAAGATAAAATTAGAGAAACTACTATATGTTCTGTGTAACCAAGATGAAAAAAACATGAATATGAAGAGTTTAACTAAGAAGAAAGATATTTGTTTCTTATAGAGAGAACAAAAAAAATGTCAAAGATACATTTTTCTATTGAAAATTGAAATAACATAATTATTATGCATGTGCTTAATGGCTAAAAAGCACAAGAAGAAAATAAGAAGTTCTATAAAATTGTAATATTCTCATCGAATCAAGAAAGTCATAGTGTTCGTGCAGTGTCAGGAGATATATTAGAAGAAAGAGGATATTACTCTTTCTGAAAAATATGTCATATCAAATTATTAGCAATCGTAACATCTCTCTGTCTTATCCTAAGTAACTTTTGTATCTTGTGTCCTACCCTGTGAATTTATTTGTTGGCAGGAATTAAGATGCAGCTCATGTTGAGGAAAACAGCTGTTAATGAAAGACAAAAAAAATAAATAACAAAAAAAACAAAAGACGTGATCAAAAAAACAAAAGACGCTGTGATTATTATTTTGATCTATATTAAGCTTCTCCAAACATATTAATAAAAAGTCTTATAATTATAATTTTTCTACTATTTCTTGAATATTTCTAACTATTATTTGAATACTTTTGTTTACTTTATATGTTAGAAGTATACAGTTCCGGAAGTTTCTTTGATCATGATCTTATTAAACTGATTTCAAATATTTTTTATTTTACAGAAGCTGGTACAAGAGTGGAAGCTAAAGGAAAGAACTTTATACAGAAATAACTATTTTACTTTACAGATTTCTTATGGGGCACGGTAAAGTTTCCAGAGACCTTTAATATTATCGATATGTTTTTCATTACAGGTGTTCTAAGGTTTTGTATGTATTGTATTGTACTTTGATTATAGCTGCTCATAAGGTGAGTTTTAGGTACTCCTTCTTCCTTGTCCTTAATTGAATTCATTAATTCATTTTTTGTAATTCTGCAATATAATCTTATTGATATAATAAATGATGTTATACTCTATACATGTATGTTGTTCTTTATATCCTTATATATATATATGTATATATATAAGATTCAAAAGAGTATTAAACAAAAAAAAAATGTAAAGAGAATAATAAACATTTATAAAAGGAAATATTTAATAACTATGTATAAAGTAGCATTTTATATGAATAATATAATACAATTATTTTAAAAAATAACACTACATTTATATCCTAGAATAAATTATTGGACGCTATCATATCATCTATCGTCTTACACATAATACGATCACTTTGACTACATGTATCCATATTTTGTTGCTCAGAGCCTAAGGTATCGATAGATTCCATCGCATCAATATTAATTGCAAGCTTGGAATCTAATTCTGAAGTATCCGGAAGCATTTGTAAAGCATGCTGTAGTATCTGTTGAACCTCAAATAAAATTGCTTTAATTAATTAAAGTTCATAATATTATCACCATACATGTCATTTCTTTTTATTTAAATAAATATTCCTTACTTTCTCGAGATGCTTTTGAAATCTTAATGATGTTTCTAAGCGCTGTCTACGCTGTAATTCCATCATAACTCTTAAAGTTTCTCTTGCTTGATGTGGTCTGAACTCATTTAAAAGATGATGAATATGTATGAATAGTAAACTTAAATCTTCTACCTAAAAAGTATATCAAATTATTTGAAGTACATCAAAAACAATAAAAAGATAAATATCAATGTAAATATAGAATTATAAATTTTATAAATGCCTTACTTTTTCTGCACGCCTTGGACTGTCAGGACTTTGCACCAATAAATCTATTAAATCTAAAAAGTTAACCAGCAAAGAATGGTTAAGTTTTTTTAATTCACGTCGTCGATCAAAGTGTTGAGGATATAATCTTTTGATTCCTTGAGCTTCCAAGGGTCTGATGATACTATCGTCGGCATTAAATACATTCCCGAACATAGAATAACTATCATGAGCTGGAGGTGGAGGCTTAGGTGCCCTTCCACGATGAATATTTTCATCTGTATATAAATTGATGTATTGTAAAGGTGGTAAGGGTAATGAACTAACTTGCATTGCCTCTGGTGCCGTCATTTTTCTAAGAATTATATCAACGCAAGTTCTTTCCAAGAAATATTATTTTTATAACGTAGTGTACTTATCTACACAATAATGTAACAATGAGGTTAGAATAACATATAACTTTCATGTAATCTTATATACTTTGTATTTGAAACATACCTGTTTGTTTTATTTAAAAAAAATGATTATTAAGATTACATATACATATATGTAATTTAATTAAACAATCATTATATTTCTTAATAAATTATTTTCCTTAGAAACACAAAACACGGCGAGATCATCATTACTTGAATGTATCGGCAGTTTCGAGTTTACAAAAAAGATCAACAGATATCCCTGTCGTTGAAATTATTATTTTATATTAATATATAAACATTGAAAATGTTATACCAAAATTAAATAATATTAATATTAAATAAATATTCGATAATGTTTATTTATTAATGTTTCGATTTATTTAAGTTAATCAAAAGTAGTAATTGAAATTGAATATTGACTATGGTAGTATGCCATTTCCTCCTATCTCGCGAAGGTTCCTCGATGTTCGGGTGGTCTCGGATTGACAGATTATAACAGTGTGCATGCGTTCGTCCACGTGAACTCTTTATTGCGTCTGGAGTACATTTGTGTGTGTTCATACCGGTCATGTTTTGACAGCTGCCAAAATAGGGTTAAATAGATGCAATAAAAAACATCATTAGTAGATAAGTATGTACTACTATTTGTTAACGTCTCAATTATTATTTATAAAAATAGTTCTATTATCATGATTTGAATAGTTAAACCTAATGTCAGTTATAATAGTGTTGCAATGATGCAAAATTGGCCACTAGCATTTTTCTTTGTGTATAATACGAAAACCATGTATATTTATCGTATTACAAATCTGCAATATTTCGTATATAAGTAAATAATAATAAGTTTAATAATATAAAAATATAGAAATCTTATCGAATTATAATTTTTATATTTCTGAAGAAACATGGTTAGTTTATAAAAATGTATTGCTTTGAATTCGGCTAAATGTCATTTCAATTCAAGCAATGTATTTATATGTGTATAGATACATAGATATTATATATATGCATATATATATATATATATGTATGATACATATATATTTAGTGTATTTAAAATTCCTATCATGTATGGTTCGACTGCTAAAAGGTATAAGTGATATATAAAGATATTGAGTAAGTTACTCAAAAAATATAACTTTGAAATATTAGTTTATTCGTTTAGAGTATAGATATAGAACACGGTAACATATATAGTCGGAAAAACTAAGTAATCATAGTCTTATATTTTTAGGATTAGGAGAGCCGCAGTAAACATCTGTATTTTTCAACACATAACTTGTCAGACAAGATCTAATTGCAGAAGAGTCGAACTACAAAAATCTTGCCATGATTTCATTTTTATTTTATTAAAGATTATTGCTATCTTAACGATGCAGACTGTAAGGTCCTCTTATAAGCTACATTTCACTAAGTGTATGAAAACAGTTCTATTCTCTTTACATACTTCCTTGTTAATGAAGAAATTAATACAACAATGGAATATTAATACCATTAATTGAAGTTAACATTTTTTTTTTATAAGGTCTGTCGAGAATGGCAGGGAAAGATGCAAAGGTGGAGTCAAAATCAGCAGACGTGGTAAGGCAAGGATTTATGGTTAAACGTTCTCAAAACAAGAAACGTTTTACTCCTGTTAACTACAAGCAACGTTGGTTTGTACTAACACGTCGTCATCTTGTTTATTATGATAGCGATAGTGAGGTAAGTACAAAATAATTTGTTGCGAAGAATTAAAGTTACTTAAATCTGCTTGCATATAGTAATTGCATAAATTTATAAATTATTTAATTTTTATTGCGTGGATAATGAAAATGAAACATTCCAATAGTTAGTAAAGAAATTATTATAACATTTTGATAAACCATTAGTTATCGGATGCGTTGTTATCAATTAAAGAATTTAAGGAGATATTTATTTATAATACTTACACAGCTTTATGCTCATTTCTGCCAGTGTATTATCTAGTGAATAAGGAATATTAAAGAACTGAACTATTTCTTGTTACAGCGGCGCAAAGAACGAGGTCGTATAGCGATTGAAACAGTCCATGTGGTAGAAACAGCAAATCTTGGTAATAATTCTGGATGTGGGAGTGGGAATACAAAAATAGATACAGCTGGTAATGACTCAGGTAGTAGCGGAGGCAACGTACCACCTGGACTACCATTCCAGATAGGATATCGAGAAGCTGGACAAGAGTATATTCTTTATCTTCTCGCAGCACGGGAACAAGATAGATCTGAATGGATACGTGCTATCCGTGCTGGTAAATATCTACTATGTATGTATCATGTTAGATACATACATTGTATTATATTATATTATGAGTTTAAAGAACTACAAAACTATTAAGGAAAATATAATTAAATCAAATGTTCATTTGATCTGCTTCAGTATGCTGTGAAAATCCAAGTTTAAGCAATCGTTATCACGTGGGCTTATGGAGTGGTAAACGTTGGTCTTGTTGCCGTTTGGTAACGCGATCTGCGGAAGGTTGCGATACATGCAGTTCTTGGTCTTTGAATGTGACAAACGCTCCAGCGTGTCCGCTACGAACAGTAACTTCTACTACAGGAAACGTCACTGCTTCGATTGTCATTCCACCAGCGGATTCTACTACTCAAACGACAAATGCTGAAACGAACAACAATCCGATCATTCAATCTCAAGCGTGTTCTACGTTTGGTATGTAAATATTTTCTTTTATTTATATTTTACTTATGTCTAGAGTCAATTTGGCTGTTTTAAACGAGACAGTTATCTCTTATCTATTTAGTTTAAGAAAAAACACCATTTCTCTCTTCTTTTTCTAATTTAAACAGACAATACATAATACATACAATTTATTGCAATGTAGCACGGAGTTTTTTTTATATTTTTTTTTTTTAATTCATTCCTATAAGTAGAGTGCAAGTAATCAAATTTATTCTACATGTATTAAATCTTTTAATTAGAGATAAAAGGTACAAGTCTCGTTTATAAAATGTGATTGTATTATTTTAGAAAGTTCATGAAATTTATAAAATCTTTAAATATTCAAGTCAATGTCTTTTTGTTTTTTACATTTAGATTATTTTCTTTTTATCAAAGACTTTTTTAATATTCAGTCTTCTTGTCACGGAATAAATATATATAAATATAAGTGCAGCTATACAAAAAAAACAAAAAAAACATACATTCAATAAAATTAAAATAATCGAATAATCAGGAAAAAGATATTGAGTATACATTTGAAATGATAAATGAGCTCATCGAATAAGCGATCATCCATCGCATATTCTAATAATTCTTGTCGCGATTCGCAAAAGGTTCGGCAAAGGTGGTGGCTCCTATAAAGGTGAAAGTATGGCAGAAAAGGTGGGGACCGCCGACCATTCGTGTTACATGTACATGTACTTTCGAATCATTCGCGAGTATTAGCTGAGAGTACGCGATCGGAGCGTGTGTTTTTTCGTATTTATCGGGGTGTGAATAATCGATTAGAAAATATTTATTATATTTATTTATAATATGTTCAAAATATTCTCTCTCTCTTCTTCATGTTTGAATATTAGTTTGGTGAAGTTCAGTACGTATTAAGTAACGGTGATCGTAATTAACGGGTATGATGGTGATAAGTGTTCTAAAACATGTCGCGAACGCTGCCACCACGCTGTTCACTCGGCTGCCGTTAATGCCATTGGACATAGTCTCACCAATGCGGGTATGTCCGAATTTCTATAAGCAAAGATTAGCCATTTTAAGATTTGACGCTGATTTTATTCTTTAATAATCGATCATCGCTCGGATGCTCAATAAGGTCAGCGCTTAATAAAATCGATTGGCGATTAGTGCCAGAACAGTGTGCGAGAGAAATCCCATTGAGAAATATATGTATTATTTACACCATAAGATGTATGTGTGTACGTGTGTTCTGTATGTCGTCCGTATGCGCGTGCACATGCATAACACACACACATACATACACACGACATACACACACCAAAGCAGTCTGATCAAACTTTCGCTTTTACGCTTTCTATTTGATCTCAAATCTAGAAATCTAAAATAGAAAAGTATATATCATGTTTGTGATCGAAAATCTAGATGCATGTTCACAACAAATTTTTTCACATATTTATCTACTTTTCTTTAGATACTTTTTACACGTATTTACAGAGTTAGACCAATATAAAAAATATATTTTCCATTCCCGTTTCACGATTAAACCTGTAATAACAATTATCAAAAAGATTTTGTTACTATATTTTGGATATACTCGTGACTCGTTTTGTGCACCCGTTGCACCCACACTACACACAGTGCTAGAATATTATCTATAGTAAGGTTTTTATTTCTTTTTTTTATAATGTCTTTTCAAACGGTTATTGTAAATTGTAATGTGACAAAAAATTGTGCGATGGTCAGTTGAATATTTATAAATTTTTGTTTATTCCTATATTATTTATAAATATAAAATATTATATTTGGGAGATAGTAGAGTGATAGTCGAATTTGTAAGATGTTTCCTAGGAGGGCGTAGCAATAGGAAGGACGGGTGCATCGAACGCGATCGGTAGCTGGCGCCGCCCTCATAATTAGTGCAAAAGACTGGAACGTTGAAAATTTTTAAGACGATCATAAACGTTCGATTATGGTCGGTTACGTTATCAAACGAACCACGTGCTGTTTCAATTTTTTTTCCTTTATTTCTTTGCATTATAAAAACATATCGCGTTATTTTATTTATTACTTTTGCGACTAAACTATATTTAACAATACACATTTCATGATATCTATATACATATATACATATATATATATATATATATATATATATAAAATAATCCTTAATATCTTACAATTGGAGGAGAAAAGAAATATTATGAGGATTTTTCATTCACTTCTCTGTCGTTTTTGATATTTTTATTAATTTTTTTTTTTATGAGATACCGTTATATTTCCATTTCCTTTTTGTCATATCATTCATTCAAAGTGTTTGCCATTGATTGGAATTCTTCCAGTTCAATGAATTACATACGTTAGATTTATCAGGTAAATTGAATAATCTTTAATATTTAATTAAGCAATTTTCTTTTTTTATAATCTGCTTTTTTATTTTTATATTAGCTCTAAGACAATACTGTTGCTCTTTAGCGTGTTAATGTTTTTAAATATAATCATTGGATGCCTTTTAGTGTACTGTAGTAATATTAGAATATTTAGTATAATTTTCTGTTTTGAGATTATGCATATGATCTTCTTTCAAAAATAGATATATTTATATATTTGTATAGATTTTTATCATATCCTTTTTTTATGATCATTGAATTTGCTAATCATTTTTTCTTTTTCTTTTTTTTTTTAAGTCTAAAAACAGCCTTAATAGCATAAACTAGATATTTTGCGTCCATTGATATCAAAGCACGGTAGATGATGACAATAAATAAATAATATTTGATACATATTCAAGGATATATTCATTACACACACTCCAAACTACTATTATTAAATATATTTTCCGCGTATATATTATTATGTTAGTATCAATAATTGAGTACAGATAATTGCATGTATTTTGATATTCTCATGCATGCTGCAAACTTAGATCAAGAAAATTGCAAAAAACATGAAATTCGGATATGAACAAAGGAACACATATACACTCCAAACAACAAATGATGAATATTAAGATGCCAACTTCAACAGAAACGTTCCATTCGGCAGGATAAATAGCGCATAATGATCAAAGAATTGGTACACTGGTATGTATAATTCTATAAATGTAATTATTTCATCATTTTTGGATTATTTTGTGTTAGCAAGAATAATTCAAAGTCTACCAAGATTTTTATCAAATGAACTTTTTTCAAACAGACAAATTATGTAAAATTTGAAGATATTAAGTTATTTATAACTAATATATTAAATAGGTTTTCTGACAAGGTATATCCTATACTTTGTTGTTGTAAGGCTTCAATAATTCTGATTATGGTATTTGCATATTTGATCAGTGGTCATGTATCGAATATGTTTTTACTTCACTGATGATTATCATCTAAATATGGATAATTTCATTTGATTATGTTATTTCAAAATAACACTTTCCTTCCACACCAATAAAGATTATTTTTCTTTCTAAGCACACGTATATTAATTATAAATTATTATTCTTGTTACAGGTACTCCTTCGACTCCAATAATGCCGGGTGGAACTCCTGGTACTCCATCTTCTAAAAATAAAGTACGTCGTTAATTATTTTTATTTTCTTCGCATAATATTTGGAAGACAAATACTAAAATAACAAATATTTTTTTTAGGATAAAGTAGTTACAAGAGCAAAGGTTGTGGTGGCTTTGTATCCTTTTCGTGCAATAGAAGCTGGTGATCTTTCTCTTGAAAAGGTAATAATAGTATATAATAAGAGTAAATAATTACAAGTATTGTATTTTAAACAATGTCCATGTCTTACATTAGTTCATTTATTTCCTTAGGGTGCAGAATATGAGGTATTAGATGATTCTCAAGAACACTGGTGGAAGGTGAAAGATGAGCATGGGTAATTCTTTAAACATATATCAATGACAAAATATATAGTACGATAAATATAACTTATTAAAATTTTAATTTCAGATCAATTGGTTATATCCCTAGTAACTATGTGAAAGAAAAAGAACTCCTAGGATTGCAAAAATATGAGTAAGTATTGTTACTCATTGTTGTTGATTTTTAAATATTCACGATTAAGTCTTATATTTACTCTTGCAATGCAGATGGTACGTAGGTGATATGTCAAGACAACGAGCAGAGTCTTTACTGAAACAGGAAGAAAAGGAAGGATGTTTCGTCGTTCGTAATTCTTCAACGAAAGGTCTTTATACACTTTCACTTTATACAAAAATGTAAGCATTTATCTTAAGTCAAATTCACTTAATTACTTAATGCAAATAGATTATTTCTCAATAATATATTCAATTGTATTTTTTACAGTCCACTTCCACATGTTAAACACTATCATATAAAGCAAAGTACTCGAGGGGAATTCTATCTCTCGGAAAAACATTGTTGCAGTTCGATTCCCGATCTTGTGAATTATCATCGACATAATAGTGGAGGACTTGCGAGTCGGTTAAAAACAAGTCCTTGTGATAGACCAGTTCCACCTACTGCCGGCCTTAGTCATGGTTAATAAAATATATTGATTTTATTTCAATATTTGTATTAAATTGAGATAACTTATGTATTTTTTTTGTATAATTACAGATAAATGGGAAATAGACCCAGCAGAGCTACATTTATTAGATGAACTAGGTTCTGGTCAATTTGGAGTGGTACGAAGAGGAAAATGGCGTGGTTCCATCGACGTTGCTGTGAAAATGATGAAAGAAGGAACTATGTCTGAAGATGATTTTATAGAAGAAGCAAAAGTCATGACGTTAGTATTATTGTATATGCCATTTGAACTCTGAATATCTATATGTATTCTTATATTTTGATTGATTTTTTTTTACTAGAAAGCTACAGCATCAAAATCTCGTTCAACTATATGGTGTTTGTAGTAAAGACAGACCAATATATATTGTCACAGAATATATGCGGCATGGATCTCTTCTCAACTACCTCCGTCGTCATGAAGCTACTTTAGGTGCAAACGTTGGTCTTTTGCTGGATATGTGCATACAGGTGAAATTATTATATAGCAGGTTTTCATGTTACATTATATATCATGTTAATAATATTCTTTGTTTTTTTTCTAGCATATTCAGAGATAACCATATGCAAAATGGAAAAATCTGATCGAATAAAAACTTTCCAAAATACTGGTTTCAGGTCTGTAAAGGAATGGCATATTTGGAGAGACATAACTATATCCACAGAGACCTAGCAGCACGCAATTGCTTAGTTGGATCTGAAAACGTAGTGAAAGTGGCTGATTTCGGTTTGGCAAGGTAATTTTCATATTACTTTCTTTTTTATTTTAACGTGATATAAATGCCTGTACAATCATACATTTAATTTATATGATCAATCCTTCCTTTAGATATGTTTTAGATGATGAGTATACCAGTAGCGGGGGTACCAAATTTCCAATTAAATGGGCACCGCCGGAAGTATTGAACTATACTCGGTTCAGTTCAAAATCGGATGTCTGGGCGTACGGAGTTCTGATGTGGGAAATTTTTACCTGTGGAAAAATGCCTTATGGTCGTCTCAAGAATACCGAGGTTGTCGACAGAGTTCAACGTGGAATTATATTAGAACGACCGAAAGCTTGCTTCAAAGAAGTTTATGAGGTTGATTATTATATTTTTTTGTTTTGATTAATGCAAAAATAGAAGAGAGGAGGCAACAAATATTAATGAAATAAATTGTGTATTTTAGGTAATGCGGAAATGTTGGGCACACTGTCCAGAAGTTCGACCTTCTTTTCGTGTTCTTAAGGAACAGCTCATTAGCGTTTCTCAAGGCCTTCTCAATGATTGACTCAACCTTCTCCGGTGTATGCGCCTTTCTTCGCCCTCTGGACGATCAATACAATACATAAAGTCTCCATCGTCATTGGAGCAGTCAACTTCTGTTCTGGCATCCTCTAATTCATCATGCAATTCTGCGACATTACCTTTATCACATAAAACTCGTGCACCGGCCTCTTTGCCTTCTTCGGTCAACTTCCTTCATCTATCATCAACCATATCTAGACCGGAAGAGGAAGAATCATCTTCACAAAGCACGACTCATCACTTGGCTAGTCAACCATCCGCAAGTTCATCTAACGTTTGTGACATTTGTAGTTCTTATGGACATCCGTGGATAGAACTTTGCAAGGCAATACGGGCTACTAAAGAGGAATAAACCTTTTATTGTTTATTTGTAATATAATGACTACATCGTTTTTGCTTCATAAAATGCTTATATACAGGCTGCGCTGACCCCTGTTTTTAGTCTTCACAACGACATTAGAGTAAATTTGCAAGTAATTTGAGGAATAAACACAATAAATAATTAAAACAAGGAGTGCGTATAAAGATGGGTTCAAAAAAAAGCTTCTTCACTAAAATATTGCTATTAAGACAAAAATTAGTTGTACGTTTGAAACATCTTATATTACAATAAATGTTTAAGATATAAGCGAGCTCTGGCATATATAACCATTGATAATAATTTTTCTATTTTTTATTTTATTATTGTTTTAGTATTGAACAATTAAGAAAGTGATATATTTTAGACTACGTAGTAATTCACTGATAAATATAATTCATTTTATCTAATAGAATAATGGCCTCAATGTTAAAGATATTCATTGTCATTCTTAAATCGATCTACTTTTACAATTTTTTTCCGCTCGTTTATGTCGCTATCCTATTACTATTAGTTTTTCTTTTTTTAAATTGTTTCTAAAAATTTACGATGTTCACAATGTTTGCTAATATCTTTTTTCGCTACACCATAATTTCTACGTCCAATAATAACGTCCATTTAATTATTTTTTAACGATTTTTTACTTTTTACATTAAAATTATGCCGAATCATTTAAAATAATATACATAAGCATGAGTCGTCTCCGAGGATAAAAATATTTTCTTGAGTCATAACACATTTATTTGAAAAGAAAATGTTTTTATTATATCATACCTTCTTATACAGTTCGGGAGAGACTGAATGTGATATATTTTAAACGAATGAACTACCATGGTAGTATACACTGATGGACTGAGGCAGAATGACATATTGAAGCCAACTGGAAGCCAGTGGAAAATGCTGAAACAAAATAACATTTCTAGGGGATCCTGCCAATCATCTTATAGCATGCGTACACTTAATTTATGTAGTATTAGCAATGTATTAAATAATAATAGAAAATAAGAAAAGACGAAGAAGAGAAATTTCTCTTTGAAAATATCTCTTAGATCTTATGTTAGAAAACAGATATTGATAATTGATATTACACACTTCATAATATAAAAATATATATATAAATAAAATATGTAGATTTTGAAAGTGATCAAAGTGATATCTATTATTTTTTCGAAAATAAAAATTGAGCATTTATAATAAAATGAATATATTAGTCTGAAATAATAAATATAATCTTAATTTTTAGAATTTCACATCACACACACTTTCAAAATGATAAATTTGTATGCGGCATATAATATTTCCAATATCCAATATAAGTTTGATTAACGCAATTATATAAATTGAATTATTATTCACGATAAAATACATCTGGTTATTGTGTTAATGTATTAATTTTTTTGATAGAGATATTGTGTGTTGTACGGCCATATATAACACATACTATTATTTTTTAATACTTATTATTAGTATAAATATATGTTAAATTGCAAAAAAAAAAAAAGATACATATTTGAATAACAATAAAATGTTATGTATTAGACAGACAAATCGATACAGAGAGCCAAATAATAATGATAACAGGATGGATAACATTCTTTTGTACACGTTTTTGTCTTTAACGCATAAAAAATAAAATAAATAGCTTTCTGTATGAATCTGTTAACTATATATAAATTTGAATGTATATACAACCTTTGCTTGAAGTTGAACAGGCTCAATTCCTGAATCGATGCGATGACTTCTTACCATCACGAGTGTTCCATTGATGCGATTTTGATTGTGACCTTCTACGTTCCCTAGATCTAGAGTGACTTCTCCTTCTACTTCTAGAAACATAAGATCGCGATCTGTGACGATCTCGCGAACGGGATCGTGATCTATCTCTAGTTCTTGATGATGACTTTCTTTTCACCCTTAGACGCGATCTGCTACGCCTTATTGAACGAGATCGACTTCTTCTTTCTCTGGAATGCGAATGAGACTTCTTTTTTCCACTAGAACGCGATCGGGACCATTTTCTTGATCCAGACAATGACCTTGATCTTCGGCAGCTTCTAGATCTTGATCTCAATCGTTTTCGATTTCGTGATTTGGATCTACGCTTTCTACTGGACCTATAATTGCTCGACCTTGAACGTCGTCCCTTACGCGATTTCACTGATCTCGATCTCGAGGAACGTTTTCGCGTACGTTCCGAAGAACGGGATCTCGATTTCTTGCTCCTTGATTTACTTCTACTTTTAGTTTTTCGTTTCTTTTGTTCGCTTCGATCACTTTTCTTACTTATCTTTTTATTCTTTTTTGTTGAAGCATGACTTGTATCAGAGCTTGTTGAGTCAGAATTACTAGATTCAGAATTGACTGATCCTGACGGTGTATCAGCTTTTATCACATCCGCAGAGACATTTACTTCTCCTTGACTTTGTCCTTCACTTGATAAACTTTCAGATGCTGCTCTTTGAATATTTACCGTTTCTTTCTCATCAACTAAAGTGTGATGTTATGGAGTTATACTTGATAATGCAATTATATCTTTTAAGTTTATTATTTTCAATACATACCTGTATCTCTGCAGCTAGTATTACCAATATGATTTTCCTGTTGTGCATTGTATTGATCTTCGCTTTCCTCTTCTGCCGCAAGACGTGCTTCTATCTCCTTCTCTGTCTTTTTGAATGCCTGCTGCCGACGTCTCAAAGTTTCCTGTAAAGCAATTCAGATAATAGATAAAGTACAATTTGTTATTAGTCTACAAAGACCATTAGAATTGAAAATTTATATATACCATAAGTTCTTCGTCGCTATCATTGTTTTGGAGTTGTTCTTGTTCATTCTGCTCTTCCTCGGATTCGCTATTACTGTCACCATAGATGCCCAGACCTATGACACACAAATATTTAGTTAAATCCATTTTAAAATTCTCACATTGATCCTTAAATGTGAAAAAAACATACGCTGAACCAATAAATTTGCTGCTGCTATTTCATTATTAAATGTCCTGAGAGACATCTTCATTTTGTTATCTGTCAGTAAATATTGAAATTGTGCAAAATTGCACGAACAGCAACTATTTAAAGATACTGTTTCTACAACCATCCTTAGGGAAACACAGCACGTGGAAGATTATAAATATATATATAACTTACCAAGTTTTCGAGTGATCTGAGCAAGAGGGGCCGTGTTGTTGAAGGATGCGACTGAGTGCTCTCCTGCAGGGGCTTACAATACACACGCATTTAGTAATCAATCGCTAAGAATGACTTTGCGGATACCATTCCCCCCATCCCAAAAAACACATATTGTAAATTACGTTGCTCAGCGTTTTGTAAGTAGAGAGACAACTCTATTCCTCACATAGCTGCTAATAAAAGCTTTTATTCTTATCTCATTAAACTATCAAAACTGAGATTTTTCGTAAGTTTAAATTAATAAGATATTATTTTACAATATCTTAAGCTTACACGTATCAACTAATATGGATGTAATACACCTGTAGATAATCGTGCACGCGCACATTCTTTTTATGCACTTTAATAATAATAAAAATGATTAAAATCTCTACAAACTACAGCATGTTATTTTACTTAACAAAATATAATATAAGAAAGATATTTGTATCTTTGAATAAAACTATTTAAATATTTACACCAGATTCTTTACATTGCACAGATATAATCCTAAATCATAAATGAATATATAACATGCTGTAGTTTATTAAACTGAATTGATGAATCATTACTAGTAGTAGAAGAATAAAAAAGAGAAAATGAATTTTTCATAAAATTAAGTGTCACAATGATAGAATTTGTGAATGAAATTCGTCAATTTCGAAGCTATATGTCAAAAGTTTAGTACGACCCCACCTGTCCAATTTTCGTGTGAAAATAATCACTGCTTATCGCGCAAATATACAAGTACATTTCCATACATCTTTATGTACCTTCCATTATCTAATGGCACGAACGTATAACTAAAAAAAAAACTCGTATCTTTGATACATAATAATATATATCATCAGATAGAGTTTTATATTTATTATTTTTGTAATACGAGAGTTCTACACTTCATCGATCACATATTAGACCGACATATGTTTATGTCAATTCGTTGGAACACGATAAAATAAAATATATTTTATAACATATCGTTTCTCAGCAAAACACCGTTATTACCTTCCGAATGAAATAGACAAAATTGTACGTATGACGTTCAGCTATTAACGTATCATTTTTAAACTAACAGTATAATGTAATGATTGTAATAAACTAATATAGAAGTAAAGGCTTTGTATACTCCTGGAAGAGAAAAGCAGATGTCCTGCAACTGTCAAATAATTAAGCCTATGGATTAAAAAATCTTTGTTTAATCTCGTAAATATTGCATTATACAATGGGGTCGATAGTGCTCTCCATGACATGGCACAAAATTTATGTAAATTAAATATTATATATTGGCGAGGAAAAATATGAAGTTTCGTTATGTTAGTGTTATCATTTGTATCTGGAGTACCTTTGGCACGTGCGCGATTCCAAACCTCTCTGCATACTACAGCTATTTCTTCGTTTGTTACTTCCAAAAGAATTTCTGTTAGAGATCTTCGAACTTTCAACATCTATGGCACAAAATTAGCTGTAAATTCGTATATGACTCAAATAGTAAGTTTATGTAAAAATATATATTATGCTTAATTATTTACCACTTCCTGCAATATTTCCTCTTGCGATCGTTTAACAGTAACAGCTACATTACTAGAAACCGGTGGCGGACTATTATCAACGGCTATGCTTGGCTCAGGTGAATCAGCATCTCGAAAACGCGATTTTCTCGGTCGAAGAATAACATCCGGGGTCCGTTCGTAATTTTTTTTGCTTATATTCTGTTCCGTCGAACTTGTCTCAAATTCTTGATCTGCTTCTTTTTCCGAATCTGAATCCTATTTCAAATATAATCATGTTTTCAGTTTATAATTTAACGAATTGTATTATTTAATCGTATACTTACAAATTTACTTTTCGCAGGATTGAGTACTAAACGAGCCTCATCTTCGGCTTTTTTACGCGCTTCTATTTCTTGTTTTCGTAAAATTTCTTGTCTTTCACGTTCCACTGCCTTTTGCTTTTCCCTTTCCATCTTTTCTAATCCTTCCCTAATCCATGCTGGCAATTGACGACGTTTTGCTGCATCTATGAGAGATTCATATTTATTGGAATCATGTATTTTATTATCTTTTAAAGATACTTTTACATGCTCTTTTATTTTTACCAATAGTGGTAGTTGTATCTTCCTCTGGTGTTTTTTCTCTATTGTTTCTACATCTTACTGCATCAATAGGTCTCATATGTGGTATTCTATTCGTATGTCGTATGCCTTTCATATAAAGTAATGGTTGAGAAGGCACTGCAGTTGAAGATTCGCCAGACCAGAAATTACTGACCTAAACATGTATACAGGTTTACAAAGTTTGATAAAACAAATTTATATTAATATTTTTCTCTTTTCTCAAGATATTAACTTGTTGATTATAAGGTTGTGATGGAGGTGCAGAATTGTAAGAATACAGCGATGGTGTTACTGGAGGTGGTACATTAAATTCTGTAGTCGATATCGTTGGACCAGGTGGAATGATTGGTAATGTAGGTACCGCTGTTGGTTTTCCATCAGGACCTATACTAACTCCAGGAGGTGGAACACCAGTCCACTCCCAAGTTCCAGTACTAGAATTAGAAGTATTCCAATGTCCCCATTGACTCCATTGAGTCCAAGCATCTAATAATAATTAATTATTTGTATTTGTAGGAAGGAGAAGTGAATGTATTACACATTTCATATATATGTGTATTTTTATATTTTAAATATTTTATATCTATAAACTGATATGCGCACATCAGTATACTAATAGAACGTGTATCGTTATATTACCAGAACCACTAATTGTGGGAGCCGGTGGTGCTGGTGGGATATCATCTTCTTTGGTATCCATATCCATAGGTGCTTCACCGCTACTATCATTTCCTGGACACAAGGAATCGATGGATGGTGGTGGTGGAGCAGGTGGAACAATCGTTTCCTTCATTTTTATCCATTGTTGAGCTAATGCAGCCCAATCAACTACGGTAACATAATTTATTATTTAACCATTGTTAGCGATTACAAAAGTGAGTAAAACTTATAAATAAACTTAACAGCACTGTTCTTGATCTTTTGAAATGTTGCGGTTTACACATATGTAGAGATAAAACAAATAATTTATATAGATATACATATATAATATCAAAAAGTAATAGATTTCATTCGTTAGCCTACCTTGATCATTACTCATATTTTGATATGCGGAAGGATTCAATGCCCATTGCGTTGGATAATCTTTTCCTTCAAACATGTCGCCGCTCATTTTAAACAGTAATATTTAAAAATTGTCCTTATTTTGATTAAGTCGTTTTGCACTAATCGTTGCAAAAAAATTCAACACTTTAATATTGCTACATATGTATGTGTTACATACGGAAGTGCGCGAGTGTGCGCGCGCGCGCGCACTATTTCTAAGTGGGCATTTTCGTTACATCACAATTATGTGTAAAAATTGATTTTAATTTTTAAAGTCTCTTACTTTATCGACCAAATGTACTAATTATTCAGAACACTAAAACTTTGTAACACAAAGTACATTCCATGCGCAGAAATTATTGTTGATTATTCGGAGTAATTATTGGATTAGATGGAGTGCTAACAAAAGATCGGTTATTATTGATAATAATTCAGAAAAATTTGTAACTTTTTTGAGGTTTTATCAAACTACTGATACCTTTTTTTCTAAATTATCATAAGTATTTAAACGACTAATATATATTCTGCTAAAATACGGCCATAAGGCGTCTCAAACACTGCTACCAACTCTCGCAATTTTTATATACCTGTTCCAATTTGTCTACAATTTTTCTAGTAAAAATAATTCTTACGATACAATTAATAAAAAATAATTTTAATCAATAAAATCATACACAATCAGATAATAGTTGAAGTTATTGGCTAAATTTTAAATCAACGGCAAATCAAATGTAAACTTTGAATAAAGACATTGTAATACGCCATCTGGAATTTGGATGATTTATTGGATAATTTCAATTACGTGGACGAATCGACCAATCGGAGTAATTTTACAAAACAATATCAGTTTAAAATCTAGATTTTGAATGATTATGTTTTTATTAATAATTGTTTTCCATTTAAAATATTTATTGTGCATTTTATTCCATAATTTTTACTTCAACGAATTTGTGTAAGTTTATTCGTTTGTTTCAAGAGGTTATACAAATTATTCTGCTATTTTTTTATATTTTTCTAATCGATCAAAAAGTTAACTCTATTTGTTGGTACATTTTTTATAGGTACAAGAAGACCGACACAAATTTGATACGGTGTAGATGATATATTTCTTTTCTTTTAATTGTAATATTCAAACGAAATTGTATAAACATTCGTAAAATTTAATTATGGTCTTATCATTTACGATGTTCTGTAAATACTATAGCTTACGAAATAAAAGATAACAACGACTCGTTAGTCACATTAGTAAACAATATAACTATGACAAGAATTGATGTTGGAAGACGAATAAATTGATGCTATTTTGGTCTCGTTACATTCACATATTGTCAAGAAGTAAGTATAAATAAAAAAAAAACAAAAGAACAAAAAGAAACATTAATTTAAAAAATATTTTATCAAGTTATATGTTAAATAAAAAGACGTGGAATTAAAATTCGTGATATCTCGTATACATATATAACGTATACAGATTTGTCACTTTTTCTAGGAACTATATCAACAATATTGACTCTTCTCTTAATATCCTTTTCATAGAAAGTAAAAACGAAGAAAAGGTATATCTTCATATAATACTAATACTAATACTAATACTCCATTTTCTTTGATTATACATAAAATATAATTACATCGTTGGATGCACAGCATCATCAAATTTTATACATATATATATACGATTCTACGTACTAAAAATAATTTTGTCTTTTTTATATATAAATGATATTCTTATTTGTATTTTATCTATTGACCTGCAATTTTACCTTTTCCTTTTGTTTTCTTAACACATCTAAAAAAATATATGTGTGTATATCATATATCTCGCCGAAAAAATATTCATCTACAAATTCTGGGATCAACGTTTCATAATTTCTATAATTAGATCATAAACTACTTCAATAAAAATATTTGGAGCATCTATCGTGACGCACATTTCATTGCCCCTATGATAATTGAATATATTCTCTCGATTGCAAGTAGATACTTTCCGTTCTTTTCTAACCAACGACAAATAATTTTATGATAAAACATTTATGTAACAATTATGTAAACGACGTCGTCATCGTCGTCGTTTTCGTTGAAGTTTTCCCAAAAATAAGTTCTCTCGATATCCAGTTTACGGTTTACATTTGTACTTTCGTTCTGTGTTTTAAAATTTGGCGTTCTGCCTTCTAAGATCATTTGGTATTATCGTAGTGAAAAAGGCTCCGATTGCTAAGGCGATGCATAAAATTATATTTGCCCATAAATCACCCAAAAGTTTGATCAGATAGCGGTAGAGGATCGTGAAGAGTATGCCAAATACCTAAATAAATTATTCGTTTTGTTATTTACACGGTAAAATTGATACGAGGTCGAATTAATTGACGGATTGATAAATTAACATAAAAATCCATTGAAGGTTCGAATAAAATAAATAGGTCATAAAACAATAAAATTATTTTACACCTGTGTCACCGCGTTAAGCAATCCCGCAGACGTTCCTTCTGGTTCTGGATATGTTAATTCAGCAGCGAGTTCAAAACCAACCGGTAAATAACCAGTCATGAAAAATCTGAGAAAAGTAAGTATAATATTGGTACTTTATTCAATAATTTCTTTGCTTGGAAGAAGAAGAAGAAAAAGAAGAAGAAGAAGACTATTGTTAAATAATTTTTACTATACCCAAGTACAGCGGATGTGATATAAACAACGTATATTCGATCGATGTCTAAAGTAAAGGTGAAAATGATCATTCCCAAGAAGGAGCAGATATAAATTCCAAGCGTCGTTTCTCTGTGGATATGAAAATTGTCGTCTTTTTATTAATTTTTTTCTTATTAATTGCAACAAACATTTCGTAACATAGATACTCACTTATACTTATGCGTTTTATCTAACACGATACCACAGACAACGGAGCCTAACATTCCAGCACATACGATGGTCAAACCAACTCTACCAGCATCTTCCTCGTGTCCCTGTGTGCAAGGGACAAATAAAGATTAATTATTAGAAAAGATTCGCATCAAATTATAGTTGCTTATATTCGTTTTATATTCAGCCGAAACTTACCGGGAAATATTCTAAAATGATTTGATTCAGAAGCGTACTGATAGCGTAGAATATTCCAACGTTTATCGCATAGCTCAATAAAAGCAACAGGTATCCTACGTTCGTGAGGAGTCTTTTAACAGATTGGATAAAGTCTTCCGTAGATTCGTTATCCCTTTGTACGGCTTGCGCGGGACTGGGAGGAAGGGGTGGTTGAGCTTTAAAGACTGTGTGAGAAAATACGAATTGGTAAATATTTTGACCCTTTGAAAGTATAACAATCGAATTCAATTGGAAAAAATTCTTACACAGAAGTATTAATACCAATACGAGTGACGTGAGAGCAGCAACGATGTAAAACATAATCTGAAAACCGCGTGCGACTAATTCAAGATCATCACTGTTTGGTACTAATATAGGTGGAAATAGAAAGCCAATGGCTATACCCAACTGCAAACATAATAATAAATAGGATACGTTAGGTGTAGTAGTAGAAAAGTCATGATTTTTTTAAGTTGTTTTTATGTAATATACATTAGATCCCTCTTAAAAGGGTTAAAAGTCGATAGTACGAGATTTAAATGACCAGATGATTATGTGGGAAAGCTAACCGAACTATGCACCCACGATTCATTGTACGGAGGGGTTCAGACCCTAGCTTAGAATTATAAACGCACAGATATTATATATGACATCGTTTTTCGCACATAGATTATATCCACGTATGTATATATATATATGTATAAATACTTACGCACTCACCCTGTCGGCCGAGTGTGATCGAATTTGCTCAAGGTATATGTATATTTATGCGAAAGTGTTTTATTGCTACGTTGATCCACAGATTGCGTGGGGGAAAGGGAGATATTTGTATCAATTAATTACGATAGAATCCGTTTGATCGTTCAACGAGACGCTTGAAACTTCAAAGTAGGCGTAGGTATATATATATGCATATATATACGTATACCTGTATAAGTATTCCTCCACTTGACCTCATTGAACAAATTTTTCCTACTTACTTAATTTCTTTATTTGGTACTCGTCTTATTATATCTCAGTATTATTAAAGTAGATTTTAATGAATTTTATTCTTGGTCAGCTGTTTGGAATTTTTGTATTTAAAAAAAAAAAAGAAAAATTCAAATATTCTTCTTTCTACTTTAGATGATTAACGCGACTTGGTGTCCGACTTCTCGTTACCTTTAATCGGTTTCCGGTCTCTGAATGAGTATCATGATAGGCTGAAAAGAATAATGATCGTATCCCTTCTTTGAAATAACAATGATAGATCTTTCGAGGACCAGACTGTCCTCGTGTTATCTTCGTTTAATATGTTACATGTGACATTGTATAAATTATTCGCTATCATCTCGAATAAATTAGTATTTCCGTTCACCGATGTTAAGAACGAAACGATAGGCTTTGACTTTTACAAAAGACAACGCGGATACTTAATATTCGGTATCGACGAAATCTGACAGATTCAGATAATATATTTCGTTAAATTCACTCGATGTTACTTACTCGAGTAGCTCGATATATAAAATTATTTTGATTTATTTCTATACGTTTTTATTTTCCTATTTGGCGTTTAAGGGATAGTTTGGAATCTTTTTTAAGTTTCGATGTTTCGTAGATTTCGATCGGAATGTGTTCTCTATCGTGTTTCGTTAAATCAATCCAAAGAGTGGAAAAATTTACCGTTGATATTACATTTTTCCAATACTTTGTGCTATCACATATGTACATACACACGCTGATCATCTATCGTTATAAAAAGGAGTAACCATTATCGCGTTTGACGTAGACTCTTTTCTAAATAGAAAAATAAACGATGCGATAAAAAGACGAGTTATTTGTATTTAATTGAATATTTACTTAAAAAATCCTCCTTGGTCTTGTGACTTGAAAAGAAGAAAAATGAAAAAAGTAAAATGCATAAAATACCTGATTTCCAAAAACGCCGATGCTACAGGCACTACTAACTTGATCAGGACCGAACCAAACGGCTGCTAATCGTGCAGGAACCGAAAGAACAAAAGTTTGGCTAATGGCAACAATCGTGTGACCAATGAAAGTAATCCAAAATAAGTTTGGTGAAACGCTAAAAACTTTGATCCATGAACCGATCGCCGTTCCAATTGCACCCAGTATAACTGCCACTCGTAATCCCTGCGAAAGAAGAGATTTTAATGAAAACTTGTAATAATTTAGAATTATTATTTAAAGGGAAGGATCGATTCGTTTAGCGTTAACGTACTTATCACGCTGAGCGTTCATCGTATTATGAAACGAGGTCAATTAAATTCTCCGAGTGTTGCAGCATCTCATGCTTGAAAAATGTTACCGTCCGAATCGAATATAGACTACAATTTAATGAATAAAATAAAACACTCACAATATAATTTAGTTATACGTTAGTGATTGAAAAGCGCATACTTATTTATCTTGTGATAAGGCAGATTTAAAAAGCAACCTGCTTTAGTATCGGACATCGGATTTTATAAAACCACTATTATGAATTTCGTTTATATGTAGTGCTCTTGGAATCAACCGAAGCTAGTAATCAAAGTACCGTTGGCGAGATACGAATGTTTATTCTTTTTTAATATTTTTCCTAACACAACAGCGATCGATCGAAAGTCGCGTTACTTACAAATTTGTCGAGAAGATAACTGGCTGGAAATATGAACGGTATGTACGTTATCATATATATCATACTCGTCAAATCCACTAGAACACTCGTAACTTTGTAATATCGTTCGACAATGTTTGCTATGATACTGTATTGAATCCATTGCATCCCGTTGCTGGCACTGTACAGTACGAAAATCATCAATATTAGCCATCTTCTCGAGTAGATTTTGGTTTCTGTAACCTGGAATAATGAAAGAAGAAAAAAAAAACAAACACACATAAGAATTTTTAGTGTAAATAACGTCGATCGTGCGATATTCGTTTTTGTTGACAAGTAACCTGAACGTTTTCGTCATTTTGTCGAGTTCAACAGTGTTCAACGTAAAAAGTGCCAAAAATTTTCGTGATTACGAATGGATGATGCGAATGAACATCTTTTGGTGACAAAAAATTGCTTGCTGAAATAAATAAGTTCATCTATCTGAATCAATGAAACATTATTTATATTAGATGAGCAAAATAAATTCTGACATGAGACAAATTGTAAATATTGTTGGATATTGTGCATATAAGATATAGGGAGATAAGAAGAAGAAAAATAAAAAAAAATGAAAAGAAATATTAAGAACAATTTGTTCGGAAAGAAATAATCATTTTCGGATCGTATACCATGGATCAACAACGATCATCGATCGTTAATTTATCCGCATGCAATTGCATCTTCACCTGTGTTGGCTGTACACCACCCTCGACGGCTTTGACGTAATCCGGCGACATTTTTACCATTACGATCAAATCCTCGTATTCGATTTGTCGTATGAATCAAGACAAAATTCTTAATAATCGTAAATCAATCGATTCCTTTTTCTTCCCGGTCTTCCTTAACTTCCACTCGTAGTTCCTAAAATGTCAAAGTTCTGGTTGGGTGAAAAAAATCAAAAAAATATCTTGCCAAGGAAGAAGACAAACTATGGCTATTCCAAATTTCTTGCCAACTCGTTAGCGTGGTACACTTAATTAATAACAAATGACTTCTCGAGTTATTGTTGTTGTTGTTGTTCACGAAACGATCGATAATTTTTCCTGACTCGACGTTGGACGAAAAGAAAAGATTTTATTTTTAGAAGAAAGAAAAAGAACAAGCAAAAAAGCACTGCGAATTATAAAACTACCTCTAGGAAATTTTAATTATCATAAATAATACGTGAGAAAACAGTTGGAACGTTTAATTGCCTTGCAAAAGCGTATTATTCATAAAACTTGCATCCGAGAATACGCGTGGTACGTGGGAGATCGAAAAAAAAATCGATTGGTTAATCTTCGTTAATAAGCCGGGAAATAATGTCAAAGCTATTACATTTCTCAATTATTTCTCGATATTAAAAACCGCACCCCTATTTCCCAATGAAATGTTTACTCATCAAGATGTATATTCGGACTTTTCTACTTTGGCCAATCGCATCGGAAATCGATTAGATTCGCGAACGAAACAATATATATGTATATATATATATATATATATATATATATATATCTATGTACGTGCTTATAAATGTAATCTGTCATATGTGTATTGTCCGAATCCGCAAATTTAAGATTCGTCGTAGAATAAGAAAACTTTCCGAAGGTCTTTAAGGTCAAGGATTAAAACGAAAATAAAAACTCAGTGAGAAAACGACGGTGCAACGTCGATGACAATTAATAGTGCATAACGATTGTTCATTAATTATTATGCTTACCCCGTGGTTCCGATTTTGTTTTATTTTTCACGTTCTCGATCGATCATAGATTTCATTGATCTTTCGTTTCTTCGATCACGTCAAAGAATAAAAATCTCTCTTCTTATCCTTTTTTTATTTATAATTAAATGAAATCACAGAATCTAATTGATTTATCATTACTCTTCGATATATAAAATCAGATTACGAACAGGAATAGGTAGATCATCCTATTCGTATAAGTTAACAGCGTCCCACCACGTGGTTAACGGAATCACGTTCGCAGAAACACAAGGCGTATTTTCTTCTCTCACTCGCGTGTCCACCACCGTGGAGAAGTTGAGAGAAATTATTGGAAGGGGAGCGAATGCGCGAAGGAGATCGACCAATGGCTTTTAAATTCGAATAACTTTATTCTATTTCGAAATTTTTCATGCGAAGGATGAATCGAACGAGATCGTAAAAGGAAAAAGAAATCTCAAAATAAGATATTTCTCTTTTGATGTTTTTCTTTCAAATTTCGCGTACCTTTTATCTTTTATCTTCGCCTAATGTGCGAATGAAAAAAAGGAAGAAAGAAAGAAAAAATAAAGAATAAATATAAATAATATTGAAATTCCTAGATATATCGAGTTTGACGATAGCTGCTAGCTTTCCCTTTTAACCCGATGATATCGATCAGCCCCGTTGTTCGCGAAAATCGTGGTAAGAGGAGTAGGACGCGAAGGGAGGATTACTTTGCTTGCTTTCTTTCTTCTTCTTCTTCTTAAAGACCACACAGGAGATCCCCCAAAGCAAACAGTTATTTATCTAAATATTGTATTTCCCTGTTATTTCAAAATCTTAGAGGCTGAAATGTTTTAGCGCATGTTTTTGTTCCCTCGTTAAAAAATGTTTGGACGAGGATTACAAAGGGATAAATTATATTAGAAGAAAAATATCTACGAGTAGAAAAACAAAATAAAAAGATAAAGAAAAAGAAAGAAAGAGAGAGAGCACAGCCAAAAATAGGAGCGCGTCCACCGAAGGTTGGACATAAACTAAAGCAAATCGTTGTGGAAAGATTGAGAGCGCAGCAAGTAGGAGTCGTTTAAGCTCGCGTGTTCATACACCGACTCCTCTTCCTCGCGAATCCGAACACGTAGTGTATGTCCCCCTCGTCGTGGTGTAGGACTACACTGCAACTTTCATCTACGTCCATGTGGTTACACACATAATTCACCTGTACGTATACACTAATACATTGAAATATCTACACTTACACGCTTGGTTTTACAGCGCACGCGCTTACAAATCTGCGCAGAGCTGACGAATAATCCCGCGCGGCACCGATCGACAAGGGTGGAGGGGTGTTACTGTGTAACTTTGGGTTCAAATCAACATCAAAGATGAAGAAAATAAATACGGAGAGAGACGGGGATGAAGATGGAGGATGATAACTAAAGTATGCGCCGAAATACGACCAACATCTTTCCTCTTTCTTTCTTTCTTTTTTTTTTTGTTTTTTTCTTCTTTTCTCTCAACAGAGGACGAACGTACCTTTCTTCCAGATATTACTAGGTACCCCACTTAATTACCTTCCATATATTATCTGTTGCACTCGACATTGCGATAAGTCGGAGATAGGTGGAAAAATGTTAAGCTTCGAATCGTCTAATCATTCACGTTGCGATGATTGTGTGACACTAATTATTTATTCGATTAAATAATCATTTGGACAAATTTTATATCTATCTATAATATGTGTAATTAAGTATATGTTTATTTACGTAAACAATTTTTACGACAGATACAATCTTTCAATTTGTAATCCTAAAAAAGTGTCTCTGTTTTATTAATAATTTGTGTAATTTAATTGGCTAACAATATGTCTGAAATAATAGAAAATCTTTATATGACAGTAGATCATCCCATAAATCGCTTAGTACACAATATCACGTTCGGATCAGTCAATGAAATGATGTCCATATAATACGTAAGAGATAATTATGATCTTTCACGCAATGTAATTCACTTCTTGGTTTATTTATCCTATTTTGTTAGATCAAATTTTGTGTATCACGCATGTATTAGTATATCTTAGTGTTTATTAAAAAAAAAAAAAAAGAGAGAAATTCGTCTCCGTATCGCATATTAAAGTGTTATCTTTAACACTTTATGTGATTATTCGAAATAAACTTGTTTTGATATTTTTGCCTCTTCGTTCTTATTTTTCTTAGATAATTATTCGATCGATCCATAATCATTTTTTACGTTAAATAATTGGAATTGATCGAGTATTCCAGATATCGAACAATATGAGTAACATTTGATCGAATAAAAAGTACATAACTTATTAACTCGTTTGATTAATATTATTGGGTGTGGTTTTTAATTTATGGATCATTAATATAAATTTTATTGTTCTTATACCAACGTGCCTATGCAAAATAGTTCTTGTCACGTAAATAAAAAGGAATAATAAAGTAATACATTTCGATATACCTGATGACGTACTTGAATGTCGTGCGTATGAAGAATGAGTTCTCTTCTTTGCTCGATACAATCCTCAATTTTATCCATCACTTTCCTATTTATGTACTGTATAATAAGTATATATGTATGTAAGTATATATGTTTGTATGTATATTTATTTATGTACGTGCGATAATTTCGTTAGTATCGTCGGATCCTTTGATAATAGACGCCAAACGCTTCTTAATCACTGTTTGTCAATTTAACCTCGGATGTAAGGTCTCATTTCGAGGCAACCGAATCGTTAACGTAGTCTTACATTTAGCACGTGTTTAAAACTCAAAAAGAGAAATTGTATTACGCGAATGGTAGATTGGGAAGTTATCTCCGAAATTCGAAACCGACGGCCTTCAGAAAAATGACTTTGCTATACGAGACGAAGTTAATCGTTTGACATCACTATTCATAGTTGTGTGAGTCACATGGAAAAAGATAATTAGATAATTAATGATTGTATTTGTACATTTTTTGCAAAGCTTTTAATTATTCGTTTTATTTTTCAATTAAATCTATTTTACTTAATAAAAAACGATCGTAAATGCGCAAAAATTTCAAACGGCCATTTTTATTTCTTTTTCTTTTTTTTCTTTCCAATCAAACTCACAAGCACACTAACTAAGTCTGATGCACAAGTTGTTTGCAAAAATGTAAAATGTTTGAACGTTTGAAAAATGATATCAGCTAAAGTGAATGATATTTTCAATCATAAAAATTTGTTATCGATAATTTTACTACTTTTTTTTGTTAATGTAAAAATGCGCAAATTTTGTTCAAGGCCATTATCTTGTATAATAATGACCTCTAAAATATTTCTTTGATGCGTGAAAGTACAAAGTACGAGCTATATCACAAATATGAAGAGAATCAAAAATTTCCGATAAATCTCTTTTAATCGATGAATACGTGTATTAGCGAGTAAAACGTTATTACATCGAAGGACAAATAAGCACAATTGACGCGAGAAATACTTTTCGAATAAACTAATATTTATCGAGCAAATACCGAACAACCGTTCGAGGAAACGCACCTCACGATAATGGCAATAAAAATATTGATGCGAGCAAGATGTATCTAACTTAAAATATATAAAGATAACTTTAAATTCATTTGAAAAGGTAATACATAATTTACTCGTTACATTCTTTGATTCATCTTCTATTCAACAGATAGATTTTATCTATCATGCTCGATGTCGATCGTAAATTCAATGCCGATAATTACCTCTATTATGATTCTAACAATTTTATTCTTTTGTACTAAATTATTAAATTTTATATCAGCGAATCAAATTATTTATTTTTTTAAATTAAAAAAAAAGCTAGATATAATACATAAATTTATTAGTTTTTTTTTTTATTGGAATACCATTAAATAATTGCTTTCTCGTTATCGATAGATGTATCTTTGTATGATAAGGTAGAGAACATAATTATCGACAATCATTAATGAGACAAACGCCTTAATGATGGCAATTGGATATACTCGAAAGTATTAAATGTATATATGATTTTATAAATAAAATATAATATAATGATTAAAACAATCGTATATTTTTACGATAAATCTCTTAACATCGTATGATCTTGTGTTCTTTTTTATGTCTATTGAATTTTTCTAAACGGCTCTATTTACTTAAAAAACTTGTGATGCAATCTATCATGTTTCTGTTACTATTATGTAAGAAATTTGAACATAGTAGTAGAAGATGTACGCGTTCAAAGTTCGATGTATTTTTCTTTTCTTTCGATAAGATTGATTGGTCGAAAAAAAATGTAAGCAAGCACGATGATTCGCGTGCATGTAGTCAAGATGCACGGTGCATCAATATGCACGTATATACGTTAAGTATGTATATTGAGACAAAATCAAGATGTTCTATATACACCGAGTAGGTACATCGTTGCACGAGAGGAGAACTTCAGTTTCGCTCCAGTCGAATCTTATCGCGCGTTCTGTTCGCATCACGTGAGTTTAAAGCTCGATACATCTCATACGCGAAAACGGAAAATTTGCATATTTTTATAAATATTTTCTATGAATTCCTATTCACGCGATATAGTGGCAAAGATTATTTTGAATCGATAGTAATTCACCGCAAAAAGAAAGAAAGAAAGAGAGAAAGAGATTTTAATTTTGTATTTTTTATTATTACAAGCAATAGATCTAAACGTGACCGTAAATTTTGAAAGAAGAAAAGAAAAATGATCGTTGAATAATGATTCGAAGAAGAGTCGACGGCAATTAATTTTGTTTTCATTCATTTTATGAATAATTTTTGAACGATTTATTTTAGATCGTTTTCGAGAGTATATAGTAAACAAATATTTTACATCGCAGAAAGGTTGACGTAAAAAGATGGAACGTCTTATGACGTAAGATCAAAAAAGAAGATAAATGACAATATCGTTTAGAACGTTTAGATCGTGTTAAGAGATCGTCGCAAAAGCGTTCACATAAGATAAAGGAGGAGAAGAAGAAGAAGAAGAAGAGGAAGAGAAGGTCTTGGCGCGTAAAATTTAAACTTGCAATTAGTGAAATCAATCGAAATCGGTTTGCGATGCTTTTTTCATTCAAAAGTGGAGCAATATAAAGATAACCGTTTATACGGTACTTTCTACCGCGTACTTGTTATCTTTTACCAGATGTGATACTTTCGAAAGGAAGAATGAAAAATGAAACGATATTTTATTAGCTGCGAGTCGAATGGTCCCTTGTTTTTTTTAGCGTCATATTAAAAAAACATTTATTGGAGACTATTAAAATCGTTAAGATTAAAAGGAATTGTATCTAACGATTTCGTCAAGAATATAGGTTAGTAAACGTTCGAATATAAATTATATATTTCAATTAAAAAAAAAAAAAACAAATTTGCAGCTAACGCATCATCGATATTTCCGAAAGAAACATTGGTGAATTTTGACTTTGAACGGCGGATCCGTATTTATTTATCGTTATTATCAGTTACATTTGATAACTCGATTTAATCGTGAACCTTTTTCTTATTTTCTCTCTCTCTTTTTTTCTCTCTCTCGCTCTCTATTGGATTGAGAAAAAGCGAAGAATCGACAGTCCGTGAAGATACGCGTAACCGTGTGGCACACACAGCACTTGATATTCTCCTACTTTAAGTAATAGTTACAAAATATCACTCTATTGCGATAGAGATCATTATGATTATAAATATATTTACTTTTAGATAAATTTCAATTGATTCGTAAAAGGAAGAATAAATAAACGCGCGAATGGTGGTGTCTTCTCGTAACGCAGAAAAACGCATTTAATCAAACGTGCGTCAATTAAACAAAGTAAATACATTTTTGACGAGCATAATGATCGTGTCACCGAGTGTAAGTTTAGTAGCAGCCGGAGTGGCTTCTGGCCTTTGCTTTATCCTCTTCAGTACGTTGCGAAAAGGGTAAGTTAAGAAAAAAAAATAAAAATGAATTCTAAAGAAATATCTTTCTATTTACTTATTCATAAGTTGCATTAGTGTAAAGTTGCGCAAAGTTACGATGAAAGGAGTCATCTTTACCACCAACGTAATTACACAATTTGAAATGTTAATAAGATTGGCATAGAGTGGCATGATCAAAGTAGGTCGATTATTCGAGACATGTTGATCGTGACCCCGTTTAAAGCCAATTTCTATCGATTTCATGCGTTTTCCCGTAAAGAAAGATACACAACAGTTAAGACTTTCCACTGTTCGAGATCGATGATCAATTTTATTTGAAACCAGTAATTCGATGATATTCATTTCTCACAATTACCATTTCGCGTAGATTTTTCTATCGATTAAATGCTAACCTTTCGACCAATTTCTTAATAAAAAAAACAACAATTTTGCATACAGTGAAATATACATTTGTTTTCTAAACGAAAAAAAAAAGACAAAAAGTAGAATCGAGTAATTAGAAGAAGGCTAAATGATTATCTAACAAATAAGTTAATCGCAAGAAGGATGAGTCAGGTTAATAATAAAATAGTATATATATATATATCTTAATGGTAAGATAAGGTGATTTATTATTATCTAAGGAGGAAACAATGGTGAAGTATGTAGTCATAGGAAGAATGTGTCGTGGCTTTTTGGGTGCGCATCGTTTCACGTGCCGTGGAAGAGAAGTTTTACACGTCATTACCAGTCCACGGTCAAAGTAGTCCGGGCAAAGGCCCCGCGAGAAGAATCTTCGGCCGTTATGACCCGCCAGCCAGGGCCTGAATCTCTCTCTATATAATAATATATATATATATATATATACATATCAATGTATATGTGTATACATATTATGTAGGTATACCTGTACACCTACATATAGAACGCAACTTTGGTATGCAGGACTTGTTTTTATTTACTCTCTCCCGTTCTGACCAGTCCGGCAAGTGTCGATCCACATTCTCTCTCTCTCTCTCTCTCTCTCTCTATCTCTTTCTCTCTTTCTCTTTCTCTCTTCTCTTTCTCCTGCGCCAGAGTAAATTACGTTTTGCCGATTTCCTTCGTGGTCCGAAGCGAGCCACCAAGGAAATAAAAAAGAAAAAAACAAACGGCGACCTCAAAAATTTTTCGCCAGACGCGCCAAGGGCATCCTCTTTCTGCAATCTCCTCCTTACTTCTCTCTCTTTTCTACTTCCAACTCCAATTTTTCCTTCCTCATTCATTTTTTCTTCTTATTCTTCTTCTACGTTGTGTATAAATAAGTTTTAGAGGTATGAAATATAATTGTTTTCGTCTAATATCGTAATCATTTTTTCTAATTTTCTTATTTATACTTGTTTACTTTTACGCCCGCTCGTTTTTATATCCCCTTTAATTTGTTACTTATGTAATATTTTGAACACAATTATTTCAAATAATCTTGTGGTTTATATGAAACAAACAAAATTATCTCACCTTTTCTGTATCTATTCCTAATTCCATTGTTGATTGTCACTGCTAACCGATGTTAAAAATTATACGATACAAATTTACGTCGTCGAGTTTACATGCATACAAATTTAAAACGTCAATACTTTACTAATTATCTCGTCAACAGTTATTATTACTATTATTATTATTATTATTATTATTATTATTATTATTATTATTATTATTATTATTATTATTATTATTATTAGTTATTACAAATTTTGTAACTATTTACAATCTTTTTTATTGCCTTGTTTCTTGATAATATATTTCTGATAGGATGAACGTCTATTTTATACACAACCTTGCGCTAGTAGACGAATATAACGACTGACTTTTTCACTTTAATCGTAGTAGGAAGATACTCATTTGTCTTGAAAATCGCAAAATCAGTCGGACAAGGTCAGTTTGGTCAGCTGGTGCAATTACTATTTTAGATATCATGCAAACTAACAAGCTTTAACGCGTTTATTAGTTACAAAAAAAAAAAGTAAAAGAAAAACCTAACACATTCCGGATTATTTCATTTTGTAGGAATTTTTTAATTAAGATTTCATCCATGCATGACACAGGGACTTGTCAAATTATATATTTATTTTTTCCATAATTTATCTTTTTATTGACTGTTATTTTCGGTTATTTTTTTGTCTTCTTCCTTCTTTTTAACTGTCAGTAAAAAAATGTATTATGAAATAGAAAAAATAAAACGTAGCAATTTGTATGCGCGCGCGCGTGTGTGTTGATGAAAAAAATAAAGAAAAGTTAATTTAAAATTCATTAACGGCGATAGGGTAATTTAGTAATAAGCAAAATATATAAACTGGGTTACATATAAAGTGAGATAATAATCGAGTGCGAGAAAGAGAGCTATAAAGAACGCGGAAACCATTGAGACTAACTAAGTATATACATACGTAAATAATTCCTATTTTCATTCTTTTTATTTCTTCTCGATCGCACGGCCTTACGGTTCTTTGGCTATTCATGCGTGTCACTCGTTCAACTCCGTGTAGTTACAACCATGAATACTACTCGTAGGAACACGTGCGATGTTCTTGATACTTGTTACCTTGGATAAGTATAAGTACGTACACCTGTTATTCCTTTTATTAACAGGCTGGACCATTCTCATTTTTCATTTTATTTTTCTACAAGTATCGAGTAGTAGATTTGAATTTGTTCACTCCTCCGCGGCCGGCAGGAAACGTGTCTAGGGTTAGTCATGCGTGCGTTGCGTCGACCGCGATTGGTTCAATAACTTTGATAACAGTGCAGAAGTGTATAAGAAAAAAAAGGAAAGAGATGGGGGTGTGGGTGTAGGGTGGGGAAAGGTTCACGTGGGCAGGTGAAGGAGAAGACATTAGGATGCATAAGGTGGGCCGTGCTATAAAGACACCAAAGTCGTTAATGGTAAAACATCGTTTCACAATGGACGGTATATCAAACCATATTAAACAATGGCGTCGCTGACCCACCGTGTAGGGAGACCGGAAACGAGGAGGAACCGAACGGGGATTCGAACACAACGGCTCAACGGCTCTTCTTTCATTGTTGAAATGTTAGTTTGTCCTGACGAGTAGTCAGTCAACCACCGCATTTCATAGTGCAACGTGCCGTGAGAGTTATACTTACTTTTTTTATTTTTCTTTTTCTTATTTATTATTCTTCTTCTATTTCATTCCTTCTATATAATGCAAGATAACAGTAGTATTATGAAGTTGTCGTCGAGTTTCAAAGGACGTTGCTTTTTTTATTTTTGTATATTTTTGTAAGACCAATTGACGAATTAGTATCGTTAGGAAGATGACAGTAAGATCGATAGTTTTCCCAACATTTTTATTTTGATAATAGAAATCGAAAATAATTAAGACGCATTTTGAATACGAGATTCTTCATGAGACCGGGAGAGGCAAAGCGATTGGTCAAAATTTTTCTCTTAAGTACCATTCTCTGCAGAAAAAAACAAGACAGACGGTAAGATTTTCAATTTATATTTCATCTTGTTTCCATTTTTTTTCCACCTAACAATCGATTTGTCGTGTAAAACTTCGCGATATATATCTTTCGGGGAAAGACAAAACATAACGGAGCTACGATAAATTTAATTGATTCGTTACGTGACTTTAACTGAAAGAACCTGGCAAGGGAAGTATTCTTACGTAATTGGAAAGTTATACGCGATACTGATATAACTTGTTGCGTCGTTCTTTTCATTTTAAATTATGCGTTTATTTAGTGATATATTTTCGTTTAATTAATGGAAATTTCGTTCGAGCGAATGAGATCCGAAATTCGTCGGCTAAAAAACAATCCGAAAATCTCGACTCTCGCGGTAGCATCCCCCGATTACAATCTGGATGAAATCAATTATTTTTCAATTATTTATATTATAAAATAAAAATTGTAAAACTATAAAAAAAAACTGCGATATAACACCTACATTTATATAATTGTTTTGAAAGATAGTGGTGATGTAACTGTTGACGAATCGAAAAAGAAAAGAAAAGGGAGAAAGATAATGAGGAATAAGAAGTAGAAAGAAAAGAAAAGAATAAGAATTTTGGAGAGTACACGAGAGGAATCGGGCAAAAGATTGGATTGGTCCAACCGAAATCCAGTGAAAGTAAACGTTAATCCCTGAAACGTGTTGTGTTATGTCGAGGATTGGTAGTGTATCGAGTTGCTCGAATGTATTCCGTTATAGCTCCTACCATCGAAAGAATTCCGTGCATAAGCGAACGGAGTAGCAGCAGCAGCAGCAGCAGCAGACAGAGAAAGAGAGACCACTGCGAGTTTCCCCGAGCAAAGCCACTGTCACTTTCAAACCGACGCTTCGCCACAAAGGACGGATATTCGTGTCGATCCGAGTCGAGTTGAGTCAAGTCGAACAGTTATTTAACAAGGATGCACGCGCCAATCCTTTACGAGATTTTACATTTTAAGGAGAACAACGGGAAGGAACTATTATTCATTCATTTCCCGTTACTAGCATAAACCGATCGATAGTTTTCAGTTAATCATCAATGGCACCTAAGAATAATAATTATTATTATTATTCTTATTTGCGACGAGATTTATATCGGTCCTCCTTTTTTTATTTATAACTATTTCTTTCTTTCCTTTTATTTTCGTATATTCTGGATAATCTAATGTCGTGTGCGCGTGTGTGTTTAGTATTTTTCCTAGAGAAGAAAGGATTCTGACGAGGATGAAGGATTCATTGCTATACTACTTTAAGTTGAATATTGCAGAAGATCGGAAATAACACATCTAACTCGAACGAAAACTCTTGGTCGAAGTTTCTCGAGCGAAAGTCTTATAAGCTGGTGGTGTTCTCGCATGTTTATATATCTATATATGCCATGCTATGTTATTCCGTTACGGTGGACGGTTTGCACGCGTTACCACTGTAAAATTTCAACGAGGCACATCAACGTCTCTTTGAAAAACCATTCTAGAAAGTTTACGAAAAGTGCGAGATAATATTAAATTTGTATTCACCCGAAGAAGAATTATTGAAGAAGGATTTTTTATTTGAAAGAGGAGTGCTATTAGTTCGTCCGAATTGCAAAAGAAAAAGAAGAAGAGAGAAGAAGAGAGAAGAGAAAGAATCATTACGCCAAAAAGTGAAAGGACCATTAAAGGAGTGGAAATAAAAACGTTACGATATTAAACACAACAATAGTTTTACGTCTTACCATCGTGAACTTTAAAAAGTGAACGCAAAGAGGACAACTTCAAACTTTTGAAAAACGATAATAGATAGAGAAAAGAAGAAAAAATATTATTTGAACATGGTATATATATTTGGTGTGCTATAGGAATAGATTATTTTTGCAACGAACGTACACGACGGTGCGTGGTTGCGTAAGCGATTATTTTACGTAACTCGCAGTTGAGATTTTTCGTAGTCATTTATTCGGTAAGGATTATCGAAAACATTTTTTAATGAAAAAAGATCCAAATTGAATAATTCATTTCAACAAGGTATCTCTTCCCCACGTTCTGGAAGAATTATAGAAATTCTAATCAAATGAGAATGCTTATTACCGGCTCGATCAACCACTGGCACGTGACGAGCGTGAAAGCAATCATTATAAAAAGATTTCAATTATAATAGTACCTCTCCATCGCGCAAGGACGATCTCGAGGAAATACAAGAAAATAAGAATTTGAAAGGAAGGAAGACGATTAAAGATAATTAATTATGTTGGTCTGCGTCTCCACTATAATCTCAACTGTCTTCCTCGAAGGTGACAAGATTATTCCGGGCCAAGAGAAATATAATATGGCTACCTTTATGGTACTTTTTCTTTTGATAACCATTGAAGTTGTCGTGGTGAAGGTTATAACGTCGGACATGGAAAGAGACGAAGACAGTTTCTCCGGGCTTACTGGGGAAGTTACGTTTTTTGATGACAATTTTGATCCCAACGATACTTCCTATCGCGTATGACTCTTTCTTCCACCTGTCCTTTTGTATGCCTTTCTCTTTTTCCTTGGATTGAAAACAAAGAAAAAAACAGCAACTCTACAGTTTTCACAAAAATTATCGAGAGAACCTTGTAAAAATGCTTTCTATTGGAGGATTGCGTTATCGTCGTGACGAGGCATCATTAAAAAAATATTATATCATTAAAGACGCTTCAATTGCAAGATATAAGTGCTAAGGCTACACATTTTTATTTTGTTTTTTGTTTTCATAAACGTGCGATTCAAAATTGAACCATTAGCGATGTGGTTAAAGAAATTGTTCATTAAATTGTAATTTAATGTAATGTCATCGTTGCGCCGAGTAAATTAATTATTATTGTCGAAATATGTATGTTATCATAAATTTCATTAATTTTATTCATTGCATTGTATTATATTCAATATTTTCGTATTGAATTAACACAAAATATCGTTCTTTATTAATTGGATTTTTTTCTTGGAGATATACGAAAGACATCGCACATGTTAAATTGACACGAATCAATAAATTTGTATACAATAGTCAGGAAATATTTAAACGTAAAGGAAAAAGGAAATGATAAAAATAACAAAGCGTCTTTTAGAATTGTACTCGCGATACGGTGTAAAGTTTTAATTTCGATGCCATACGTATCGCAGTAGTTGATGTTACGTGACCGCTCATCGTAAGCGTATTATGTGGATTGCATCTTATATTCGAAAGGTCAATAACTATATTTTTCCATTCGTTTAGCAAGTAGGTAGGTAACTTTGCGATGTAGTTAGTCGTTCGATTTAAACAATGCACTCGAATAAACAATGCAATTGTAACAATAAATAGAGCTTGGAACTTTGAAAAATAATATTGATCTCTGATTGTTATCTTTTTAAATAAAAATTAAATAAATCAAAAATTAAAAAAAGAATAAGAAGAAAAAGGAGAATTATTTTTTCGTTGGAAAATGTGCAAATTATTATATTAACCCGTTTTCGTAACCATTCCTCGAGAAAGTGAGTAAATATATATTAGCATAAGGTTTGCGAACGCGTATCAATGACCGATGAACGATGCTTTCAGGAAAGAAGCAGACACTCGAAGAAAAACGAAAGAGATCGTCGTTACGGACGACGGTCGTTGTTGCGCTTGCTGTTTGAAACCATTCTTGATCGGACGCGGCGTGAGTTGCAACGATTGTGGCCTCAGATCCTGTAGAAAAGTTTGTTCCCGTTGGGACTGCGAAGACAACGCCTGGCATTGTCTCTTCTGCCATCAGCAAAGGTTCCCCCTACTTTATAGTCTATCCTTTATTTCTTTAAAACGTACGCGCACGCGAATACTTACTACAAAAATATATATAAATTCGTGCGTGTCGCCATCCACTATGGAAATTATTCGTGAACGTGGACTTATAGAAGAATACGGTACTTTACTGACATGAATATCGGTATAGAAACTACCAGAAAAGGATGGTGGCGCGTTGGCTTGAGCAAGAAGAAGTAATCCAAAGATAAAAGGTGAAAGACAGTAGCCAATTAGGATCCTCTCGCTCGCAAGAAAATTCGTTAACTTTCGCAGCGGGTCATCATCGTCGTCATCAGCGTGTACACGAACTAAGAATCATTTCCCGAAGATCTTACCGCTAACGAGATCATTTCTTTTGCAAATCTTTTTACCTTATCCGTTTTAGGAATCCTCTACGTACGAATGACGACGATCTTTCTCAATGAACGTTTTTTAGGTCGTGGGCGAGAAAGAAGGAAAAGTGGTTCGAAACGTTTGGCGGTACGTTCAAGGAAGAGGAATTACATCGTTACTTCGATACGGCTAAATCTCGCGTCTATGTCGCAGGTTTGTATTTTTGTTTAAATATTATTTTTCGTCGATAAAAAATAATCATTTGAGAGACATTAAACGTGTGCGTGTTTCATTATCATCATCATCTCATAAAAAAATAAATTTATTTAAGAATAAGAGCTCGCGTGCAGAGAAAATACTTAAATGCATCTAATGAAAAAAGTCTAATGATTCTTTCCCTGTTAAAGGTAAACTAATTGTAAGTATAGTAAGTATTACATGTAAAACGAGCGTGAAATATTTAGTTGACGCGTAATCATGCGATGTACGAGCAAACGAGCAAACGTTATATCGGTCAATAGCTTTTCCACTTTCGATCGAACGATTCTTTCAACCATGCATAAGAAAAAATTCATTAATTGAATCGAATTACAGGCGTTGGAACATAGCGCGAGAAACTTACATTAGCGAATAAACCCTTTCGATATCGGCTACGTCGTTAGGGATAGATGACAAACGTTTTCCCTTAGGGCTGTTAGAAAAGTGTGCGAGCTCAAAATATATCTCATATATACAAAATAATTATTTATCGTGATATTAAGAAATTTCGGGTTAAGCGCGAACTCGTAAGTCATTCTTAACTGTTGTCCTTGTTCGAGAATTAAAAAAGAAAAAAGAAAAAAAGAAAAAAAAGGAATTATCTAACGGAAGAGGAAACAATGAAGATAGATAGGTCAAAAAATATCTCACGGTAAATTCTCGGCAACGTGCATTGTTTCGATGCACTCCGAACGCGATCTTAGATCGGTGAATCGTATCAAAATGTTTGATCGGGAACACACCGAGAGAGAGAGAGACTGGAAGATATCTTGTAAGTATTTACCTACGTAATGCACAACGTTACCAGGATTTGAAAAAAAGCTTTTCTCTAATTCGTCAAAAAAAGAAAAAAAAAAAAAAAGGAGAAGAAGAAGAAGAAAATGGAAGAGGAAAATAAAAGCTAACAGGATGAGAGATCGTTTGCGGCGATGTGACCCAAAGACGTGGCATCCTTTCTCTCAAAAGTAACGCGGCCGATGATTATCATCATAGAATTGTATAGGAAGAAACAATCTAAAAAAGATTGAACGAACCTGTGGATCCGGATTTGGTAGCGATCCAAATTGCCGACTCTTTTAGGATTCCTTATTTTCAAACGTTGTTTCTTCCAAGGATTATCTTTCCTCTTCCAAGTTTCCTCGAGTCCTCTTTCTTCCCCCTACCAAAACAGGAGTTCTCCTAGGAATGAAAGAAATCAAATTGACTCTTATTATCTCTTTAAAGTATACAATGTTATCGGATAAAAACTGCCATGTGTTCTACGCACAAATGTTGTCTTTATCATAATTTAAATAATTTAAGTATTTATGATTTACAATTTATTTACATTTTTCGTAAAATATTTTACCACGTAAGTATTTTAAAAAATAGATAATTTTATAACTCAACTATGTTTCAAAAGCTCGATATTACCAGTAAGACGCAATTTAGGTGTTTGGAATGTGAATTTTTTCCTTCGAAATAATACTTACGACAAAATTAAAGGAAATTATTTTTCGTATTTTAATTCGGTAAATAGTTGATAGAAAAATTGGAAAAGATTAGACACGTAATTGGTGAAGAACGCGTAAAAATAAACATATATGAGTATATCTACCTAGCTGTGATACGTACGCATACTAACGTAAGACGTTTCTGCGTGTAGTTCTATACAGAAAGGCACGTTCCTCTTCCTCCCGTTGTCCTCCTCAGCACAAGGTGGTGAACCTCAGTTCTGCTCCAGTACTCTTGGAAGCAACGTCGCGCATTTCCTCCTCTCTTCTCGCGACCTTTCTCCGAGTGATTCGTTCATCCGTTATATTCGCATATTTTTAGATAAAACTTATACTCCACCTCTCCAGCCTTCTCGTTGTCTCTTTAGTTATTATCATAATCATGATCTATGAAAATAAGAAATGTTAAACGAATAGATTACAAATGTGTAGTACCCAATTCCGGACAAAATTGATACCACCTTTTTTCTTTCAACATTTTTTCATTGATCGTGAGTGAATAATCATTCGCCGTACAAAGGAATACGATGCGATAAATAATTTTAATAACATAGGACGAGTAAAGAAAAAAGAGAAAAGGGAAGAGATTGTCGTAAATCACGAAACTGTTTAAAGCAATTATCGGCGAACCGGAAAATTTGCTCTCGCTAGATGTAAATCATTCAAACGTACGAGTTAATCATAGACGAGTTAATCATAGAATCGGTTTGCAGTGTGTGCGCGTGCGAGGATTAATTAAAATGAGTGCGATTGTGTTAACGAGAGATAATGTTATTGTTGAATAAATATACGAAAGGGATTACAGATTTATGAGAGAAAGCGAGGAACGTGCGTAAAATTTAAAAAAGAAGAAGACGAAACGAAAGGATACGTTTGCTGCTTGAAAGAAGAAATATTGAAATGCGCGCGCAAACATGTTCACCGACGATTGCGAATTTCAATGAAAATAAAAGGAAACAAATATGCGTACCTTTCCGCAAAAAAGGACAAACTTTCAACGAAGAAATACCTTCTCGTTAAGTTAGTACTATCGATTATTTCATTATTTTACATTCGTTATTATTAAAAGGAAAAAAAGAATAATGAATTGTGAATTGAATAGGAAAAAGATAGTAAACAACAACTATCCCGCATGGTTATTTTCCAGACAGGGCGATAACAGCAACGCACTACTGCTAGCCAAAGCGATGGTGTTCGCTAACAGTTTTGTGGTCGCAGATGCAACGGAAAAAGAAACGTGTGGTTAATCTTTAATGCTTGTCGATACTTTCGTTTAGAAAGCTGTACCAGCAGATGGTTCTTTAGACAAGTTTACTTGTAATACATTACCGGTCCCCATCATTCGTTCATCATTTCAAATTTCCTATCAACTTCGAAACTAAATTATTATATAATCTATAAAATCAAACGAGATATGTTTAATAGCATTATTTTGTTGTTGTTTACTCGCTACTGGTTTAATCGAATATGAAACGTTGTATCTATAAAAGCCGGTTTTATTTTTTTTTTTTTAAATCTTTCATCTTACAGAGCTACAAATTTTCAACCGTCCCCCCCCCCGCGTGCATTCATTTGTGACCGCGCGTGTGTAATTATGATTTGAAAAGATATTAGTAATATTCAAATTCTTGCAATATTATTTTTGGATTTTTCCAAGTTCATACACGCGAAGTGATAATTATTATCTACAGGAGTTGAAAATGCAGCTACTGGTTCGGGTTTGGACCTGGCCGCGGGTGGTCAAGAAGACGCGAACACGATGGAAACCGTTAGAGCCTTTATAGAAAAATTCATCGAAGATCTAATCGGCAACGTGGACGACGCATCTATCGCACGTCTCTACGATCATCCAGAATGTAAGTAACGAAACATATTTTTTCTTTGATATACTTTTCGTAAGTTTCTTATAATTTTGCTTCATTTTGAAATGAATACTAAACGAGCTTGATTACCGTTTTGTGCTGCCACCTGTAAGCAAAGTTTCAAGATAGAAATATGTAAGACGTACCTGCTTTTTTACCTTTCCAATCAAAGCTTGAAAGATCAACGTTTCATTCATAGCGATTGCTTAAATATCAACAAAATTATACCGCGCAAAATATATTTTTGTATTTGTAAAGACCACGTCTCGATTGTTCAGTAACTACGTCTTTGTTTTTATTGAAATGATTATCATCGTCACTCATTTTTCATTATCTTTTGCTAATTTTTGTATAAATATTGAATTATATTAATAATCAGTAACATACACGAGCGCGCATATATAGCATTAAAAAGTAAATTTTTCTAAAGTTCCAAAATTCTGTATACGACCGATTATATTTCAGTCGAAATAATGTATCGATACGATTAATTATCGATTAGAATAATTTTTATAATTAAAATACGAAAACATTACAATATCATACATAGATCAATTCTACCGCCAGATGGTATTGTATTAGCAAAGATATTTGTCGTGCTCGAACAGGTAATACTAATAAATAATTACGGTAAAGTGATGCATAAATTATAATAGTATTACGAGAACAATTAAAGAAGAATATCGACATCTACGTATTTCAAGTAAAAATATCATTAACTCGAATAAGAAATCACGTTTTAATTGGTACAACACTTACCTGCTATATTCCTATTTAATTTTAACAAGTCAATAATTCTAACTATCATCATCCTAACATTTATATTAACTGCATCGCTAACGCATATTAACAGATGACAGGCTTTTGGCAACGTACAGCGTAAAATTGGCCGATGCTCTGGCACGATTGGCAGTCTCCGTGCATCTCAATATTTCGAGTAAGTAATAAATAATGCATAAATACGTAACATTTTTATTATAGAAAATTTTATTCTCATTTAATTAATCGTTTAATGCTAATCGTATATAATTCTGATTTTGACATCATTCGCACGATGTTCGGTATTGAACGAAGAGAACAACTGCAATGGCGGACATTTTTTTTTCTTTTTCATAACCGACGAGCTGCAATTCAATTATGTTCGAACATCCTACTATCTTACTAAGCTAGAAGTATATATATGTATGCATACATAACTATATACATGTATAAAATTACATAAATGGTATAAAGAGAGAGATGGAGGTAGAAAAAAATCGTAATTCCTGTTCAACTTCTCTTAAAACGACGATTAGATTATTGGAAATTATTAAAAATTACTGGTAATTAATTAAATGTTTAATTAATAATTAATAACGATAAAATAATTAATTTAAAATCGTTGAAATATTAAAATGAATAATATTCTTACCAAGCACGCGTTGAAATCTACTTGTTTACGTCAATACGGATGAACTGTAACTGTCTCGTGTATTTACAAACCGAAGAAAAAAAGTAATCATACGTATAGAAATAGGAATAAATATAAATAGTTCGATCTTGAAAAGGACGGTTATTGTTTCCGAGATTGTTTTCTTTTTTATTCACGCAACGATTCGACTGATCATTAATTTTTCAAATGAATTTATTACTCTTTATCGTATATATAATTAATTTTATATATTTATTAATAATTTTTTTTTATATATATATATTTTTTAATCGCGACAATTAGAATAAACGATTATTAAGTTAATGCAAAAAATAATTAAGATTTTTATTTACAGTAATAATTAATATGTTATAATATTACCGTTTCGGGGAACTGAAAAAATTCGAGTACTTTTTATCAATAGAAAAAAATAATACGAAAACTTGGAAATAAGAAAATCTGTGTCAATTGAAGTATAATAAAAATGGACAATTATTTTTGTACCAATCTATTTTATGTGCTGCATAAATAGGCTAATATATGCTAATATGTATTTATCCGAATAATGCTTTTTTCTTTGGTAATACTTTGTATGGTTTCGTACTACTTTTATATACCCTTATATATCCGATTATCTGTCTAAGCAACTGTTCCCATTTTTTGTCTCTTTTTCAAGGTAATAAATCGATATGATTATTCCATAAAACATAAGTCCCAATTTTCGTCAATTTCTTCTCGTACGAATTATGAACGAAGCTTAATCGTTGCAGAGTTTATAAAACGGGTCTGTACAAATATTATATCGTTTTTTTTATTCAAGGTAGACGATACGTATTCACGATATATGTATATGTAAGCACGTAAGACGTGATATGTTCTTATCGGAATATCAAGACCATGTTTGAGGCATTTTATTATTAGAAATGTTCAAAGTGAGAAAGAGAAAGAATGACGCATTTATATACGATACGTAAGCTTACATTAAAACATCATTTCCCTTTTACTACGTAATCGCTCATACCAATAATCACTGATTAAAAAACACTTGCAATCATTTGGTTTATACACGATAATAAACAAAATAGGATTCGATATTTCTAACATAATTTTTGTGTGTACGTTCAATATGTTGCCAAGAGATTCGTTTACAATATATCGAACGTTTATAATTAATAAAAGTTTTTTTTACATCGAAACGATTGATTTTAGAACCCGCATTAATAAAATATTGTTTACTTGTTGTAATTGCAAAAGAATGAAATATCGGTAATTAATATTTTATTATAAATACTGATGAAAAAGCGTATAAAATTACTGACCCAATAAATAAGCAATGACATTAGATATTTTATCGTAAATACTAATCAATAAAAATGTATAAAAAAAAAATATCGATCCGATAAAGGAATAGGATTGATTAGAAAGGTATTAGAAAGGCCATAGATTTATATGAATGTGTAAAGGCAAATGTATGTCGTCTCCTTTTCATGAAACATTTTTCGTTGAAACGAATGTTCCGACGCGTTCGCGTATAGAAAGAACAAAAAAGGAAAAAAAGGGAAATAAAAAGTTGGGCGCGAATTTAGAAAACGCAGCAGCGACTCCTTAAAAAAAAAACTTTCTTCTCTTCTCCCCACTAATGTAAAAGGAAGCCGTACGGAAGAAGGCGTCGCATGTGGGGTATGCGTCGTTCGCATATCACGTCGTTGCTTTGCCAAAGTATTTCGCACAATCAGTCGCTCGGTGGCAAGCGTTTACGTTCGTCTCTCGCGAGTTTAAACATAAATAATCCTTTATATTATTTTTCCTCGAGACCTTCGATTTTCTCCTCCGAATTTCTTTTTCGAGAAGGGATTTTTTTGTTGACATTACTTACAACCTCGGTGTGGTATTTTGTAAGGTGACGTTTCTGTGATTTAAACAAAATAACATTTTTCGTTTCTTCGATTTTATTCAAATTAAGTTAATGTCTTTTAATCTGCCAATGAGGAATCGGAATGAACAGTATATATTTCTATACTTATTATTAGTTAGACTGACATAAGAAGATTCTTTTTCCATTGAAAGAAGAAACGAAAGTTATACGGGCATCTTTAGAGAGAGAAAATATTTAACTAGACTCGATTGTTTAAATTCTCGGAAAGAGTTTCTACGAGAGAATTTTCTATCTCTTTTTGGAGAGATAAACGTTTTATTTGTTTTATAAAAGAAATCTTTGCGAACATTAATTAATGATTATTGTAATCGTGTTCGATAGATGAACGTATCATTGATCGACGATAATTTCTACAACGATCATCAAAGACAAACATCGTGAAAATTTTAATATTAAGATTGAGACCTTGCAACGAGATAATAGAGACTCATTAAATATTTTTTTTATATTATTTTTCTAGATAAAACGCTCGGGGATCCGACAATCTATTAAAAGTAATTAATTTTTTTCTTATTGCACTGACGCTCGCGCGAAGAAAATAATGAAAAAGTATATAAAGGTCGAGGAAGTATCATTCGAATGATTATTTTTCAAAGTAAGAATAATTATTTAAATGAGAGTTCAAAGATCGTTCCTAGACACGTGTTACGATAGTGTGTAATATAAAAAATTGAATATATAAATATTCACAAACGTCATGTGCACAGTGATTCGATAAAATTTTCCTTCCTCGTGTCCGTTTAATTCAATCTGTTGAAATACTTTTCGAGGAAATTTAATTGAATTATTTAAATACCACGTACCTATAAGACGTATTTCGTTCGTTATTTTTTCATTTAAATGTTAGTTTTTTTTTCAAACTTATCAAACTTTCATACGTATTCGATAAGTTTCTAATAACGTTAGGTGCTTATTTGTGGCGATCAAAAAAAAAGTAATAAAGTTTCGAACGAGCAGGTAACGACAAGCGATTCTGTTTTTTTTTTTCCATTTAAAATACATTAACGTAAGAACCTTTCATTAATTTGGATTCTGAGAATTGAGAAAGTCATAAAACCGAGTTAACTTATTTCTAATGCGATTGAAAATATTCTGGAAGAATGGTCGCGTACATAAAAGTAAGACATTGTTCGAATACAAATCATTTATTACGTTACAATGTGTGCAGATTAAAGGTGTCTTTGATAATCACGATGAGATAGTACGTTAAATCGTCTCGAAATATTATCAGAAGAAATTGGTGAAGCGAGTTAATACGATTAAATAAACGGAATATGAGCACGGACTTGGTTCAAACATGATTTTCTATACCTCGTGGCAGTGTTATTTTTTCTTTTTATAAATAATTTCATTCGAATCAAATTTGGCTTTACTTGACGTATGTATATCATTTTATTTAAACAGGACATGTTAGTTGCGATCGAATATACGTGATCGATAAAGAGACTCGACAAATGTCTTCGGGAGAAAAACAAATATAAGAAAACAAGTATGAGAGAGTGAAACAAAAAAAAAAAGAACAGTGAAAAAACCCTAATTCCGCGTTTACCTATCTGCAATGTGACTTGAAAGGTACGTCAAATGTCGTTGGAAATAATCGGAGAGATGTGGACCCTTTTTGGCGGGCTAATCATCCTTTATTTCATCTACGTTTTGATCACCCTCAAAAGAAATGGTAAATAAATAAATAAATAAATAAGTGAATAAATAAATCATTCTGTGTGTCGTTTCAAAGATGTTACGAACGAACACGTTTCCTTTCCGTGCGTAATGCTTGCTTATTTTTATCGCAAGCGATTATACATATGTAATATGTATATACATATATACATAAATTGTTACATACGAATAGTTCACATATCCTTGGCACAGTTCACCTTCTTGACATATTACTATTTGTACCAACGATTTTGCAGAAAGAAAAATACCTCATCTGTTACATTATATTCAAACTTTGTTCTCGTAACTGATAAGTTATACATGTAAATGCCTAGTAATCGTCATTTCATAAATAAGTTTTTATATTTTTTTTTCTTTTTTTTTTTTAAATAATCGATCACGTTCGAGTACTATCGTTTAGAAAATTTATAAGTAAAGTTGTGGTACTCGAACCTTTTTAATCTGAAATCGATTCTTGAATTACTCTTGGATTAAATATAGGAAGTTGTTTTATATTAAATATAGGTTTACTACGTATCTACGTTAGTTTAGATGATTATAGTAAGTTTTTGTTATCGTTATCGATAAACGATTCGTCGTAATCGACATCGAGCACTTAACAAAACGCTCGTAATGTTAGCAACGGTTACATTACTATCCGAGCTTATCTCACGATTCGATCCATGAACAAAGTTAGCATTGAAGAAACTTTGGCCGTGGCATCTTTCGTAATTAACTATCGTTATTCTTGTTATCCGAGTAAAACGTAACCTGTAAGTAAAAGGGACGTCCAAGAAAAAATGCTTTATTATCTTTGATTTTGTTTCATCCACCTGGAATGTTCTTCCCTACCCTTATCCCTACCCCTACTCTTACCCCTCCTTTTACCTTCTCGGTTAAAACTAGTTCAGAGTAACATATTCGCATTCCGATGGTTAATTTATCGCGTGAAATCGTTAACACGGGATGGGTGGAGAAAGAGAAAGAGAAAGAGAGATGAAAAAAAAGAAAGAACGACATTATTCTCTTTTATACAACGGTTCGCAATTTCCGTTGACCTGCTTCTCTTCAAGTTCAAATGTGAATTCGTCGAATAATGCCTGTTTTTTTTTTTATTTTCCTCTTTTATTTATACAAGTTTAGGCTTTCGAAGAAGAATTTTGGATTCAAAGTAGAATGAACGTAGACCAACGAATACGAAGTATCGTAGAAATCCTTCTCGTTAAATCGTTACGTATATACATATATATGTATATATAGTATAATTCAATAATCACTATGATACTGTTACATCATCGGGTTACGTTTCGTATAACATTAAGCTGGGGAGGTATTTAAAGTAAATTAAAATAAATTTCGGAATGAATTCTAAGTGAGTTTTCTCTTTTTCTGTTTTTTTTTTTCACTTGGGCCCACTCCTTTAATTTATTTTCATTGCAAGAAAGGTGCAATTATCTTTCTTGCGACGCATCCTTCTTTGAAACGTCAAGTATCAAAACGGGGAACGTCTCGGTTTCATTTAATACGATATTTCATCATGAAATATTACGTTTGTTCAATCTTCTTTTCTTTTTTTTTCTTTGAAATTAAAAACGTTCATTATTATACTTGATTACTTAGATACACGCGGCGCTCTCTCTCTCTCTCTCTCTCTCTCTCTCTCTCTGTAAAAGAATTAATTAAGCAAACAGAATAATAAAAGGAATTGTATATTTGTATGCAAATTCGATTGGATCACGATGATTCACATGAACGATGTCCTTTTATTACAATCGATCGAAGATTCGTATCTTTTTGAAGATGATAAAATAGAAAAGGATTATGCTAGGCCTACAGTACTTTCCACGTTTATGTTTGTTTCCTTGCGAAAAGAGAAAAACGAAGACAATTGACGTAGTCGGACGATGATATTACCCGAAGAAACGCATACCGTTTAATTAGAATTCCCCACGAACGATTGCTTCTGACAAGGAAAGTAAAAGCTAATAAGTACCTGAACGATGTATAAAATAAGAATCTTTTTTTTTTTTTTATGAATCGACTATCACAAAATATAAATAATCACGAAAGAAGAGGACGGAGAATATTCCGTATGTTCGTAATCGCAATAAGATTAGGTGGATGCTTCGTTAAAAGCTAAATCATTCGCATTGGTTTATAACAGCATCGATAATGAATATAATATTTACGACGGCTATCAAGTAGCAATAGAGAGAAGGGAAATAACTGTAGATGACCTTCACCTTCTGGCCGAGAGATCAGGGTTAGAAAGTACGTCGCCGTCTGTCAGGTGATCGAACGTATCCGAGGAATGAACATTTAGAGAGACGACACAGTTTTCTCATTTTCCTTCATATTCCATATATATCTATTTGATTAAAATATTTAATTCACACATCAGTAATGAACTTGAGCTTAGTTAGAATCTAACGAGCGTGAAAGATATGAAATTTTCTTCTGATTACTTTCGTACAATAAGAATATTCTTCTAATCGTATTCTGATCTCGACGTTCACGTGCGACCTTGTAAAAGGCCGTCCGTCTATCGTTACTCGTCGTTTCCCGTGGAAAGAGTTCAGGAGGTCGATCGATCGTGAATTTCACTGAGAAACTCAATGTTCAGATAGAAAGAGAGGACAAATGATGCTGAGGAATCAACGGCAAGGCCGCCGGCTGGCTGGCATGCACGTTGGCGCACACGCTGACGCAGGTGAAATCATTCTTCTTCTTCTTCTTCTTCTTCTTTGACTTATGTTAGACTTTTAAACTTGCTACTGCAAAACAAGACTTCTCTATTCGTACCATTATCGGCATGACTTGGCCGATTTAAAAGAAAGTGCTAGCTAAAAGAAGTGCATATGCATGTATGTATCCATCAATCGCTTTTCCCTACAACTTTAATCGCTCAATTTCTTATCTTCCATACTAACTCTCTTTGGAAACTAACTTCGCAGTATCTGCTACGCACTGACACTTTCGACGAAAAATGTCAAACGGTCAGGCTTGTTTTTTTTCATTCAAATATATGCGTATATATATACGCATAGTTCAATACGAGGCAAGTAGATTATGACATAGCAGTTAATATACATAATCACGTAACCATATACGAGTTAACAGTATCTCGAAACTCGATGAGATTTTTTTGCCTTTCGTCCGTTTCATTTTCATACTTCCGTTGAAAAATATTCAAAAATAGGGGAAAAAATTGCCTTTAAGGAAAATCAAACAAACTGATATAATAGAATGTATTTATTAAGGAGAAAACGTTTTTTGTCGTTGTTCCAGACAAACCATCGACGGATTCGCCAACAATGGCACATTCGGCACTTCGCGAACTCGTTGGACGAGCCGTAGAAGAGGCCAAAAAATTACCTGGTCTTTCTGACTCGACCGCCGATAATTCAAGGACGCACGACGAGTGTAATATTTCAGAGCACAGTTACGAAGATCTTCTCGCCACTGCGATATTGAACAAAGTGAGCAAAAAACTTACAATTAGTTTCTTTTCTTTTTTTCCTTTATTAAATGCAATGCTTTCAATTGAAATGATATCTATACATTCATTCTAGGTCATCGAAAAATTTCAAAAAGAACAAATCGATGGAAATAGCAACGTTCTGCACGAAAAGCCTTCGGCCAAAGCGGAAAGTACGTTTCCTGTGATTGACATAAAGAATGATTATACTTAACTATCTTAGCTAGATCTAAGAAATGATTATCTTAGATTTCTTTTTTTTATACGCTATATTAAACTAGTATTAAACGTATGGTATAAATATGAGGATTAATGTATTTATTATTTTAGGTGAAACTGAGTTAGGTCTCGATGAAGGTGTCGAAGAAGGTAGTAGTAGTTTGGAGCCCTTATCTCAGGACGAATGTAGCAGCGATTGCAGTGTAAAAGTGCGTGCGAGGCATTCACGAAATCGTCAAGAGCCATTATCCCTTACGGTATGTAATTGGATTACAAGTAATTGCTTATTAACTGAACGTCTTGGAAAATATATGATGATGTACACGAGTGTAGTTAATAGATCTATGAACTTTTACCATATTTTTTCCATGCTTTATAGGTATGTACAAAATTATCCGTTAGAATATTCAACGATTTAGTTATATAAAACGAACAATCGTTATTCCATTCGTTTCCTATATTTATGTATAATACGTTCATGCATATACACTTACGTCAATGATAGCTAACTGGTCAAGACTTTTTACCAAGCTATTTATAAGAATAATTTAATGGCTATTAGAATCGTTAGATAGTTAAAATAGTCATTATTTAAATTTATAGCAACATTTTCGAACGTATTTTGAACATTGAAGAAAGTAATAATCATCATACAACGCGTTTAAATATTAATGAATCGATAGGTTTTTCTGAAATGACGCATCTATTTAATATGTAATGAGCAGTATAACTTAATATGAGAATTAAAGTATACATTTAACCTTGGTGACTCGGTTGAATTAAACATTTTGAACTGCATGAATTCTTTCAAATATATTGATATGTATTTTTTAGATAGAGGAACGAATAGAAGAGGTTACAACTACGTACACGTCCGATGAAGATCCTCCGGAATGTGTAAAAAATGGTCTACACATCACAAATGTTCGTCGTGTGCCATTTCCGGAGCTTGGTATGGATATCATCGATCGTAAGTAATTTAATTGCACGCGACAGTGAACGATTATTAGATCAGTCGTTAAATTCGATTGTATTTGGTTGTTCTATGTGATTTGGTATCGTATTGAATGAAAAAAATAATCTAATTTTTAAAAAGATTTTTATTTAAATACGATTCAAATACGAACGAACTTATAAACTGATCTGATTACTTTTTACATATTCTTTTAATCTATAGAAATGTTCTTTTTTTGTTATTACTATTATCCAGCTTCTCAGGAATCATCCGACGAAAGTCAAAATGAAGAGGATGAATCAACGGCTCATGTTGATCTCGTAGCACCGTTCCAATCCTGGGAAGAAAATTGGTTATTTCAAAAGAAAAGAGTACCGATTCAATCGGATCCTGTTGCCATGCTGGTACCAAGCTCCAGCGCCGATTTTAAAGCATTGATCGGTGATAAGGATGCTGAGGATACGTCTGATCTTTCTGAATGTTCATCGGCTCAATCCGATGAAGAAATCGAAAAGGAACTCTTAGAAGCTATCAATAACGTTGTGCCAAGATCACCGAGAATATCAGAATGCGAAATTGTTGAAAGTTTCAATGAAAATGAAACAAATGTTCGTAAGGATATTCAAGATTTTCATTCAATGAAAAATAATTATGAATTTATCGAAACATCATTGGATTATCAAAATAAAACTAATCAATTGTCTAAAGGCGATGTTAAATGCACCGAAAATATAATAAATATAGGAAAGAACGAAGTTATTCAGAAAGATAAAAAACATCTTATGAATTCTTTGAACAACAATAATAATATCGAAAAGGAAGACATGAATTATAATATAGAAATAAATGATCAAAAGTTTGATACAAGATCGGAATACGAACACATAGTAGATTCGAAGACTGAAATACAAAGAACGGATATCCGATTACTTCAGTCTCAAAAGGACATCACCTCACCGGATGTGCCAAAGATACCGACTCAGTCAATGAAATCGTCAATGTTAGAAAATAATCTTGAAGTTATTCCTAACGACGTGGTAGATTTGAACGAGAAGGTCAATTTGAAATCTTTGGGCGACAATAAGAATAAAATCATTGATCAGGATATCAATGGTGAAGAAGATAAAACAACGTTGTATTCGCTAAACGTTTATTCTAAAGAAGAAGTGCATTGTAAGTATCTACGTTATGGTGATCCAATGTTATCATATACTATAAGTAAAATTATTTAATCATTTTTTAAAATTCAGATTATACCAATTAAATAATGTCTCTTTTATTATTCGTACGATTTATTTTAGTTGAAGATGGAGCTCAGCAAGAAAGTGAATATACTGAACATTATGATACAGCAACGCAGAGACATTTGGATAGTTTAACGAAAGATGAGATCTACGTGTTACAAAATGACGAAGTGTTAGGAACTACGGTAAACGATATCGAATTAACATCAAATTTGTCGTCCAAAGAAGAAACATAGTAAGTTCGATATCTCATTACTTTTACTTTTCCTTAAGAATTGTCATTTTGTACATTTTATCAAATGAACTATTGAATTTCCTGTCATTGCAATTAAGAGATGACATAAGAATTAAATTGAATAATATGTTAATTATTTTCAAATATTTCGCGATAGTCTTATGTTATCTCGTAAATTTCGATAACAAACTTTCGTTTATTTTTCATAGTAACTTTTTAAATGTTATATAGATTTTTGAGAGACTTTATATCGAACAAAGAATTTTTTTTTTCTAATGACGTGATAATAAATAACGCATATCAACATTCCTCTGTGTAGCAAGGGCCGAGAAGCTGTGGCAAGCGTCAAAGTTGATTCAGTTTCTTATTCGTCTTTAGAGAAAACAGCCGAGAAAGATATACAATTGTCTACACCACCACGTCCAGGTAATCAAAATCAAATGACATATTTGATTATACCATTTAGTGTATTACATATATTATATGTATTTATGTAATCTAATAGGTACAATCGCTGAAAGAGAACATAAGAAATGGGAAAATGCTGCACCTATTGAAAATAATCCTTACAGTGAGAAGAGCATTAAAAAAAGACTTTTAGAAAGACAATATAGCAGAAGATCCGCAGATATGCCAGGGTATATATAAATTATCTCGAAATGAATTAATATAATTATTTAAATAATCCTCAATTCGTTTTCGTCACTTATTATTTTATTCACTTTAGAATGAATACCGAGTTACCGTTAAGCAATGGAACTGATCTTGTTTTAGAACCTAATGAACCAGATATTAAACGGTAATAGTCAAATTTTGATTAATGTCATATTTGAATAAAAATTTGATTTTTAATGAATCTTTCAATTAATAGATTTGGCAGAGATTACTACATCAATAACGCAAGATCAGCAACCGGTGACAAGATACGAAAATCACCAACAACGTCCGCATCGAGCAGGCCTGGTAGTGCATTGTCGCAACGTTCAAATTCGACCACAGGGACTGACCAAGAACAACAGGTGAGTTTCGAACTTGGAAAGTTCGAAGAGGCTTCCTTACACGGTAGCCTATCTAGACGGAGTTATCGCGATCGACACGCAAGTCCTAATTTTGCTATCAATCCTCTGCTGCGTTTGGAATCTCACGAAAATTTCGACGAATCAAACTCAATTACCGAGGAATCAAACAAAAATATATTCGTGATCGATGATCAAACATGTATCAAGGATCAAGTTGAAACAATTAACGATTTATGGACAAACGAGATATCAAACAATTTTCTAAATGATACGATCGTTATCAACAATGTGAAAATGAATCCATTATATCAACGTTATCAGAAAGAATGTTTACCAATCGGTTCTAATTCAAATGATCGTGATTCCGGTATGGATTCGATCGAATATTATTCGGATAAATTATCCTGTACAAAAGACGAAATAAATGTCAGGGAAAATCAAATAATTTCAACTAATAACAAGAGATATCTTAATATGTTTAATTACAAATATCATACTTTTGGTGGAATAAGAAATTCAGTTATCTATCAACGAGATCGTTCAATTAATTACAAAGACGACGTAGTCGAAGATAATTTCTTCTTTGGGTCACCCGATTTTGTCAATATGAAATTTCAAACTTTCGGTGGGATTAAAAGGAATAAAAAAATCGACGGTAGAAAAATACAAAATTACAGTAAAATTAAATTAAGACCAACGATACAAATAATTACAGGATCTAAAGCTAATCATTCCGCGAATAAAAGTATAATTAATGAAAATAAATTGGAAGAAGTAAAAAAGGACGAAATTATCGATGAGGACGATTGGTTGGACGAGGATGAACACTTGGAAACTAGATCGCTTGAATATAAATTCAAATCGAATGATAGAGATTCCACGCGATTTTTAAATGCTAATTCCAATATTAAAAATAGGCGTAAGAGAGTTCTCAAAAGACAAAACAGAGTAGAGAGCATAGAAGATAATAAATACGAAAACAGGAATAATTTGATTAACGATACTTTGCGTAATTGGAAATCATTATCGTCGAATAATCTTACTTCATATCACTCTTTAGATTTATCAAAGAAAAACAAAATAAGAAAGATTAATTATACTAAAGGTAAATTATTAAGACAACATTCACGTTCTTCGGAGGAAGGAAATTTGAAATTAGAACCGCCTGTTGTGCCACAAGTTATCGAACGAAATTTTAAGACGTTGAAAGAGCTTAAAAATTCGAATTCTCGTAAAAAGAAATGTAAAGATAATTCCACTAATAAAATATTAGGTATAAGAAGCCTAAGTAATATTACGATTTGGTAACAATTTAACATTTTTTTATTAATTACATTAATAAGTAAGTAATTTAATAAGTATTTTTATATCAAAGTTTTATCAAAGTTAATCGACAGTACTTGAAACAAAACAGCCACACTTAAAGAGTCCATTTATGTTTAAATATCTCGTATTCAAGGAATCGTTAACGAATAGTCTATTCCAAAGAAATTTATGCCAAAATGTTGTCAGTTTTTTCTCAAACTTAAAATTAACAATTAAGATATGCCATTACCGTTCTTTTTAGTTAAAAATTTGTTATTGTTGGAAAGTTTTATTTTGTTTAATTTTATTTATGTTATTTATCTCAGGAATATATGGTGTAGCGTTTACCTAATCGTACATCTTATGATCTCACTTATAATTTAGTTACGAATACTTAATAATTAATTGGGAGTAAAACGAAGGGATTAACTATATCTGACTTTAAATATGTATTATTGTGTAGACCCCTTAAAATAATTTAAATATATTATTTATTTAATATCTATTTTTTTTGTTCTGTTTAAAATTGCATGCTTTTAGGTGTCGGTTATTAATGCATCGTTATTTTCAGCAAATCGAATATACTCGATTGATTCTTCTGTTTATGCGCGTACGTGTATCGTAGATGTAAAAAGTTATAATAGTAATAATAATAATTTATTAATTATATTGTATATAACAGTGTATATATATATAGTTCTGCACCAATTTGTCTGTAAGAGTCACTGATAAACTGTGAAACTTGCTGTCTCTATATTAATTTGATATTATACAAAGCAACACTCTATTCGCACTGCATATGCATGAAAGCTGTGATAAAATAAATTGGTAAGTAAACTTTAAAAAAAATTCAAGTTTGTTTCATATGCGTTGTTCTTCGTTTAACTAACAACTAACCCCAATTTATATTCTTGGATTTTATTTCTTTTTATCTCAAAGGAACGAAACTTTTGAGTAACTTAATCACGCTGATTTTTATCGTAAGGGTAACACAAAATGAATATAAATATACTCGTCTCGATTATCAATTTAATTGATTACTTCTTGCAAGATTTATTAAAACTAAAAAAAAAATGAACTTCGCTCTCCTAACACTGCACACGATATCTGGGTATAGGCTTCCGATTTGCTTCATTCTAAGAATACGAGATATGATCTAATTAAAAATATTTGTATCTACAGTAGTACCATATGCATGACTTCACGATGAAAACTAACTTGTATATATATAAAATACTTAATGAAAAATTTGTTATATGTTTGGTTTGAAAAAAAAAATATCAATTTTGTAACATTGCATAATGATTCATTTTCATTTGTTTCAGAATGAAGAAAACTTCGACAAGGACATGGCATACGATTCACCCAAATCGAGAACGGAAAAATGGCGAAGGAACAATTCTAATTCTTCCACGGAAGAAAGCACGAAAGATGAATACACGGAAAAGAAGAAAAACGATGTTTCTCCAATGAAACGTCAAAAATCATGGAACGATCAAAAAGTAGATCTTTTAGAAAACGAACGTAAAAATAGTAAAAACGAGATAAACGCGAGACTGAACAATCAGGATAACAATTGTGGGATCTTCGAAACCCAAAAATCTTATATTCAGAGCGACAAGCAGAAAATGATACGACGAATCGATTTAAAGGCTTACGGTTTTGAAAACGATTTTGATTCGAATAAAAAAGAAAATGTAAAGTCAACGAGACCGCTAAGGGTTGTGAACAAACTCAATCTTAAATCATTCGGTTACGATGGTGGGTTGCGTCGTACGCAATCGCATAATCAGATCAATGGTGTTGATATCAAGCCAAGGATTGTTAGGATGGCAAAGAAATCGAATCTCGGTCATTTCAGGGATCATCGTAATTTTGACGATCAAGATCATTTTGAAAGACAATGTTCTAATGATTCAAATCTCACGCAAAGTACTGGAACTCTTAATGAACTTTGCGAACAAGCTGATCACAACTTTTTCAATACAGTGATGACTTCTGCTACATCGGTTCCTAATATTGCGAATAGTGAATATTATGAAGATACAAATGGGGATTCTAAAGACGTCGACAGTGAGGAAGAAAACGTTATGAATGATTCAAAGGATAAGAACTTAGGAGTTGATGTTGGGAATGATAGTGGCTCGTCGAATGTTAATTCGGAAATAGACGTGGAGGAAAAGGATTTATCTACGGAGAAATTATCGAATGGAAATCACGAAGTGGATTCTTCCGAAGAAAAAATAAACTTGAAAAATATTGGAGAAAACAAACTTCCTATGCCATCGGTTAGAAGATTGGCCGAAGCTTTTAACAAGCCAACGATAATCGCTCCAACTCCTGCACCACGAGTAAGATAACTTATTTTGTATATATTTTATAAATCGGTTGAAATTTTCCGGGCAACAAATTAGTTCCTTTTTTATTACGAATATTTTTATCTTCTTCAATAAGATATTTTTGTTTGTAGACTGCAAAATCCAATACAGCGCATAACGAGAGATGTGTAACACCAGAATTACAAATAATCGAGACACCCAGGCAGATGCATAGTTTAACAGCCAGGTCTCTTTCGAAACAATTTCGGGAAGGCTTACGACAAATTCCTTACAAAGTAACTTCACCACCGGCTAGTCATGTCACCATGGAACAATCTAATGACCGGGAAAATCAATCGGAAATAGTACAAGCTAAAAGGGATCATTCGTTGAAAGATATTAACGTAATAGCCCCGGGTAAGTTGAAATCTAATATCAAATTTTGGGAACAAATGCAAAGGCGAAGTTAAAAGTTTATGACGATGGACTTTGAAATTGAATAAAAAGGCACACTATTGCGTCGCCATGGCGATGATTTTTAATTCTTAACTATAAAATAAAAAAAAAATATATATATATATATACGTAATGTAATTTTTAATAATATATACAACACTATTTTATACACTTCTATTAGAATTGCGTTTCCCGCAGACCAGTCATAATTTTATATAAGTAAAAAGCACGATGAAGGCGTCGTATTGAAACGATAGAAAGAATTATACGTTCATATTAATAAAAAAAGGAAGTTACCATCCTTACCACGTGCAAGAATGTGTTAACGGAATATGTTAAAAAAAAAAAAAAAAGGATTAATTGTAAAGTTACTTTGAATCAGTCTCTGATAATTACTTATGTGATTAAATTTGTGCCAAATGACATGAATAATAATATGTCATTAGCCAAAGAAGATAATATTGTAATTAATTTCTTTTATGATTCATATATATATACACACTGTTCCATTTCCAGGATAAACTCTCTTTAATAAAGAGCATCATTTTGTACATATTGTTGAATTTTTAATGTTAAATATTAAATAATCGTCATTGATGAATATAAAGTTCAATTTTATTATACACGAGATAAAAATATATTTGTAAAATATTTATTATTAATTTAGTAAACGTGCACAAACACGTGTGTGTATGATTGCACAGACATTTGTTATTAAATATATATATGTATATCATTAGTCTTGCGAAAGTTGAAGTTCAGTAAATGTATTATTTGTATCAAATTTCATTAAGTACACGCGCATTGCTTTAACTTAATTTATACAATATAATGCATTGCACTAAAATATATACATATATATATTTTTTTTTTATTTAAATAAGATAATTAATGATTAAATATAATATAACAAAATTCATAAAAATAAACATAATGTATATCACTTAAAAGAAGGAAATTAATAATAGATACTTCTAGTTTTATGAAATGGTATGTCCTCTAACTCTTCGGCGTGTTCTCGACGATAGTCCCACAAAAAATGATCGATTAAGATACAATTAATATCACTTTCCTTCAAACGTAAATCACTATAAGAATCTATTAAATGTCTAACTTCGTTATTAACACGCTCAATAACTTCTATCGAACATCCACGGATTTCTATTTCTTCAACACTTCCCGATTCCAACTCTAAGCCTGCATAAACTCAGTATTTAAAGAACAACGAAAACATGTGTATTATAATTTATGAATGGACAGTGTTTATAAAAAACACATACCTGTTATATATTAAACTAATAATAAGTACGATAAAGAAACTCACCTGACTGAAGTTTACTTAACAAGGGATTACTATATCTGAGAGCACCAAAATGAACGAGAACTTGAGGAATTCGATAATCCGCAAACATGGTAAGAAAATCAATATCATAAAAATCACCATATTTTTTCCCCTTAAAGCAAGCCCAAATATCACCGATTAAAATCTGAGCCCTTTTATAAAAACTAACTAAAATAAATAACGGTAAATATATTATTTTTTTATAATCCATTATAATATTATATATAGATCATCTTCGAATTTACGCGATATAACTTACTTTTATATGTTTGGAATTGTGCTTCATCTTGAAAAGAATGAAAATCAGTAACAATGAGTTTTAATAATTTTTTTGCCGAGCCTGAACAGGATTTTATACATTCGACGAATGTACCTATATTATGAAAACAAATGTTATTATTAATGATATTACGAAAATATTTGAAAACTGTACCTTTATATTTGTTTAATAGTACTTCTCCAGCTTGATGTAGAACTCTTACTCTTTCATTTATAAGAGGAATATTAGTATTGTTATCATCACTTCGAAAGATTACTTCAAGTTCATTTTTAGTTATTTCTGAATAGTACTTAGGATCTATTATAGGTGTACCCTCCTGTTATACGTATTATATATGCATATAGAAGTTATCACACACAAATAATTTAGAAGATAATAATGATAATTAATAAAACAGCCAATATAAAGTAATAAGATAAGGAATCATTTTTATAAAAATACGTAATTAATAGGTAAATATTAGTCGACAAATACCTAACAATAATAATTTACTAATGAAAATGTAAGAAAAACAAAAGTGAACAAATATAAATATATGACAGCTATATTCATTCCAGTAGTAAATATTAAAATGACATTTGATGATTAGAACATTATCCAAATTCATTAACATAGATATTTAAATTTATATATTGTCATTTTTAATTAAACACATAATGGTACGGACTTGCAATATTATTGATATAATAAGTCTTAAAAAACCAACGTAAGTAGATTATGATAGAATAAAATTAAAAGTATAAATAAATATTAAAAAGCTTAAAAAATTTGTATAATTTAATTAGAGCTTTGGATAAAGTAATTGAAAGTATTCCCAAACCAAAGGGTGCTATTCCTAATTTTGGACTACCAAAATGGAAGGTAATGCCTTTAGAATCTAAGATTCCAATGGTACCTGGACCAGAAGGTGCCTATAACTTTACACGACGTAAAATAGGGAAAAAATTGTGGACCAGTTCATCGGATGCAGAGTTTAATTTAAATGATCCATATTGTTATGAAATCAAATTCACATACGATGCATTGCACGATGAACATTTGGTACCATTTTTTTCAAAAACGAATAATATTCAGCATTTATTGAAAGCTGGATTAATTACACGTAATTTGGAAGGAAAATGTTCTTTAAAGGATTATAACATGTACAGAAAATATTTAAGAAATTTACACACTGATAGTATTAAACGTGAATTAAGAAAAAGAACGTGCATTGCTCATGAAAAACGAGAATTAGAATATGCTGAAGAACAAGCACAAAATGAAGTGAATAAGTAAGATTTTCTAAATAAAGGAAGGCTGCTTTTTTCTTGTTTCAATTTTATTCATATTTGTAATGATTTTAGATTAAAGAGAAGAGAAAGACTAATAGAGGCACGTAAGAAAATATGGACAGCACATAAATTGGAAGAGGAAGCAAAAATTAGAGCGCAAAGAGAAAAAGCGAAAAAATTAATTAAAAGAATGAAATTATTACAAATAACAAAACGTCAAGATCAAATGATGCGTGCTGCAAGAGCAAAGGCTCGTTCAGACAATATAAAACAAAAACAAAAGTTAGCGACTGAAATTCAAGAGCAAAAAAAAATTCATACGTTTGTAGATTGGCGTAAGAAAGAACATATGCGTAAGAAAGCTAGAGAAGCGAGATTGAAACATGATCAAGAGCAAAAGACTATGGCCATTGAAGAGAAGTAAGTGATGGTAAAAAATTATTGAATGATTACTTTATATTTGTACGGTATATATCAATTATATTTTAGATGGAAACTAAGACATGAATTGCAAAGAAAAGAAATTGAAAAAGAACAGTTTCTATTCGATTATATGAATACTCAACGCGCAAAATTTATAAAGAAGTATAATGAAAAGATAGGAAAGGAGAGAGGACGAATGGATAGTATGGGGAATTTCAATCTAAACATTATTTCTATTTTATATAGTAACTCGAATATGACTAATGATAAATATAAATGACTAATATTCTGATATTTGTAGAACTTTTACAAAAAATGAAAATGTTTGTACAATGTTATATGGCCCGGCGTTTACCAAGAGGAAGAGAAAGAATTTGTTGTACGTTGTACAATGACAAACAGGTGAAATTTAAATTGTTTGCTTGCTTAATACATCCATCTATATAAATTGTATGTTTACCAGAAGTCAGTAAATGAAACTAGGAAATTGTCACACACATTTGAAACTCGCTTGACTCTTTCAAAAGACAAACAAGCACAGGTAAGTTTGAATTAATTTGATACCAAAGTTTATAATTATGTAGATTTATCATAAAAAACGTATAAGCAAATGTATTAATGCTTAACTCTCAGTTTCTTTTTAATCATTAAGCTATATGTTAGATAAATAAATATCTTTCTAAAAACATTTACACATATATACATATAACAGAAAAAGAAAGAACTTATTGAACGTAAGGAAATATCAAAAATATCAAAATACTCGAAAAAAAAGAAGACAAAAAGACAAGAAAAGAAAAAATCTGGAAGAGAGAAATTAACAGATAAATTAAGGAAAGAGGAAGCAAAACCAGAATTAAAAGAAAAACCTGTTATACCAACAATCGCTGTAACAAAATCAGAAGAAAAAGAATCACCGGAAATATTACAGAAGGACAAATGCAGATGCCAAAAAATCCAAATTTAATGTTTAAATGTTGATGAAAATAAACAAAAAAATAATTAGGAATAAAATTAATTAAATGTAAATACTTGATATCTAAGAAAGAGCGCATGAACTTACATTTATAGCTCTTTGAATAGCAGCACACATTGCAAAATATCCAGTCTGTCCGTTGACTTTCCATTTATTGGCATTGTCTTCGGTCCAAAATGAAAAATTTAATAAATCCAACACGAATATCCAGTCAATGGCTGTAGGGTCAGAGCATTTAGGATGAAATTCACATTGTGAAAAATTATTAATATCTATTTTTTTTTCTTTAAGCTCTTCCAAAACCTGAAACAATGAATTCAGTTAAAGCTCAGTTTTTATTTAAAAATAAGAATGGAAGAAAAGTGTTAATATGCACTTTTATATATATATGACAATGTAATAAAACAAACAGATACATAATGTACATAACTTGTTGCTGTTTACTTACCTTGTAGGCAAGTGCTTTTACACCTTCGTCTTCTATAAAAACATCTTTTGCATATGCGGAAATAACTTTAGCTGATTCTCTCGGCATTATAACCATGTTTGAACGATTATTACAATAATTACTTGGGTATAAAATAAAAATGTATTATGAAGTAGAAGACATCTAACCGGAAATCAGAATAAATATAAATAATGTAAATCTCGCTTATCATTGGAAATTTAGCATTATGTCACGTGATCAATGTTCACTGGCTGTTTAGCAACGATTGCAGGTATAAACAAATATGGCGGCTATTGTCAAAGTTTGTCACGTTCAATGATTAATTCGGCTTACGATGTGTGTGAAGAAATTGATATTACTTTTAAAAAATACATCAACAGTATTTTAAGTAAAGGTAAGTAATTTGTATTTATTTTAATTCTTTTTTAAAGAATTTGTCTTTTCTATATTGGTACACTAGACAAGATAACCACGATCTGGTCACGTTGACGCACATGGATGTATGGATTGTTTACAGTTGCATAATTGTATCGCGTATGTATTTTTATTGTAAGAAAATGATATTTATATATTAAACTCTATCTACTTTTTTGTCAGTTTAAACCAAAAAATGAAACATTCTCGATAGAAGAAATATTTAGTTAAAAGACTATTAGGTTAATGTGTTATCCATGGTAAACACACACACACACATAAAAAGATGTAAATATAATTCATTTATTGCATCGAAATTAACATTGATATAAAATGCAACATTAAATGAAAGAATAATGTTTGTAAGTACAGAGCCAAAGTATAAAGTGTCATGTCACTTTATTCAATCAATCATAACATTTAATAATACATAATTTAAACGATAAATGTATTCTGTGTTTAAATTTTTACATAAGGACATGCGTTTCTTATTTTTACGATACACTCGATTGTAGGTAATACCTAATTTTGTTTATTATAGGCAACTATTTTCTGTAAAGTTTGAGAAGATTCGAAACTTCAACACTTCATTTGTAATTTACATACGTAATACAAATTAACACGTGGGAATAGCATGTAGATCTTATTTACATGTATTTTTCTTTTTTATTCTTTTTTATTGCAATAGCAATAATAGTAAACTATTTCTCTTTTCTCATTTCATTATTGTACCGCAGTACTTTATGAATACTTCGATGAAAGTCGCTGCAGTTGGATATATTAGTATAATTCTTCTTTTTAAACATTTATGAGTAAAATAGTTCCAAAAGAGATATCTCAATTAAATTAAGTTTTCCGAATTACGATGTAACTTACAAAATTTGAAGACCATTACACACATGTTTCGAATCCTTGTGTGTGACAAGTCAAATTGTGATGTGCTTCGTCGCATTCATTCATTCAAATAACATATGTACATAATACCCCCTCAACATAAAATGAACAGATTAAGGCTCCAGCAGGCTATAGGCTACATTCTACAATGTACAATGCATTATGTACTTTGTTAGTTTCCATTTTCGCGTACATGTCTGGCTGTGTAATGTGTGGCAAGCGATAGCACCAAAATATTTCTTGATGGTTCTAATTAATTTGAATGATTTCATATAGAGTAAAACTACACAATACACTTAACACGAAAATTAAGTTGCAATAATTAACACTTAATTTATTCAGTATTATTTAACTTTGCAACGTATCTGCGCTGTAATAGATATACTTATTATAAAACAATATATTTTAACAAAAGCATATAAATTTATATTTTATGAAATATAAAGCTTGAATAAAAATCGTAGACACTTTGATGCCTACTGATTGTGGTTAATTAATTAATTTAATTATCGTTTCCATCGTTTATCTACCGATTGGCGTGAACACTTAGTTAGTGACATTTTAAATAGAATTATGAATTTAAAATAATCCAAATATACTTTTTTGTTAGACGTTGACATCACCTATGGCCCCAGTACGCCGTATTTCGTTGACAGCGTTAAAATCATTATAGTGTTTTCTTTTTTCTTTTTTTTTTTGACTTTATTATTATAACTTATTATTGTGCTATTTTGTTGTTACGAGGCTTAGGTTTTAAATGCGATTTTTTTTCTTGTGCAAACTATTCAGTTCAAAATAATAATTATTAACAATTTAAATCTTTTTTTTTTTTTGTAGATTCTCTTCAATAAGGATGACTGCAAATATCTGCAAGTTCTTGCGATAAAGTTTATTTTCTTCTACCATGCAATATTGTAATTTGCACAGTCCCTATAATTTTACCTTTTAAATAATATTCACTGAGCAACACAAAATCAAGGGTCCCCTTTACCTCATTAATACGAATATTGATTATAAACTGTTTTTCGAAGTCTAATATTACTCATAATAATTCTCATCATCACAGACTAATGTGGTCATTTAACAGATTCTCATATATTTTATTCTATTATCTTTTATTTATCTGATCAGAATGAAAACGTACGATAGTTGAAATATATTTAAATATTTCGTCTTAATTATCTGGATGTATATTAAAGAAAATAAAAGTTTAATAAAGAATTTTTACATACAATATATATATATATATATATATATGTAAAATTTTCCTAAAATTTAAAATACATGGTAATGTCATAAAAAACAGAATCCCATTGCTTCTTATAGCAATCACAAGAATAACAGAGATCTAGAGGAACCTTGAGCAGCATGCATGAGTTTCAGTCAAATATATCTAACAGAATATTGTTTCATACTATTGTATTTGCCCCCGCGCACATCACACCTCCAGACTTCACCCATGCAGCAAAATGCGCTTTTCAATTATTTCTCTTAATATTATATAAAAAAATCTATTTCTATTGACTTTTAAGCTCTTTGCCAATACTGTACGATACAATTTTGTTCCAGTCAATTTTCGTTCGCATAACAGGTAATTGCCTTCGCAAGGCCTTGAAGGTTGTGTCAGACATTGTTTGATAATTTTCCGAAATTGCAGTTTGATAGTCATTTTCTGAATCCTCAACTAGTCGGATCAACTCCTTGGCAGTTTGTTTTTCATTCGAGATCGATAAGCTTTCTCTTACTTCTTTGCTACTGACCAATTGTACATTTCCATCTTCATAATAATGAACTTGTACTTTAAGGCTACCTCTTAATTCTGCACTTCCAGAACTTGGACTGAAACTTACAGTCCATACAGAACGCCAACGACCATTCCAAAAATTTTTAGGTTGAAATTGATGATCTTCTATACACGCAGTCAGCGTTATATTACCTGTCAAAACATAATTATTATTCTATGCTCTTTATTTTGACAATATTTTATTTGGTTATGAAAATTTTAAAAATAAATATATGCATACCTCCTTGGCTTCTTCCAAAAACTGCAGACGCACCATGTCTATAGTGATTCTGGGTATAAGTCGTTATCTCATCTTGTAAAACCGACCTCCAAGGTTCGGCTACAGAATCTGGTTCATAGGATTCATAATCCTGTGCTTCTTTTCTTAGGTGATCATACTTAAAACTTTGCTTACTACGCAAATCATAAAACCTTTGGCCCCCCAAGTCGTTATGTTCTGTTATTAGTGCTGGATACTCGCTTCCCTCTATCTAGATAAATAAATGTACGCAATACATATTTTAAAAGCAATAGTAATTGCTCTGACGAAATTTAAAATTAGATTTTATTTTAATGAAAGATATAGAGATAAATAAATAATAAATACAAACGCTTAAAGCAATAACAGGGAAATACGATGAATAACACAAGTCGTAAACTTTCATATAAGAATATTTCTACAAGTGATAACAAAGTAGAAAGATACTTTTATATAAATCAAATGAAATCTCGCTTAACGTTGTGACCTTTTTTAACTAAAGGAAACATAAAATCAAGATAAATGTACTAAAAAATAAAAATTAATATTTAAATAAAAAGCAGCTTCTCAAGATGGCTCTAAGAAGCATGTAGGCCTTACATCGTTTCCTAACCTAAATCAAAGAAAATTCTCAAGCAAAGTAATACATCAATGATTGACAAAATAAAAAATGAAGAAAAGGAAACGATCATCTCATAAACATGTAACAAACTATATTTCTCCGTATATCTGTCATAAAATATTCAATGAAATAATGACAATCTATGTTAAAAGGTCACATTCCTTTGGCAGTAAGATCGCTGATGCCTCTCACGTCAAGACGATTAATATTAGTTTATCAAAGAAAAATAATATGAAAATAGCTGGTAAGATAATCTTCGAATAATCATATAGTAAAATATATTATGATAAAGTAAACGTCATTGATAAAAATTTGGGGCTCACGATGCCCCAAACAGGGAACGTCGTATTCCACTTTGAAATTCGATCTTGCATCGAGGCGACAAGGATCTTCGTGTCCTTTTGCGAAAGGTATATTTCCTTCTAGGTTTACGCGAGTCATATCGAGTAAACGATAAGCAGGGGGTCAAAGAAGTAGGAAGAAAAAAGAAAAAACATAACAGAAAAAAGGTATTCCATAGGATCGAGGGAAATAGAACGATTGTGTGTGTTGTACGAGGATGTACCTTAACAGGCGTGAGCTGATCCTTGTTGTATTGAGCGAATGCCCCGGACGCGCCTTCTTTCAACAGGTTGTCGTTGTTCAACAAGACCCTGACATCGTTGAAAACCTCGTTGAACTCGCCCGGTGGTGAGTGAAGTATAAAATCCGAAACTATTCGTACTTTTTCTTGATCGGGGATCAGATCTCCGTCCGCCGCCATCTTACCTTTCCACTGGCACGCACACTCCGCCGATGTCAAAAGCAAGGTTCGTGCAGTGCAGGTTGAGCTGACGTGTTCCCCTAGCGCTCTCTCATATACCCGGTGACCAACACCGTCTATCTCTCTTTCGAGTCTGATTCGAAATCGTGACGCATCTGGATGAGGAAGCACGATTACCTTCCTTTTTCTCTTTTTCCTTTCTCTCCTTTCCACTCCTCCCCCCCTTCTCTCTCTCTCTCTCTCTCTCTCTCTCTCTCTCTCTCTCTCTCTCTCCCACTCTGTCGTGTACGTACACATACACTATCTTTCATTTTTGTAATCGCACCAAGTTCAGTTCTTCCCTTTTATTACGAAAAATATTACATGAATATTACTTTCAAATGAAAATTGCATTCGACGATTGGCATTGTCGTTTTTTTCAATATTTAAAATAAAATATCGTTCCTTCCTCCCCTTTGATTTATTCATAATATATATTAATAGTCGATAGGGCGATCAATTAAATTGGAAATATATCGAAATTATTCGATTAATATTGTAGGTGACTAATATTGTTTCGATTATCGACAAAAGCATTCTAACGTGTAATTTGTGTTTGAATGAATTTTTTTTTTGTTTTTGGTTATTTCGTGTAAAGATATTTGAACGATATTAGCAACGTGATTAAATCATTAAATGTTCATGTTATTTAAATTTTGTTGATATGATAAATTAGTAAACATTCGTCTACGAATACTTTCTTATCTTTATATAGGGTGTCTCAGTTTTGCCACATTTTCATTAAAAGGTATGATGCGCGAACAATTATTAAATATATAAATACAAAGTAAATTTATATCATACAAGTTTTGTTAATGTTATACATGATTTTTACATTGTTTTAATAATTAATAATAAAATAATAAAAATAATAGAAACAAACAAGAAAAGAAAATAAATAAAAGTAAAGAAAACGAATGAAATAAAAGGAATTCTTTTTCTCCATAGATTTTTGCAAGGCTTGGAAAACGGCGCGAAATTTGAAAGAAGAAAATAAAAGATACCAATGTTGGTTCGACAGTTCTGGTGCTCACGAGAAACCTTGAACGTGTACAATCATCGTAAAGTCAGACAAAGTCTTCGTAAGTTCACTCAGGCGTGGTCTTCAATTCTTTTTCCCTTTCTTTTTCATATTTCTCTTTTTCTCATTGTCTATTTTGTTATTTTTTTATCATCCTCTTGATAATATACTACATCTCCTTATAATACTTTAATGTTATTTCGTTTATTTATAATATAAACGTATTCATTTATATGCCATGCATATGTAATAGCATTTTAATTTTTTAAATCACGCGCCAGTTTTAAGTGGTGTTCGGCTCGAGAATTCAGTTCAAAAGTCATATTCCGTATGGTGATCGTTGTATCGATTTCTTTCTTATAATTTGATTGTGTTATTTAATATTTCTTTTTATTTAATTGATATATATGTAAATATCTTTCTTAGGAAGTATGATAAAATCCTGAAAGAATGGCGGACGATCCAAATCGAGATCTTTTGCCTGTAAAGGAGGGATCTTGCATCGATACATGCCGTAGTGTTATAGGTACTTTATTTATATATATGAACTCAAAATGAAATGGAACAAAACTCAAATAATAATAATTTTTAATAATAATTATGTCCTTTAGGAAGAATATATTTTCAAATAAATTTATTTGCGAATCTTAGATCCCAAGGAGCGTCATTTGGTATGCAAGCTCGATCGATATCAGTTGGAGGACAAGTATTTACGGCTACTCGAGGAAGCAAATAATTTGAAAAAATTGTCAAATTGTCAGGAAGATAAGATCAAACGACTGGCTACGAAATTAATGAGAGTAGCTGCTAACCCAAGGGCGTGCGTTTCTTTTGGTTGCGATGCTAAAACCAAAGCAACGGCTCTCGAGATCGAGAACTCCAAGGTGAGCAAATATCATTTTTTAAATTAAATTATATGAAAATAATAATATAAAATTAAATAAATGTCATAAATATTACAAATAAACGATATAAATAATGTTATTCTACAATTTATTTTATGATCAGTTTAAATAAGAAAATTTGTTTTTTAATGGATCAATTTTTAGTTAAAAAATAAATTATCCGTATTGAGGAGTCAACTGTTGAGTCATACAATGAGCGGTGTATCGCCAACGAGAAGTCGTCGGCCTCCCACAAGACCATCCTCGGGACTCATGTGCGTAGAAAGTGTAAATAGATTGAATTCTTTTATTATGATTCACTTTGGTATAGATTACAATAGATCACTTACGTAAAATTGTTTTTTTAGAACGTGTCGAAGCGAGAACAGCCGTATAAGGGCACCATCCTGCCAGTGTATCGTTCAAACAAGAAACGAAGATAATGATGTACAAAATTATCTCGTTAAAATCGAGGTAATGAGATAAAGAATTATCTACGTGATTTAATGTGATTCATACAAAATCAACCATGAAATATTTCTATACAGTATTGTTTGTTAATTGAAAATTTTTATTTTTTTTATTGTTTTTTGTTAATAGGAATTAGAAACGCAGAAAAAAGAAATGTCCTGCCGTATAACGCAGTTAGAGAAGGAACTTGAAACTTATGTAGTAAATAATCAGAGGAAGAAAGTAGTTGAGAACATCGAGTATATAAAGGTCTGGCGGCAAATGAAACAGTTGAGCGACAAATTGATAGCTGCTCAGAATACGAACGAGTCGTTGAACTTACAAATCAACGACCTCAAAAAAACCCTCGAAGAGACAACAAAGTAAATATTTTATAATTTTCTTTATTTTTTAAATTATCAACGATATTTAATATCTTAGATAATATTTAATAGAAATCATTTATGCGAGCAAAATTAATATCACTGATCTTATAAGCGATTAGTATAGTAGAAATATTTTTATATTTACATATAATTAATTTTTCTTGTTAGAAATAATCAGGAAATAACGGTATCTCTAATGGCAGAAAAAAAACGAATAGCCGAGATCGATACGCAAATAATAAAAGCAAAAGATTCACAATTGACGTTACGCGAAAAAGATGAACAGATAAGAGATCTAATGAATGAGATGAAAATTTTGCAGCAACACAATAACGAATTAATAACATTGAGCTCCAAATATGGTCAAGTTGAATTAGAGAATGTTGAATTGAAAAAAAAAATTTCCCAGCAATTTACCGATCAGCAAACTTTAAAAGTAGCGTTTAATACTGAACAAGCTAATATTGCTGCCCTACAAACGGCTAACGAACAATTGTTAAATAAACTTCAGTATTTACAGAAAAATATGGACACCTTAACGATCCAATTAGCGGTAAGACAAATTAGTGATTATTTGATTTTATTTAATAAGACAATTTTGATATTTGATTTTTTTTTTATATTTGACAGACCATTCAAAATGATAATAAAAAGAACGAATCAAGTAGCAAAGCAGAATCGCCTGATGGTTGTATTAATGTTAAGACTATTCATACAAAAGAATTATCTTCTTCTCCCAAAAATATGATATCGTTAACAGAAAAATGTAAAAAATGTTGCGAAGCGTTCGAGAAGATCTTACAGCTTGAAAAAGGTGTGAATACAATACGGCAAGGTTTGACATGTTTGGATAAGTGCGTACAAACGGATGTCGTGCGTAGTACGACTTTTATCAAGACGAAAGAAGCAAGTACTTCAGTGATGACTTCTACGGATGAGCGATCCACGACGAAGGAACAAGTAGTTGAAAAACGTCAGGAGATTGATCAAGTAATACAAGAAGAGAAGAACCCTTTGTCACGCGAAAAGATGTTAAAATTATTGGATCAAGCGCAGATCAGTACGCCATTGAAGACAGGAAGAATTGGTCAACTGGATGTTTCATCTGTGGTCGATTGCGAAGTCATGCAAGATTTTAGCCAAAGACACAGGCAAGTGGTCACCCTCGAAAAGCTGCTCTTTGGTGATTCTAACTGCTGACAAAGAATTGACAAGCTGTCGACGAGTACCGTTATAAATGGTCCCGCTGGAAATGTACGTTGCTTGAGTAGTCAAGGATAGATACGTTAGTAGATAGCCATCTTTGACTGACGCTAGATTCTTAAATCGCTATTAAATCACAATTGGGCTTTTTACGAACTATTCCAATAGATAGAAAGCTTCTTGATTATATAATTTATATTAACAAAATATGTCAGGGCCTATCAAGTCGCTGTGCCTTATTCTACCAACCGAGGTAAAACAATAATCCTCCAATCGATTAGTGCCTTCATTGTCTTTTACATATTTACAAATAACAATTTCGGCGCTTCCATTTAGATAGATGGTTAGGAAGAATATTGAGAAATTGTCAGAAACGTAGAAAAAAATGTTTGTCTAACTTTATATTTATGTATTTTAAATTATTGAATTTTGTACGATAGATATTTGTCGCTTTTTAATATAACTGCAGCTTTATCTTGTGATATTTTCATTATGAATAAAATATATCTCGATCATATGATCCTTTTTATATCCTATGCCTTAAACATACATTATGAATAAAATTGTGACGTCAATCAGCAATAATGAAAATTATTAGCAAGTTACATTCGTTATTGTAAATTATTATCAAATTATATTACAGAGACGCGGATGTGGCAGATCACGTGCAAAAAAGAGATTTAACAAATTTACTCGCAATGCTTGGCGACGTACTTCGCGAAGAACGCGCTTTGTCAAAAAATTGTTCGATCCACGCTCAAGAACGTAATATTTTGTTTCGAAATCCACAATTATGCGACGAGAAACAATTTACAAAAGATGTACAAACGGATATTAACAATAACAATGCAATTAATTGGCCCGTTGATGTAGGCATGCAATTTAACACACATTTGACTGTTAAGGATTCGCGATGCGAAGATAGCAATGATTTATCTTCGCGGAGTATGAAAAACTGTAGCATCAAAAGATCTTGTAATCAAAATAAATCGCAAAATCATAGTTGTTCAAAAGTAAAAAATTATGAAACACGAAATCAAGTGACGAGATTCACAGAAACCGGCGAATGTACTTGTACCGATTCGAAAAGATGTCACGCGGAATCGGATTGTGGTTATTTTTGTAGTGGAAATTATTCAAAAGAATCTTACAAAAAATATAGCGACAATGTGAAAAATCCGAATGTAAAATGTTCATCTACGTCGCCAATTAAAATAAGTGACAATAAATATCCGAGAAAAGCCGTCGACAGAGCTTATGCGGAATGGTAAATTATTTTTTTTTGTTCGTTCGATAAGATATTAATTAACTAACAACATTTTAGTTACGTCGATGATATTAAGAATTGTTTCGAATCCTGGAAGATAAATAAATCAGCGCAGGAAGGTGAAGCTTTTGCTAACGATCATCAAGATTTACAAAGTTATGTCGAACACTTGGAAAAATGTAAAGAGTTTCTGGACGAATGTAATTTGAAAAATACAAGGAGAAATCGTGTAAGATAAAAATACAAAGAGGTGTCGACAAGATGATCGAAACGATTTATGTATCATTAATCTCAAATTTAAAAGGTTAATAACGTCTCGAGTCATTTACGATGTATGGAAGTAATGAAGTTACCTCGTTCATGGAACATGCCCTGTCAAATGGAGAATCAAATAAAGCCGACAATAAAAAGTGGAGAACAATTACGTTGCGATGATAAGTGTCCAAACGAATGTATCGAGGTAACACCTTATTCGACGAAGTCAATACCTTTTTTGATTACAAATGGTCAAGGTCTTGTGGAAATTCATGTTATCTCTCTACAGTTAGCTACATCCGTTAGTAACAAAATAGACAAATTTTATCAACGCTTTGATTATAATTTTTCACGTTTAATATAAATATCATTATAGGCTGCAGCAATTTTTTTTCAAGAGGAAAATCTTTGCAACGTGTCCTTATTCATTAGTTGGAACATTTGGGGTCAAGAGACAGTTCGCACACCAACATTGAAATGCTCGAAGTTAAATTTCAATTCCTCCTTCGTTTATCATATACCAAATCTATTCGTATTTTTTAATTGCGTATTGTCGGAGTATGTAATATTTCAGGCGAATGTCGTTGAACAAAATACAACGGCTTATTCCGTTGCTAGAGCTAAATTGTGTATCAAAGATATACTTGATTATCCACAAAATAAGTTACATTATATCGCGCCTATGAACAGCGTTATAGCTTGTACACTTGGTACAAATTTTGGACAATTATCATTATGGGTGAGATTGAGCTGTGACGTCGAACAAGTTGATGCATTCAAAAAACAATGCGGTTTGTTTCCGCAAATGGAACAAATAGGAAAGACGTCTTTTCAAGAGTATCCTTCTACGATGCAAGAAGATAGTGATCATTATCAACAAATTAATAATCACCATACTCGTAGGTTCCACATATTTTTGTGCTAGTTATATTTCAATTAATTTAATGCAACTGATACATGTACGCGCAGAAAAAATATCAGATGTTAACGAAAGAAAAGAAGACAAGAAAGAAATTAAAAATTTGACAAATTCAGTCATTGGACAGAACGACAATAAATTGGTTAACGACACAAATAACGATGGCTCATCTGACAGCGAGATAATGTTAGTGAAAATGTTTTTTATCGAATCAATGTTTAACCGATACTTTCGAAAAAATAAAATAAGATTTTTTGTTATATAGTTATAAACCAGTAACTACGGTAAAGAAAGAAGAAGAAGAAGAACGGGAGAAGGCAAAGAAGACGAGTCGAGACAATACAGTGAGCATAGATGAGTTCAATTCTCTTATTTTCCGCGTAAGATTTTTATTTGAAAAAATATATGTGCTTCTGAAGAATAATCGTAGAATATTTTTCATAAGAAATTTTTGAACGCGTTCAGACGAAACACGATGACGTAGAATCGAATAGTTCGGTTCGTGATGTTTTAGAAGTGTTTGAAGAAGAGAATTGGAAAGAATACGGGCGGAAGAGTTCCTTAGCTTATTCCCAAACCTCTAGTAATTAGAAATGGCTCGTTTTTTTTATTTTTATTATATGCAAAGCTTCTAGTTTGAAAACTTTGCATTAGATTTAACTACTTACAGAGTCACGAAATGCTACCGATGATGTGCATGGCAAGAATCATCCTTTGACAAAATATGTACGAAGTTACTTCGTTGATTATCCTTAACAGAGTAAACACTATAAATTATGTAGACATATACGCAACTTTGAACATATTCATTTTTATTCTACGTAATGAATTTTCATTAAAATATCATTATTAAGAACAGATGTAATGTATATCTTCTTTTTTTACTTCAAGAAAATATAAAATTACTTGATCGAATATAATCAAATTGCAGCCATTGGAAAAGGATACGATCGTAATCCAGATAGCAAGTGTAAATCTATTTGAAAATAGTTCAGTGATGCGCGACGATGATGTGCATTTGCTTTACGTGGAATATTCTTTTCTTGGATACCGTGGTGCTGATATGGAAACGGAATCATTACCAAAACCAAAAATACCTAGAAAACCATTGATTTATAATTTTACAAAAAGTAATATTATTAATCGACGAGCAAACATTAACGTATATATTAAAAAAAAAAAAAACAAAGAAAAACAGAATAATATTTGACATGTGTGTTACAGCATTCCCAATAGACGAGAAATATCACGCCATCGAAAGAAACACATTGCGAGCTATGTTAGACGAGTCTATCAATCCAAATATCAAATTTATTTTAGTGAGCGAACCACTTCCTGAAGAAACAGATACTAAAGATTGTATGGAAATCGGGTAAAATAATATAAATAATAGACAAAATATAAATCCACTTTGAATAATTATAAAATAATGTTTAATCAGGTACGCATATTTTAATATAAGAGAATATGCTCTGGGTGACAATAATCAAAGTATAACGTTGCCAATCTCAAATCCAGCACAAACTGAACGAATAGGTGTAATAACGGTAAAAATTCATGAATATTTTAAATATTTATATTAAAAATTTCGAGCACAGCGTTACAAACAGTTTCTAATAAGATTTATAAAGTTCTGCGTGCGCGAGAAGAGTGCGCGGTGGTTTTTATTCGCGGTCATCCCCACCACGCTTCGATTCGCAGTACGATGCGCTGTGTTGTCACTGCGCTTATCCCACCACGCACCGAGTCGCAGTACGATGCGCGGTGATGCGCTGTCATCCCCACCACGCTCCGACTAGCGGTAAGCGAAGTACGATGCGCGGGGACGCTATACGCAGTCTGTCTCGAGTCAGGGAGGGGAGCGTATCGCGTGCAGGATACTTTCGTTTCGTGTCAACATTTTTTTCAATAACTTTTTAGGAAACGGTAACGGTAACATTGTATACAATAACACTAAAAGGAGAGGAAGAATAGAGGTAGGAACAGAGCGAGAGTGAGATAGATCATTATTTAATTAGGTTGTTCATTATATTAGGTCATAAATAATTATTTAATTAGGTCATTATATATTCGAAATTAATTTAACGATACAATAACGACTGCTAATAATTTTACAGTTATTTCGAACATATTTATATCTTGTATTAAATATTTATTTACAGATACACGTGCTGGGTCTCGATGCCATACGTCAATGTATGGGCGACGATATGTGAAAGCAGTCAAGTTTCGAGATTATTTAGAGAATGATTTTCTTTTTATTCCTAATAAATGATTTATTACAAATCTTTACAACATAGTATACATAACATAATAATATATACGAATAATCATATTTTTATGAATTGTTTTTTTCGCTCTCGGTTTTTGGAGTAACGCTTTCTAAAGTTGTATTGCTATTGTTTCCTATTAAACTTTGTAGAATGGCCTTCTTCTTTTCCTGTATTGCTGTAAGAAGTTTAGTTCTTCGGAATATATCGTTAAATATTCCAATAGCCATTTGAAAATTTCGACAATCTCTTGGCTCATATGCGACCGACCAAACACCCTGGATCGTATCGATTCCTTGGCATACTTTGCAAGAACCTACAGTTAGTTAACCTTTAATAAAATTAATATTAAGAAATTATTTGTTAGAAAGAGATTTCAATACGATTACTTGCCAACAAAAATAGCCAAAGTTTTGGTACGATTGTCATAAGCGAGTAAAGAAAAAGGTCCACCACGTCTGAATGGCGCATGTCCTGTTACGTTCCATGTCGTGTTTAAAAGTCCTACATGTATAGGTTGAGGTATAAGATTTGCCAAAGTTACTATTATACTTTGATTGAAAACTTTCATATCTAATCTCACTCCAGCCTTGTTTGTCACCCATGATCCTGTAAGTTTGCAGGGTAATCCTAAAAACAACGTTTATATATTTATATATTGTTAATTTAATGTGAAATTTATTTTTAATATAATAATATACCTTCGTTATTTTTATCTTTCGAATTACCCGTTTTAATTTCTTCTAATTCTTCGACAATTCTATTGAGTATTTGATCAGCAACTTCTTTAGTTTCGTTAACAGTAGCAGCAATATTAATGTGTCGCATATTCGCAACATCCTCTTCAACGGAATTTCGATTTCTAATACCGTTTCTTAGCTCTAGAAATTTATTTTCTTTTACAGCTGGTGACTGGTCATTAATGTGCGTTCTATCCATCGCGTTGTTCACTCTCTTTTGAAGTCCACGTCTATCCATTTGTTGGTTCAACGTCCTCACATCATTAGATTCATCTTGCTTATTCCATTTTTCCTCGGAATTAAGATAAACAGGATTTAAGAATTTTTCTACAGGCTGAACATGTTTCTTCGACGATGTGTCAACAACTTTTCGTAACGGGTGATACAAATTGTCGTTCACATCCGTTAATGTATCTGCATTATTTAGATTTTGATTTTTATAAGGATCCTCGAGATATAAACGATTCTCTAGATTCTTGTTTCTATATATCGGTACGTAATGTAATTGTTGTTGTTCCGATGGTAATACGAAAGTTTTTTCGTATGGTTCCGAATAAATGTTTATTGGATTTTTTAACTCAAACATATTTTCTTCATTATTATTAATTTGAGGTGTAGAAATCTCATCGGAATGTAATTGATATTGATTATTCATTAGATATTCTTGATTATTATCGATTAAGGGATAAAGATATTTGTCATTGCTCTTTTGCAACAATGAACCGTAATTATTTAAATAATTTTTTTCTTGTCCTAAATTAAATCCATAATTATTATATATATTTTGATCACTTGTATCTAACGGTAAATTGTATTGATCTCCACTTGATTGTAAAATTAATGAATTCGCGTCGAAGTTAATTTCATTTAAATTAGGATCCTTTTCAGTTTTATATTCTTGAATATTTTCGTCGGATGTGTATAAATCGTCGTTCAAATTTCGATTAGGTCTAATATTTTGAAACATTCTTTTCGAGGATAATTGTTTTGATTGGAAGTTTGGCGAAGATATTGTAAAACTTTGACGAATAGATCGAGCACGAGGATTTGTTCCTATTTCCTCTTCAACTTCATCATTAATATCATTGTAATATTCGGAATACTCGGCTCCTTGATCGCCAGAATTTGCCTTCGTTGGATCCTTCGTTGTTGTTTTCATCAATCGTTCTATCATACTTTTTTTTTCATTATCTCGTTCAATTTTATCTTTTACTTTAATAGGAATTGTAGTTTTTTCAGTATTCAAAGTTGTTGATTGAGTCAAATCGATGTAATCTTCTACATCCACAATGACTGTTACGTTATCACTTTTGTATTTAATATCGTTACGTACTTTCTTGAGTAACGCTTTCTTAATTTTATTTTTCGAATTAATATTAGATTTTAGCCCTTTTTTTATTGACTTTTCTTTCACAAAATTTTTTTTTCTTTTAGTGTCGTAATCTGCCTGAATGAATAGACTCGTCAATTTTTCAAAGTTGTATATTATGAAATTATGTTTGTTATGAAATAACGATAATAAAATTTCCTCAATAATATGAAACACAAATAATGGAATCTTACCTACCTTGGCAGATGCATTTTTAGACCACCGTGGTTTTCGACGTCTCAGTCGTTTACGTCTATGTCTATGTTTCTTTCGTTTTCTTTTCTTTCCTCCTTTATGCTTCGAAGATTTCGAATGATTCGATTTTAGAATAGGTTTACGTGTCCTATTTTCTTCTATAGAAAGTTGCAAATACGTATCAGTAGTGCTACGAGAGGATTCGATATTCACGAGTTTATTTATGGTTTCTTGCATCTTTAAAGACTTGACAGCATCCTTAGCAAATTTCTCTGCCAGTTTGTTCGCTTCAGTCGATTTCGAATTGAAATGCGCGTCATCGGAATCCGTAACTTTGTCCGTATAATCTTCGTAGCGTTGTTTTCCATTTCGCGTCTGTCTGATCTTATTAACTCTTTCCGTTTTCATATCCGAATTTTGTCTTCTCGAATTTCGAACGATCAGATTGGCTTCCCTTGATCGAACGTTTCTGCTATTTTTAAGATCATCCCGGATGCAAGTCACGTTAACCAGTAGTGCAATCATCGTCACAAATCTGTTATTTTTTTTTTTTTTTTACATTAACCTAATATTATTAGAAACTTAAGCAAGCATATGTAAATAAATCAACAGGTTCCGATTACCTGAACAAGCTTGGCTGCATTCCTCCAAGAGGTTGTGACAAATCGTATCATCGATTTCGTGGTCCATTGATTCTAAACTAAAAAACGACGTCGTTTTGTCGTCTACATGACAGAATGTCAGTACTATCAATATTACATGTACGATGTAGGGTTAACGTTATGCTTTTATTTTATTACGAAAAATATTTCTAATATAAATATAATATATATATCTCTAATAAATCACAAGATCAATATTTTCAATTGTTTCACTTGGAACAAATGGAACGAAATGGGAGAAGTTTTTAATGTGTCTGACTCAATATCATATGATTTATTTTATATTTACAATGAAATATTTATTATCATAAATGATGTGTCTCTGATACGAGACAAATTAGAATTTGTTAGTTCGACAAACGAAGTCCACTTCGAGGGAAACGTGCGAGTGTCAGGAATCACAGGGGTGAAATAAAAGAAAAAAGAAGAAGGGGAGGAAAACGAAAAAGAAGAAGCAAAAGAAGAAGAAGAAGAAGAAGCGAGGATAGGACGCTTAATTTCGTCGCACAAATCGTACATGTGTACTTATATATACAGCTCTCTCGTAGAGTCTACCGACCGATCCACTATGTACGATCAAAGGCGACTTGGGCCAATGCCAAGTACACGCGTCGGCCTCAATTAGTCGAATATTACGTATAAATGTCATACACCGAGCTATCGTACTTACAATTAGTCCTATAGACAACGTATGAACCTATAGACAACGTGAAAGAGATGCGTTATGACACCCTCGCTAATATGACTTGATCTGTTTTGTATCAACCCGTTGATATGCCGGTTATTATCAAAGTTCATTCAAAATTCTTTAAGTTACAAACTTCGTTATTTTATTCATTATGATAATAATAAATAAAACATACATAATTAACTTGTTCTAAGTTCGACGTTTTTCATCGATCATTTTAATCAACTCTCGTCATTCCATTTATCTCATGAATTACTTTAATGCAATTAGTATAATCGAACGTTTAAGTATTTCGAATAACGAAACTCTACTTGAACCGAGCAATCTTGAAACATATGGCAGACGACGATAAACGCAGCGTCATTTAAGTTCGGTCCATTTGACGGATGCATATATGTATCTTGAAATTTGTTGATCCCTAAGATGTTAGATCAATTTCTAAAGTTTAATTATATACTCCGTGGATGTATAAATACATAGGAAGGAATTATTTTTGTACGAGAGTCAATTTGATTTGGTATTATATCAAAACACACAATCATATACTTTAAGTAATCTTAAATTTTACACGAATAAGATTTAGAAATGCATATACATATATACAGAAGGAAGAAGATATATCGAAGAGAGGAAATGTTCTTCTCATAAATTATATATATATACATCTATTCTGTGTATAAGTGTATGTAATGTATTAAAATTGAATCTGCACACAAATAGATTCTCGAAGAAGACGAACCGTCGAAGTAGCATCGGTGCTTGGCGAAACTCGGTAACATGCTTGAAAAAGGAGAAGGCATGATTGGTCAGTACCGGGTTGAAATGATTATGTCTTCAGAGAATAAGACATAGCAAAAGACAACGTATGTATCGGTGGTGCAGAGTCGAAGTGAAATCCCTGGAGACAGGGGAGCATTGATTATTATTAGAACTAGCTAAGGTACAACCGAACCATCTTAACTGATCGGTCAAGTAACCATAATAATCCTTTCCCTCGACTATCCATTCATCCATCCACATCCCACCATCGTCAAAGATTCATTTATTTCATTTAATAATCATTTCTAAACAGATATCATTATAATAAACAAGTTGACATCTGGTACGTTGGATTAAGTAAGACACGTTCTTGTTAGCCGGTTACGAAAATGGTTATTTCGTGCGTATGCATTAATCAAATGGCTAACTACCAAAGTGTTTGAAATAACATTCGATATATGTAAATATATTAGAAGTTGAAAATAAGAGAAGGGTGAGAATGAAATTTGACTGAGTTTGAGAATAAAAAAGGGTTGAAGAGTAGAACGACGACAAAAGCTGTAATGGTGAAGAGGACAACCATGATGACGACGACGACGACGACGACGACGCGACGACGACGGAGCTAAGAAGAAGAAGAGGAAGAAGAAGAAGAAGAAGAAGAAGGCGAAGACGAAGACGAAGACGAAGAGGTAGTAGAGAAGCGTGGAGGGCATCACGACGCCTTGCTGTTCTGGCATTGGTAGCAGTCTCGAGATAGCCGCCGGCTGGCTTCCTTACCACCTCGGTGAATTTATTCGGGGATTCCGAGCGCAAAGCGCCGAACGATAAATCCGATCGATCGTCCGTAAAGTGATCTTTCTTTATTTCTCTATTTTTCTCTTTTTTCTTGTCCTTCCATCTTTCTTTCTTTCTTTCTTTCTTTCTTTTTCCTTTTCCTTTTCCTTATTTTTTTTTTCTCAACATCCACCAACATTTTTCACTATTTCCTTGAGAAACGATACCCCCTTGATTAAAACGAAACGCTAAAATATACATTTCTAAATACTTCGAACGTGGGGAACAAAAATAATCGAATTGATCGAATAGAATTTGGGTAAATAGATAAGTGCATCGAAGTGAGTGCATTAAAAAAGGAAATAAATAAGAGATTATTATAGTATAGGTGAGTAGTGTTTCGATTTCTTATTTTATTTCTGTTATATATTTTTAATTGTAAAACACGTTTTTCTTTGCTTTCGTATATCCTTTTCTCTCTCTCGGATTTTTTTTCTTTTTTTTTTTGTTTGTTCTCATCGTGCAAGCCCCTCTCCCGCGGCTATTTTCGCGCGTCTGTTGTGCAAGTGTCGAACGCATTAAGGCGGCATTCGAAAATCGTGCCTACCTCCGATGTTAGTGAACGGCACGTCGAAAGATCGCAGATCCTCCTTCGATCGTCTCGCCTTTTCTCGCCGTGTCCCTTTCGATGAGTCTAAAGCTTAAAAAAGTTTCGGTTTCGTATAACGCCACTCTCTCTCTCTCTCTCTCTCTCTCCCTCTCTCTCTCTCTCTCTCTCTCTCTCTCTTTCTCTTTCTCTCTTTGATGAATGCTGACCATTCTTTTATTTATTTTATTTTTAAATTAGAAATATCTTTTTTGTTTCCAACGCCAGTTAGAAATCGTGGACACAGTATGATCAATATTTAGAAACGTGTTTGTTAAATCAAGAAACTCGTAATCATTTTTCATGTTATTTGTATTTTGTACAACGCGTCCAAGATTATGTCAACAGATTATTTAAAAATATCTTTTTCATAATTATTATATATACGTAGTATGTATAAATAGAAAAATATTGATCATAGATCATCGATTTATACTATTTAAATGGAATCTTACGATCGATACTATCGAACTTACAATCAGACTTTTCTTTTATCGATAACATTCGAATAAAAAAAGTCTAAAGGACTTTTGGTTGCATCGACTAATGGATTGACATGCATGTGACACCGCATAATATACACAGAACGCGTAACTCCCTGCTTCGAAATGAAATTCTGTGTTACGTGCTCAAGGTGCCTCGTAAAATAGCTATGCGCTATTTTCCTGGCACAGTTTCTGAAAGTCAAGCGTCCAGTGAATCAAACCGTGGGTCCAGTCATACGAAGGCCAAGTTTTTAGCTTCTCTGTTTCCTAAACAACATAGTGTTAGTCACTAGAATCACAAAACTCAAGTTACTACTTGCCAGCGTGTAAAACTTCAGTGAGCCTTGATCTTTGCTGTAAAATTTGCTAGTTGGCTCAAGAGAATCATTTGAGAATAGAAAAATGTGATCTTCGCGTTTCTTTCCTTAATTATATGTTACAATTAATGGTGTTTTTTCTTTTATTAATTTGCAGCATGATTGAAGTAATAGATAGTAGAATAGTTTAGTAGTCGTTTACTAGGTGATCCCAATAAAGAATTTGTTGTCGTGCCAGGTGACGAATAAAGGCAAAGCAGTTACTTATCGATGCCAGGAAATCGAACGATGATATCACGATAAATAGTGTATAGGTATTTTTAAAAGAAGTATATTTTCTTTAGACAGTTTCAAAGGACGAGCGGGTCTTGGAGTTTAGGTTTACGATCTGTGTAGGCATATTCCATAATGTAAGTTCCTCGTTATTGATCAAAATTTATCTCGTTAGATCGTTTGAAAAGAATCATTTGTTTTTAACGGCTTCCGGTTTATTTATATTCTCCCGCAATTCCATGATTCGTGCGTATTGAAGATTTTCGATTGGTGCATAGAAATCGATGGCGGAAGTGACCCGATTAACAGGAAAGTACAAAAAAATGCGGCCAACCCTGCGTGTTCAGTTAGCGGGCCAGCCAATCGGAGCTACGAATACGGGTTCCTACGTGTCGGAAATAGATTTTGCTCAAACCAAAGGTTGATCCACCGACGCCACTTTCACCAATCTCTACGTCTCTATCGTTTCTCTACGATTTATCGATACGTTTCTTTTTATTTGTATCATTTGCTATTTTGTCTCATGTGTATTATCGAATTCAGTGATAAACTTTGAAAAAAAAAAAAAAAAACAATGTTTTCAGCTATGGCATATTTTAATTTATTTTTATATCTTGTATATATGAGCTCGAGATTGCGATTTAATGAGATAGATATCATCGTCGAAAAATTTAATTATCTTGTTCGTAATGTAACACGTGTTTTCAATCGATTCTGCATCTAACAATAACGATAGAACAAAGAAGAGCCAATTTGTTAATAGGATATGATTCATACAACAAATATCTTGTTCTCGTAGTTACAAAATGAAAAGCGAATTAGTTAAATTATAGATTTAAATTTTCGTGCTAGTTTTTAAACATTCTATCGATAATATAGAATCGTTGTATGTTTTATCGTAGCATATTTCATGATTTTAATAGTCGGTAAATTACCAGCGCGATCAAACTAAAAAGAAACTTTCGAATTTATCTTACGGAAGATGCAGAAATATGAATTTGAATGTTACGTTCTCTTAGCGGGTAGTTCAGATGGCAGCACTGTAACAAATTTCAAATTTGATTGATTTAAAATAATGAATATAAAGCGCGCAAAAATGTTATTATGAAAAGAAAAGACGTCGTATTGGAATGCGAATAATTGTTTTGTAGATATTACAAAAAATTCAATGTTTTTTAAAACCCCTGTACAAATAAATTCGTAAATATTTAACCCTTTGCATTCGAGACCGAACCAGCAACTCGATACATTCTCCGTATATTTAGTGAATTTCTTTCTTCTATCTTTAAATGATTTCGCACACAATTTAAATCGAATTCATCTTTACTTGTCTTCATCGTATTCCATACTTATTAGGGCTGTGTAACTTTGAAAATAATATTCCTATTGCCACGACTATCGAGTTTAAACTATTGTCAAAGATAATATGCATTTATAATGCATGCAAATGACGTAACGTTTCGAGTGCAAAGAATTAATTGAAATAAAAATGTTTTATATGTATTATGTTTGATATTACAGAATAATGACGTAATCCAGCATCTATAAAATGGCTTACAACAGATCAATTACAAGCGTAACTTCGAAAAGGAAAAAAGGTAATTGATGTTTTTGGAATTCTTATCGATAGCCGTAAGTTATATTTTTGTTTCTCCTGTAAACATAATAAAAAAATTCACAAGAATCATAAAACTCGTTGAATTTTTTCAGAATATTCAGTGGAAGTAAGCAAAATCGTAGCGAGTGAATCGAGAATCCAAGAAAGAAGATCGACACTTAGGGTGAGCAGTGTAAATTTTCTCTTTTTTTTTTTTACAAATAACATAACAAAATTGCAATAAGCGTATAATTGAAATATTGCACACATAAGTCACGATCTTTATTATTAATCTCGATTTGCAATTAACAAATTAAATGAAAATTAAACGACAGCGACTAAGGAAGTATAATTATTCCTCTGGTATTAAACATTTTGCGCTAATTGGATATCACGTAGGTGGGGTGCGAGGAAAAAATTAAAAAGGTAATAAAAAGGAAAAGAAGAAGACGTTAAATACCATTACGTCACGATAAGATCATCTAAATTAAACTAAAACTGTAGAGCACCGCGTAGTAGTTAGATAGAAAATATCTGGTTTGATGCCAAAGTTTCTTACCGAGGAAGAAGTACGAGAACCTACCAACAACGTCATTCCAATTACACCAATACAGATTTAATTTTTGTCTTTCTTTCGAAAATTAAATTTTAATTCATTTCGATCGCTTTTTCATTTACAGGATCGTTCGTATTATATATATATTTACATTTTGTATACAAATGTATGCACATAAATATAAAATGATTGAATGCATTGTAACCGAACCGTTGAATTTCAGTAACCACAAAATCACCGAAAGAACGTATACTGTAAATTTTGTATCGTGTTTATGAATGTGAAAATTGATTTCTTAGTCAGTCCGTAAAAAGAAGAAGAAGAAGAAATATCGTCCAGTATAGTTCTACAGTTTTGGCTGAACGTCAAAAATGTAAATTTTGTGCCAGTGATTCTTCGTCGTGTGTCAGAAAATGAATAGAAAATAAAAAGGAAGGTGCGACGTCTTTAACACCGTGATAAACTTTCAATGTCGCAACGATGCATGCGTATAATGCATTTTCGGCTACTCTTGACCTAACTTAAAAATTGTCTATGATTATTTTCGAATTCTTTTTTCCTGAAGGTTAATCTATATGAAATGTGTTTTTTGTAAACTTGACTTAGTTAGTTCAGTTAAAAAATGAAAGATAAAATATGGATCTAATGATTACAGGATCGGTGAAAGTAAAAGATGGATGTGTCAATGATTCAAAGATTTCCGAGCTCGCGATAGAAAGAAAATAAATGACATTGTTTTGGTAACTTATTGAACTCATCCGGACGGAGATCAGTGAGTTTGGCAGCACATCAAATCCACGTATCACCGGACTCTTTCGATGTGCCAATACCACTCATAGACCTGTTCAAAGAAACATCTTAACGTCTAGGTAATGCAAGTAAATCATCATGATTTACAATTGAATGATGAAAAGTTTCGCTAAATGATTTCACTTTTGTCACACGAATTTTGATTGTTTTTTATTCTAAGCGGTTTAGTTGATAAAAATATGAAATTTATCAAAAAATCATTTCCTACGAATTGTCTTTTGGATTAGCTAGATGACTTAACGTTGTTTAGAACTTTCTGTCAGATATAAATTATACAATATTACAATAGAGTTAGGGGTGTTAATAAATCAGTATCAACCTTGACTATCTTGATAAATCAAAAGGATGGATCATAGTACAAAACGTTTCGCGGTAATCTTTTATGACAAATTTTGCGCACTCTCTTAAATGTTATCGATATATCATGATCGAAATATACAGTATTGCAATAATTGCCATTTCAAAGTTTATCGTCCATGTCTCGGTATGCCAACAATGCGTCGCGAATTTATTTCAGACGCGTTTAACTACCAAAACAAAACAAAACGATTGTTTTACGGACGAGAAATGGTGCAAATCATTTTATCTTTGGAATTCGTTTAACCAGGGTGAAATTCATTCGTTTTTATGGTAATCATTAATTAATACATTATTAACGTGACGATAAAATATTAGAATTATACCGAATATTACTTTTAATACGAAGAGAAATATTCCAGCTGGTTGCATCGGTGATTCCTTTTACGATATTTAACATATCGAACGTAATAAAACGTATTTTTATTTCTACAGTACGTTCTCGAAATTTAAGTTTTATATGAAATAATGACGCAACGTTCCTAAATACAGAAAAGAGGCACACGTTGATTCCAATGCACGTGGGCATAACGAGTACGAAGCTGAAAATATCCCAATACCAATATTGCCCTTATTTCGAAAATGTTTACGAAACACCAATCGAATAATATTAAATATTCGCAACAAAATTCACTCCTATCATATGTTCTTATTTTTCTTTTTTACTACTGTACACGTCAAAGTAAAAAAAAAATGAAATATCAAAAATCAATTCGATCGTCATTGAAAAATTGTCGAAATTTAGGAAGAAGTCAGAATCTTTCGTGCGTACCCAATTATTGTCTTAATTTCCATGATTGTTTACGATTAATCACTGGAAAAATAAAATATTCTCTAATGTAATATCATTTGTTCGTATTTTTGTATTTAAAAAGAAAAAAAAGAAATATCATCCAATGATCTTATTAGAAAATTCGTTGGATTTAGGAAAAATCAGAATTGGTTGTTGTAAGGTAAAAAGATAATAAAAGATGCACGAGAGATAAGAATTAGTTTAATGTTCTCGTTTAAATTAAGAAAAATAACGAATAGAATAAGAAAAATGTCTAAGAGGAGGAGGAGGAGGAGAAGAAGGAGAAAATAGGATAGGAAAAGGCTCGAGTCTCGGTGTAACTCAGAGTTCTGAAGTTGTATTGGAGAAGAAGTGTAAGAAGGGTAGCTATTTCTGTTCGTGGGGAGCCGAGAGTCTCGTCGCGCAAACGGCTCTCTTTAGCCACTTCTCCTACATCGAGTAGTAGTCTAGCGTTAGCCGCGAATCGTAATACGTTTATTCCGAACTAACGGTGCAAACTTTGTGTCGTTGATCCTTCATCCTAGAACAACTAACAACTTGATCGAAGAGAGAGAGAGAGAGAGAGAGAGAGAGAGAGAGAGAGAGAGAAAGATCGAAAACAAAAAGTTAACATTTTATCTACGATAAACGTTTGACGTTCGCGTGCTAATATCACGAAAAGTATATATATATATTTTGTTTTTTAATAATCGATCGAATCAATAACGAAATTATTCATCGAATATGAGTACTCGAATTCGTCCGGAAAAATTCTTTATAAATTGCATTATTCTATATTTTTTTCTTTGTGCTTTATAAACGACAATTGAAATGTATTTTTGTTGAATGATAACGGAGATATCATAGCACACATTTATGCATGATTTTTTAATAATATCTAATATCGTGTCGTTCCAAGGAAAAGTCTTTTGACAGAGAGAAAGAGAGAGAGGGAAAGAGTGCAGTGCACTGGCGTGAAAATAGATGGACGACGGGGGTGTTGCTTCGTGGGATTTACTAAAAGTGACCGAATACTTTACGAGCTAATGCTTCTCTATCGTTATTCGTTACTATTAGAATAGAATAGAGAGAAAATGTAAGATAGTTATTGAAATAATTGTTCAAATTTGATTAAACGGTGTTCGATAAATTAACGATAAATACAAATCTAAAGAGAAAATAACGTTCGTCGTAAATTTATCTGTTGCATCTTTGCCAATCGGATTCGATGAGTTATTGGAGGACTTGAAAGAAGCGAAAGTGAAAATACAAAGAGAACACTTTGAAAGATTCGAGCTTGGAGAGTAATCGAGAGAAAGTACAAGAACAACGTTGGTTGTCGATGCTGCAAGCATTTCTTTCTTTTTCTATCCCATTCTCTCTTTCTCTCTCACATGTAAATGAAAGAATTGGCCGTTTACCAGAGAAAGACGAAGGCAAGAACATCGACGGAATCCTCATAGGCATTTCGCACAAGTAAAAATAAACTCGAAACGCGACGAATCTCTTCTCTTCTCCTTCGTGTGGCAAACTTTTTCTCATTTCTGTCTTTCCTTTCATTTTGACGAGTGCTTATACGGATATAAAAAAAAATCGAAAAAGAAATAAAAAAAAACAAAAGAAGAAAAAAAAACGAGGAAGATAGCAGAATGTATTGAGTGTGGGTGGAAAAGAAAAGTTAAAGGGTAAAAATAATCAGCAGCAGCAGACAGTACGAGATCATTCACCGGATTGTATTCCTACCAGACCGGTTGGGAGAAATAACTTTTCTCTCTCTCTCTCTCTCTCTCTCTCTCTCTCTCTCTCTCTCTTTTTCCAACCCAACGAAGAGGAAAGCTCGTCCAAGAAAAACAAAAGAAACGATCGAAATCGTTGTGCCTGTGTGTGTGTATGTGTGCAAAAAGAAAATTCAAAGAAATTGAATTCGTAAATTGTAAAAATAAAAATAAAAAAATAAAAGTTTCAGTTCAACTTGGCCTTTGTCGTTATGGATGATTTAAGAAATTACGATCGATCGATGGATCTAACGAGACAGTTTACGTCGAGAAATACGAAAACGAACCTCGAAGGATGGTCCTCGAGATTAGGATCGATGATAAATTGATGATATCGAGTGAAAGATCAAAATCACAGGGAAGAAAGTAGAAAAGTTGGATAGATCGTAGAAGAAGAAGAAGAAGAAGAAGAAGGACAAAAATGTCATTTTGTAGGATCACGGGGAGGAGCAGGGGCCTCCCCAAGCCAAATTATTTCCCCTTGTTACCTCCCATCAGTCCAGCGGATGCCAAACGTTTTTGTCGTATAACCGGTAAATCTTATGGTCTTCCAACACATCATTACATTCCAGTACTTCTCGGCGTTCATTCGCACGACAAGTCTAAATGTAAGATTACCAATGCTGCCGGTTTTGGTCCACATCATTATACAGCTGGTCTTATACTCGGGGAGAAGAAGAAGCACGTCATTTTGAAGGATTTTCGTTACGTCTTTCCAATACTCGAAGGGGAAAACGAACAGCAGAGAGCATTGAGAGATTTGTTGGGTAAGAAGAAACCGATGGTCGAGGAGGAAGATCACAAATTCGTTTACACGGTCGAAGAACGAAGATGCAGTTTAGTTTTTCCGGCGAGATTGGAAGCTGCTGTAAGAGACGGAGATGTCAAGGACGTGATGTTATCACGAGACTGCGATACCGTACTCTTGAGATTGAAACAAGGGAAAAATGTATCGGTTGATTTTAAGAATTTGGAAGACTTTGAGAATCTTTTCGATGGTCTAGGACCAAGCGAGGAAGTACTGAAGGAACGCGAAAGAATCGAGATCGAAGCTAAGAAACGCAAGAGAAAGAGACAAGCGGGGGGTCTTAGTTACGCGAAGAAGATCTTCGAGGAGAAAGAAAAGGCTGCCGAAGAAGAGGAACTTCAAAAGGCGAAACATCTTAAATTGAGAAGCGTTAAGGAGGAAGTTAAAGAACAAATCGAGAACTGGAAACGAATTGATTTGGAAGCTGCAAGATTGAGAGCTTGTAATATAATTGCTACAACTAATTCGTTGAAGGATTCGTTCAACACTTTCCCAGTATCTTTAGACTTGAGTACGTTTCAGAAAGATACGATTCCAACTAAGATTATACCATTGATAAATAAGCTGCCCACTCCGATTAAGTTAGAAGCTCATACGTTTGAACAGAGTACCGAGCTATCGAGTACTTCGCCAATTTCTGAACACACCGGTGGATTCGAAGCCATCTCGATAGTAAAACCGCTGACACCTTTGAAAATAAAATCCGAGCCTGCTCTAGAATCCGCTGTCATGAATATTTCGGTTAACGACTTGAAAGCGACCTCCAATGTAAATGCCAAGTTCACGAAAGCTGGCGAGGCGGCACTCGAACGTCTTCCCAGAGTTGAGGAAATCCCTGCTTTAGTGGAGAAAATCAATAACGGCGAAAAAACTACGATGCACAAGGTAAAAGGTCTAAAATTAGATATCAAAAGTGCACAGAGATTCATCGCAGGGCAAACGGTGGATACCCCGACGGGTCCTGTTTTCGTCCCAGGACAAACTTTGGAAACACCTCAAGGCCCTGCATTCGTTCCCGGTTTCACGGTGAACACGCCGGATGGACCACTTTTAATTCCTGGCCAAATAATGAAAGTTAAAGAACAAAATGGCCTAGAGACGCCGTCTTTCATCGCTGGACAAACTTTGCCAACGAGCAAACAGGGCTTGCAATTTATTCAAGGACAAACATTTCACAACAGGGATGGTAGTAGATTCGTGCGAGGTCAAACTGTCTTGACCGACGAAGGGTCAAAGTTTGTGGCTGGACAAGTAGCCGATAATGGACATTTTATTCCTGGACAAACGATTTCCACTCCAAATGGTTTGAAATTTGTTCCTGGGCAGACGATCACGGATCATCAAGGTGAACAAATTTTTATAGCCGGGGAAAGCGTTCGAAATTCCGACAACTGGGAATTTGTACCAGGACAGAGTGTTCAATCTTCGACGGGTAACACAAAGTTCGTACCTGGTCAGACGGTGGTAACACCGCAAGGTAGTCATTTCGTTCCTGGTCAATTTGTCACAGAAGATTCCGGAGAGATCCACTTTGTACCTGGAGTCATCGAGGAATCTGAAAATGATCTTAAATTCGTACCGGGTATGACGTTGGATACACCGAAAGGACCAAAATTTGTCGAAGGACAAATTTCGAAAGAACCGGAAGGGAAGAAATTCGTTCCAGGACGAACTATGATCACCGAGGAAGGATTTGAATTTGCTGCTGCTAGTAAATTCGACGAAGTTGTTTTAACGGAGGCAGGACCGGTGGGAATACCGATAGATCCGAAAACAGCTAACGCGAGTTCGATGTCCGATCAGAGAGAAATTTTCGGGCATATGGTCCAAACGGATATCGGCGTTGAATTTATTCCAGAAGGCACGAGAAATTTACCAAAGGGTAAAAGAATTGTTCCGGGACAATTGGTACGTGGCGGTAAAGATGAACCGCGATTCGTACCGGGTGTTATGACGGAAGATGGTTTTCTTCCTGGTCAGATAGTAATGACGGAAAAGGGAGAAGAATTCGTGCCGGGTCAAGTGGTCGATACGAGCGGTGGGCCTAAATTCGTACCAGGACAAATGGTTGAGACACGTACAGGACAAAAATTCGTTCCTGGACAGACCGTCGGAACAGTCGAAGGACCAAGGTTCGTACCTGGCCAAATCGTAGAAACAAAAGTTGGACCAACTTTTATACCAGGTCAAGTGATTTCCACGGAAGAGGAAGGTTCTCGTTTCGTACCTGGACAAGTCGTCGATACCCCAGACGGACCTAGATTTGTTCCGGGACGAGTTGTGGAATCAGGAGAGTCTGGTATCACTTTTGTATCGGGTCAAATCGTACAAACGGAAGAAGGTCCGCGTTTCGTAGCACCGGATTTAACCGATACGCCGGAAGGCGAGGTAGAATTTTCTGTTCAAGGATTCGAGGTTACTCCCGAAGAATTGCGTCTTCTCAGACCAAATCATTTGCATTACAATCCGTATACCTTAAATAACGGAGAGAGTAGCATAGACGCTAGAATGTTAAGGCAATTATCGGAAGCTGGTTTATCGGTTGGTAGAAAGGTCTTAGCAAATTTACCTGCGGTTGACGTTGACGTTGATCCGAAAGCCGTAGCTTTGGAGCAAGCTCTGGTTATGGCAGAAAAACTTGGGTTACACGGTAACGCGGCGGTAAAAATGGCTCAGGTAGTTTCTACCGTGGCACAGCTAGCAAAAAACATAGCGCAACAGCAACAACAACAACGAGATGTAAATCGATCGGAAATGAAAGGTTTGACAAACGGCACTAAATCGCCGATCATGATGAATGGTGTAAAAGAAAAGACGAGTGACGACGAATGGCTACGGGATGCGATTAAAACAGCTATGGCGTCTGCCGTTCTAGCGTTATCCGATAAATCATCGGATGATAACGAAAACGTCAAACAAGATTTGGTTTATTCGTCGATTACCGAAGCATTTAACGTATTGCTTCGTCAGAAAGATGAGAATATGGAAAAATCGGTAGAGAATGTTCTTCGTATTCTCCTAATTCCACAAAACCGAAGCGAACTTTGTCAAAGTACAATGTTAGAATTAATGGACGATACGAAAAATAATAAAGTAGATATACTGAAGTCTACGATAGTTGGTCAGACGTTGAAAGACGACGTAGTACTCGAAAGATTATCCATGGTTCTCGAAGAAGAACACGGTACGGATTTGATCGGATCGGCTTTCAGAACGGTATCAAAAAACGATCCGGAATTGGTTTCGCGAGTTCTTCAAAAAGTATCGGAAGAGGTAGCGAGCGTATCAACGGAGAAAGATGCCGCGGAAACTGTACACAAAGCTATTGTCCAAGCTGTTAGAGAATCTAGCGAAATACGGGTGAAAGAATTGTTGAACGACGAACAAGGTAGCAACGTTCGGGAAATGTTACTTCAAGCAGTGGGATTGGCTCGAGCTCTTGGAATGTCCAGCACGGCTAGTAGTCTCTTAGCCGTGATCAGTGACGAAAAATCAACTCGTGCTTTGGCCAGCGACAGAGTAACTTTAGACGTGTTGAAGAGGTTGACGGTAATGAGAAAATTAGCCGAAGAGAGGCCACCTTTCATGAGCGCACTTGGACAACTCTGTAGCGATCCGGAATTGGCCAGAACGGATCCACGTCTTAGAACGCTTGTTAGAGAAAGCGCAGCACTGATGATAGTTCCGGAAGAAGCACCACTGCAATCTTCCGTTGACGTACCAACTGCGTTACTTCACGCTGACAATAGTTTAGCCATGGAAGAGTTTCTCATGAGACGAAATCACAAACCAACCTCGATTTTTATGATATTGAAACAGGGTTTGCAAGCCGTCGTACCTAGGGAAGCCTCAAGATCGGTATTGACCGGAGAAGTAGCCTACACTGTTCTAGACGAAGACGGTATTCACCATTTCGAACCATTGCACGTTTTCTCAGCTCTCAGATTGAATCGGCCAACCGCTCATCGTTTTTCCATGTACTGTTGTCCCGTCGCCAGGGAAGAAGATATCGAAGCTGAAATGACATCCACGTTCACCGGAACGATCTCAATAACTAGCAGTCTCGAAGGTTCAGCTAATGGACTCTGTCAGAAACAAGATAACGTTCCCGCAGCTCTGTCAAGATCCGATAGGTCTTTCGGTATTTTAGGTAGTAGAGAAAATACACCGAGCTTCAAGAGATTAAGCAGTATCTGTCAGAAAGAGAATGGTAACGAACGAATGGTAACTTGACATGACGTTTCATCTTACAATTTTAGAAAATAAATATCATATTATACAGATATTGGAATCTGATTAAAGCTTCCTGTTCATCGAATACTTTGACAAATATTTCTCGAATGTAATAATGGATGTAATATAAATAACGAGTTATTGTATCTTTTTGTTTCAGAAACCATTGGATAATTACATCGTCGTAAAGGATTACACGGACGAGACCGATGGGTTTACGGTGAACGTTGGTGATATCGTGGAAGCTTTCGAATATGCCGATCATGCAAAGTAAGTGAAACATTTTTCTTCGAATTGGCATGGAAAAATTATGTAACAGTGTTGTATTTATATTGGATCGATAATTAGAGCATTTCAATAATTCACTTCGATAACCAACGTCATATGACTAAACAAAATTTGCTATGAAAAATAAATGAGAAAAAAAAACATAACAAGTGGGATATCATGGCTGCATATAATACTTAATCGCTTGGAATTGGCTCTGTTGCAATTGTCAAGGTGCAACTTGCTTCGAGATATAAGCAAATAAAATGAAACAATAAAATATATCGAAAATCGAGCCATCTATGGCTCTATGACCGACCGATTGACGATGTTGTAGGAAAATGAAAATGGATCCCGAGTTGGAAATTGGTGAGATCTACGGTATATTGGACAATTCCGCTGCGAAACACAAGCTGTCCATTCGACCACGTCGAAAGCATACAGATCCACGAGCACGATGCATTTCGAGGTCGAACTCGGACAGTAGCCTCCAAAGGTAAGGCTAAATAATAAATTTCAAATAATTCATCGCAGAAACAAAATATCATCGATATATAAGAGCGATAAGAAGATACGAAATTGTTCATCGAACTTTCTACTAAACTAGCCAAAAGCTTGTCATCGTAAAATCCCATTTATGACAATGCTTGAATTGTTGTTTAAACAGCTGCGTTTTATTCTTCTTCTTCTTCTTCTACTTCTTCGATAATATTACATCGTTCTTTGTTTTGTGAATGCAAAACACTCTTCCTAGATTTCTACGAATAATTCTTGAATAATTCGAGTGAAAAGCAAGAGGAAACGATAATTCCGGAAAGTAGAAGAAACTCGTGTCAACTAATGCGAGAAATAGAAATGTCTGCAACGTTGAAAGCAATCTCCGTATTTATCTATCTAATTGGCTATATGATCGTACCTAAAAGTGCAATCACGAAGGAAATCTACGAGAGGATCGAAACCTAAAAGCAACTACTTTGTGGACAGTGAATTAACCGAAAATTTATGAGTAATTCAGTGTGAATTTAAACAGTACATGAATTGCCAATCGAATCTCGAACGGACGAGGCAAGTGTTGCTCGATCAAAATAGTAACTGTTATGTGTAGAAACGACAGGTGCATACGACGAACGTTACATTCAACGTTCTGAGGTCAATGAACTTATCGTAAGGCATCATGCGAACGATAAAACTTTGAGAAGTTTTGAGGAAAATTTCTATTATTTTCACAAGAGAATAAATATTCGGTGGATTTTAAATGTAATAATTTGATCGTTAATAGTACAGTTCAGGTTTATGAGATAACTATAAAAGGAGAGACGATCGAAGTTAGATCGTCATTGTGTTTGTCGACGAGACTTATCAGATCTATACCAACTTCTTCTTCCTCCTTTGCACAAAGATATATTCAGGGAAGTTGATTTATAATGACGCTGATTAAAATTACCCGTTTATAAATGTCCAGAACAATAATAACTTAAAGAAGGAATATCTTTTGAAAATCGACGTAACGCCAAAGATTGATAAAAACATTGGATTTTCTTACTTGTGAAAAATGATCGTTTACGTTAACTTAAATATATGAAAATTCTTCTCCAAAGTGCAATAAGAAAAGACGCAAAAATCATTGTTGTCGTTTAAATCGAATCTTGAAATAATATGAAAATATCGGCCTTGTCTATCCAATAATAGGATTGTCCAAGACGATATGCATTCCTTTATCTATTAAAAGATAATTGCTTCTCGCAATGAAAATGAATGTTTGAAGACGATTGCGCAGAAGACCAGTTGCATAATCATCTTTTAAGAAGACGCAGGAGTTTTTCGGGGTATATTAGCTCGCCAAAAAGAAGGCTGACTCCGCGCAAGGATAAATATCGGCCAGTTCTGAAAATAAATTAGGGTAAAGGTGAGGTTCAAGCCTAAAATGTCGCCTCTGATTCTGGCAGCGTTGACGTTCAATGAGCTGCGAACCATTTACTACGGATTTACGTAGAAATGTATGGCTGCTGTTGAGCTGAGAAGATAACTATATTTCGAAGTCTAGAAAAGAAAATGATAATACTTGCCAAAAAGAAACGAACAAAAAAACTGTCGTACGTTTCGAACCGATTTACACCTCGTTTATAAATTCTACAAATTATTAGACGAAATTTCTATTGACATTTTTCATCGTATTAATATTTTCTTATCGGTAAATATTATTCATTAGAATTGTTACTATTTCGAGTAATATTTTCTTAAAATTGCATCCAATGACTGCAGAAATAATAGGTGCAAGCGAATGATTTCCATCAAAATTGGACAAAGTATAGATAGATTTTCGGATGCGTGGGATTCACCGGATTATATTTTTATCTTGTGACTAACACGTCGCACTATCTCACGTAACGTGTCGGAATTATCGTTCATTCAGTCGAACTATGAAAATATGGATTTATGTCTACGGAAAAATATGACATTTATAGGGTATATCGTGATAATATTTTAGAAAATTTATCGAATGACGCACGCAATACTTGCTTACATGTAATACATTTGTACAATACGTCGATTTATTTTCATTAATAATCATGGATAAATATTATTTCTTTGTGTGAAACATGATATGTTTTGTTGCGTGTGTGCAGAGTGTACGTTCGTACAGCAGATGGAAGAGAAGGATGGCTACCAATGTCCATACTTATGCAAACGAGTCTCAGCGAGGAAAGTTCCGCCATGATTGGTCATAGTCGACCAGAGGACTCTCATTATCGAAGAGAGTACGTTACCTTATTTATAATTACATTCTATTTTGTATTTTTAGCATAATTCTATTCCTTGTAAAAGATACGTGATAATGTATTGTTTATAGGGCAGTGGTGAAGGAACTGGTAGAAACCGAAGAAGAATTTGGGAGAGACATTCAATTGGTCGTTGAACGTTATTTGAAACCTCTCGATAATCCAGATGTTCCACGTACAGTTCGCGATAACAAAGACATCATTTTTACGAATCTCAAGCAAATCGCTGACTTTCACAATACGTACGTAAAACTTCGATTAATCGATCGTACAAAAAAAAACAATCTCTCAATTTTTATCTCTCAGATTCAACCACGACTCTATTCAAAACACGTCCATCATACACGAAACAAACTGAAATTTCGTTATTTTGTATTAGTATCATAAAAACCTGCCAAAAAGAACACACGTACTTCTTCTACACGAGTATTCATAATCCACACGTACACTTAAACTCATTAATTTACATTTTTCATTGTCAGTTTAGAAAAAACAGTAAGCGGAGAAACAAATCGAATGAATATCCATGTTTGAAATTTGTTTTTGTGCACGTGTGGCTTCGTCACCGAATTTACGTGTTTAAATATTTCTATATTATTTGTTGGGGGGGATTTATTTTTTAATAAGTATACCTATATAGATTTAGATGTGTGAAATACGAAATGACATTGCAAATTTTTCCTCAAGATTATGTTTAAAAATGATCAAAAATCATACGTTACAAAATTGATAATAATTCTTGACAAATTCATCGATTCGTATTATTAAATAAAATGATATTAAAAAAAGAAAAAACGTAATCTTGTGGAAAAACGATGTATTTCAAATACAAGAACGAAAAGATTACAAAAAAAATGACAAATCTCTGAGATGTAAAGACACATTCTCGGTATTAACCAAAAGTTCGTGTTTAATTTATACTTGTTGAACCAAACAGGATTTCAGTTTGCTTTTGTGACTATTGTCATTGCAATCCCCACACCCCTTCGTGACTAATTATAAGCCCTTACTTTGCCTCGCGCAAACCCTACTTTTGTATAAAAACAAAAAAAAGAAACAAACCCTTTTAATAAAAACTGTATAGCAGTATGTTGTACGCGTCTTTACGAGAAGCAAAAATTAAAGGCACGTAGGCATGGAGTGATTTTGTGGCATGAAAATTAATTCCGGCCTTACTTAGATCGTTCGGCAGGGTGTTGATCGAGGGTGTTAAATACTATGCGGATCAGCCACGCATGTTGGGAAAAACTTTCTTGAGACTCGTAAGTATTATTTATAATTAAATAATACATTTCTTCCTTATATGTGATATAAACGTAAAAAATAATAATTTAATAAATTCATTTATTTATCCAAGGAACGTGACTTCGACAAACACGTAGCTTACTGCCGGGACGAACCACTTGCTCAGGAATTTCTTCAGACGAACGATCAAGTACGAGAATACTTTGAGGTATGTTTAATTTAATTAGAATAAGAAAAAGAAAAAATGTCGTAATAATGACAGATCGTATAATTCGTTTTGAAGAAAATGATAATGCAGGTTTCTGTAAGAATTCAAAAGTTAGTAATATGAAAAGGATAAAACAGATTTCTACTTTCCTCAATTATTTGGCACAAACCAAACGCGTTATCTGCGTCGTGACAGGGAAGCTTGCTAAAAGATCGATTCTTAAACTCGACAGTTACAAATGATCTCTGCCAGTAGTTTTCATACTAAGCGCCGTTTCTCAGATAATATATGTAAATCTAAAAACAAATAGATATCTTTGATTTATAAAATTAACAATGGCGGATCTGTTTTATTTCGTTTCTTTAGAATATGCATACGTAGGAAAAATATTTGATTAAGCGAATTTAGTTGGAAATAATGAACGTAGCAAAGAAACGGGGGTATCTTCCCTCGTCCAACGATATCTTTGAAATCGATAGAAGAAGAAGAAGAAGAAGGTAAAAAAGGGAAGGGAAAAGAAGAAGAAACAGGTGACGCGTGAATCGTCCCACGCTCTATAATCGAGTCGGTGTATGGATTGGAGAAAATGTTGCAATTATATAACGGGCGGGGGCCAAGCAGGCGTCTGTCCAGCCCCCGAAATAGCTGGGTTTATTCTTAACAGGCCGAACATCTTTCGTCTCTCTTACGAACGAACGATAGTTGCCCGATGGTGAACGTACACCCAAAAGAAAAGAAAACAAAATAAAATAAAGTTTATCGCACCGTAGCTTATCAAATCTAATCGTCTGCACAGATGCAGACTGCATTTGTTTCTATTTAAGGTCAAGCCTTAATCACTCTTTTTTGTCATTGACCTTGAAATATAAATTAACCATTGACCGTACCTAACTTTTTTCGTTTTTTACCTGAACAATCGGACGATTCTATGAGTCATTTGGAGACTTCTATTTACTTGTGGTAGTTATTACACGATCAAAATATCTATTCGCGTTTGTTGAAACATCGTTAAATCTAAACTTGAAAGAACTTCTTCGAGAGTCACCGAGCTACGTAATGGCGTAGGCGAAGGAAACAATAACATTTAAACTATTCTTTTATAGATAAACTATTCGAAATTTTCTATCAATGATTCTTAACAATATTCTTAGACTCGTGAATTAGATGATTCTTCGAAAAATTCATCGAAAACTTCTTCGAACCTTTCGTTATAGGAAAAGGAATTGGGAAATTGTTTACGAATCTATCAAGTTTGATTGCATATTTACATTGTTACGGTCGTATATAAATATCGAATAACTTAAACGACGAAGAGATCCAAGCGAGTAAATGAGTTAAGTGAGTAAGAGTAAAAACGTCTAAGATTCGCGTGCGATCTTCCTGTCGTTTTTCTGCGTGGTCACTCTGCAAAGCGTTCGTCTAAGTATAGCCGTGGCCGTATTGGTCTCCCAACTAGCTATCGTGGGGGCTTGGGCTTGGGCTTTTTCTCGGTAACCACTGACTGTCTGTCTGAAAGGAACGAAGTTTTATCCGATGATCCAGTTTGCGAGCAGCCACAGAAAACGACGTCGAAACACCGGCTAGGAACAAACTTTCAAGGTGTGTCCTTCAATTCATACAAAGTTGGGATCATCTTTCTCTCTCTCTTTCTCTCATAGACACGTTAACTATCTGTCAATTGGCGTCTTGGTACCTAATACCAACTCGCGTAGTTTTTCGTCTGTGGACAATCCAATCACGTCCAAAAATACACGTGTTTGCGCCAAATTCGTGTCACCTCGGTGTCGAGTTACGGTGACGAACGTGAGCATTGAATGATCTTGTTGATTCGTTCTAGATTTTTATAAACTTTTCTATTTTGTTAACTGGTCGACAACTTTCGCGTATATTTTTCCGAGTGTACTTTCAACGTTGTTAGTGTTGAAGTTCATTCATTTGTATATTTTCAGTGCTATCGATAAATTCTATCGTTCGTTTATTAGCGAAGAAAAGTAATGACAATTACTTCCAAGCATTGGCATAAGACAATGTTTTAATTCAATAGTCGCTTGGTTCTTTTTTTAACTTATATCGTTTTTTCTTTGTAGGAACTGAGCCAGACTCTCGGTGACGACAAAAGCGTATCAGAACATTTAAAGCTTCCGATACAACGCATAAACGACTACCAGCTTCTACTGAAGGTAATTTTCATTGATTTGCTAAAGCGTCAAGTGGTAGATTTTGAAAGCTTTCAATGCAAACATAACATATACTTGAAGATTCTATTAAACAATGCTAGAACTACAACTACGAATTGATATTAAAAGTATGATACATACTTTTATTAAAATAGTAACAAAACGATCTAACACGACTGAATATGGAGCATACATACGTCCCATATATATTTATATCTAAATTTTATTGCGTCTGACGAAAATAGAATACGGCGCTAGAATACTTCCTGCCTTGCCTTGAAAATACGCGTCTCCCCAGTAAAATTATTGATATCTGTAGATTTTTTTTACGAATTCTAATACAACCAACATATACATATACTTTACATATAGTATATTCATACCACTCATCGATTTATTGTACTTTGTTATTCGATATTCTTTGTTATTAACTTTTCATTATTCATCCATCACACTGAAAACACAAATATTGCGAAAGATTATCGCAATACGACTGGAAATTTTATGCTCAGTAATATGAATGATGAGTGGGCGCAAAACTCGTACGAATTTAGCGAGCTAAAAACAGGTCATCTTCATGGCACGTTATCCTTTCTTCAACTTCACTTCGATCGCGTTGGAAAAACAGTGAAAAGTGAAAAGTGTTTATATCAATAGCTTATGCAAACTTTTTTATTAACGTATAGATCCTTAACCGGTATCGAATATTTTCAGGAACTGGTGAAGTATTCGACACGACTAGGTGAAAACTGTGATGATCTCCAAAAAGCTTTGGAGTTGATGCTAGGTATCCCCCACAGAGCAACCGATAATAAATTCATTAGTAATATCGAAGGATATAAAGGCAACATACATAAACTTGGTAGATTGCTAACACACGTCAGTACATCTAATATTTGTTAAGTGTCACATTTCACGAATTCATTTAACTCTGTATTAATTTATAATTACATTCGTAGGAGTGGTTTACAGTTATTGACAAGGACGGAAAAAGTAAGGAAAGGTATCTATTTCTTTTCAAAGCTCGAATACTCGTCTGCAAAGTCAGACGAATTTCGGAGGACAGATCAGTTTTCGTTCTAAAGGATATCATTCGAGTACGTAATGCAATTAATCCGTTCAATTTTATTTCGATTTTTGTGTTACACGCGTGATTTTTGTATATACCACGATGATCAAATTTCAGTTGCCGGAGGTAGAATTGAAGGATCATCCGGATGATTTACGTTCTTTCGAATTACACAATCCAAGTCTCCTTGGCTATCCGATCACTTTAATAGCACATAAGGATCCAGTGAAAGCGTATTGGTTGAAAGAAATTCGGCAATACGCCAGCGATCTAGTTGCTTTAGCGGAACACGCAGCAGACGATTTACAATTAGAAGAAGTGCCAGAAGAAAAAGAAGAAATAAAAGATTCTTCCAAAGCGGACATTAAAGGAATCTTAACGAATCTAGGATCACCAAAATCAGAAATTGTCAAAGACAATCCGGAACCACCAAAAGCAGAAGTAGCCAAAGACAATCCGGAACCACCAAAAGCAGAAGTAGCCAAAGACAATCCGGAACCACCAAAAGCAGAAGTAGCCAAAGACAATCCAGCACCACCTAAGCCAGAACCAGCCAAAGGAAATCCAGGCCCAACAAAACCAGAAGCAGTCAAAGGGAATCCAGRSCCAWCAAAACCARAAGCAGTCAAAGGGAATCCAGAGCCATCAAAAGCAGATGTAGTCAAAGACAATCCAGGACCACCAAAACCAGAACCAGCCAAAGGAAATCCAGGCCCAACAAAACCAAAAGCAGCTAAAGGAAATCCAAAGCCAGAAGAATCGAAAGGAAATCCAACAAACAACAAACAACAAATTGAAACAACAAATCCATCAAACCCAAGTCCCCAAAAATCAAATCCATCGAACCCGGATCCCCAAAAAACAAATCCATCGAATCCAGGCCCCCAAAATACTAATCCATCAAACCCAGGAGCACCAAATCCAAAAACCGAAACTAAAATTGAAGAAGGAGATCCAAATATGTCTCGCCGATATTCTTCGAGTCGCTTCAGTGCCTCTTCGAAGCTCGTAGAGGGTAAGAACGATTTTTCCATTCAATAAAAATTTGTAACTGCGACTTACGTTGATCATTATCCATAGAGTATTCATCAGTATCGAGTATTCGTTCTGGTGTCACTTCATACGTTGAATCATCTTCATCTACTAGTGCCGCGGTTACAGCTTCGTCTCTCCATGGCACCGAAAAAATCAGCGAAACTTCAAGCTCCTACAAAACAGCCACCAGCGGGGGTGCAGAAACAGCAGTTGAAAGTAAAGCGAAGATCTCGTTAGGTGCTACTGAAACTGGAAAACCTATCTTCCTCAAAACTATCGAAGGATGTAATGTCGAACGTAAGTAATCGTTCTCACGTTCATTGTGCCGTTCGTTCGAATTTAAGCGGATAATCGCGGTTATATCATCTATACTACACATTTATTCGCAAAAGAAAAGGGCAACGATCAGTGCGCGATCTATAGCATACAATTTTAATAATTATAGATCCTTATACGAACGAGAGGTACAGGTATTAATAATACAAGTGATATAATTTAGATAACATGAAACAAACAAGTATTCGACAAACGTGTCATAAGATACATTTTTATTGTTCTAGCGAGTCGAGCAAAAAAGGCTTTGATACACGCCATAGGTAAAGTGACACGAAATTTGACTACTATTTCTCATCATGCTCTACTATTCTATGCATTTTGACTTATTACTCGTATATGATTATAACGTTTATCATTCTACTTTTATCTATCTTTTTCTTCTAGCCAGCTATTTAAAATGCTTCTAGACGTGAACAAATAATGTCGCAGGTTGAAATTGCTTCGTTGCTTATTTTAGACGTACCATCTTTTATACTTCACAATTCACACTTCACACAGCTATACTATTTTCACGCCACACATCATATTTTTCACTTACATCATACATACTATACTTTCAATCTTATTAAACTACTATTCAAATTTCTATGTACCGTTTCGCGTAATATTTATTTTTAATAGAATAAGCATACTCATCGATTTAACCATTATCGCTTTATACTCGTGAATAGTCTCTTAATCTCTTTTTACTGTACCACTTTTAGTAAAATTTCATGCATTTCGTAGGTACACGTTTTTACATTAGCAAGCAAATATTTTTGTCTTCCCTTTTCTCTAGCAGTTGGGATTACTTTGTTGTCATCGTCCTGTATTTTTAGAAACATGTGTCATTTTCTATTACGTATTTGTTGGTGTTAGTAAAAACATATTGACTGATAAAATACTAAAACCACATCAAATACACGTATTCGTGTACTTTCTCTATACTTCTGCTTATAAAAATCTCTTTTGTGTAGTCGATGTAAATTTACAAATAAAAAAATGATTATTTAAGTATATTCATTCTATAGAATAAAAAAAAAATAGAAAAAGCATTACGAAACTGCAATATCCTTCAAATATCGTACAAATTCCAGTCGCTATACTTGGCTTATCATATCATCAATAAATATTCCATCAATTGTCGTTACAACTTATTTAATCGAAACATTGTTTATTCAGCTGGAGAAGTTGCTACATTCGAATGCACTTTGGTGATGGCCGACGAAACAACAAAGATACAATGGCTTAAGGATAACAAACCATTGAATGATAAATTAGCGGATCGTGTGATTCAGTCATCCGACGAGAAAAGTTTTAAACTTCAAATACAAAATGTTCACGAATCAGATTCCGGAATTTATATTGCTCGTGCCATGAATGGGGATGGTCAAGCAACTTGTACGGCACAATTGGTTGTCCAAGAACGTAAGTTTCGTCCAAAAAATGTATAATTTGTATAACACTTTATATATGTATTTGTAAAGATATATTCATTAATAATGAATATATAAAAATTATAGTAACAACCGAAGAAAAGAAAGCACGAGCAGAAGCAAACTCTCCAATTTTCTTAGTACGTCTAAAAGATACCGAATTATTAGAAAACACTTACTTACGTTTCATGATTAAAGTAAAAGGTGATCCAATACCAGAACTTAAATTGTAAGTTGAAAATAAATGAGGGCGTACATTTTACGAATGTTTATCAAGTTAAACGATTGTTATTTTAACAAATTATTTGTTGGTTTAATTAGCTATAAAGATGGCTCGTTAATCGACTCGAGAAACGCACGTGTAACGATAGTAACTGAAAAAGCGGATAAAGGATTCTACGAGATGTTAATACCGGATGTCCAAAAAGTTGACGCCGGTAAATACAGTTGTACAGCGATGAATCGTTATGGTGAAGCAACTTGCGAGGCTACGGTAACCGTGACTGAAGATAAACCAATGTTTCCTGGATTACCGGAAGGTTTGTTGGAACCGGGTGAAGAACCTCAGTTTACTTGGCTTCGCGATGGTGAACCTTTCGATCCTGAGGAAAGGTTCAAAGTACTTTTCAAAGATAAAGAGGATACTCTAGCATTGGTATTCCAACATGTGAAGCCCGAAGATGCTGGTTTATATACTTGCGTTGCACAAACAAGCACAGGTAGCTATACTGCCTTACTTTTGTATTTATTATAAATGTCACTTTATAATAGTAATATATTGCATTTAATTGCTTCAGGTAATATAAGTTGTAGCGCGGAGTTGACGGTACAAGGTGCGGTCAACCAATTACTAAGAGATCCAGAAAAACCTAAACTGGAGTCAGAATCTAAACAATCGGAAGTAAGCGCGGGAGGTTCTGCGATGTTGGACTTACAAGTGAAAGGTTATCCCAAGCCAGATATCACATGGACCAAAGATGGAAATGAAATAGTTGCTGGTGGAAGAATAAAATATCTCTGGGAAGACGAAGAATCTTTATCATTGGTAATTAAACATGTAACAACAAAGGACGCTGGTATATACACTATAAGAGCAAAGAACGAACTGGGAGAGGACACTACGGAAATTGAACTTATTGTGAAATCTGCACCAAAAGTCATAAAGAAACAATCGAACACTACAGCGATCGTGGAAGATAGTTTAACGATGACCGTTCAAGTGGAAGCTACTCCGGCACCAGAAATTAAGTGGTATAAGGATGGACAATTGATCCAAGAAAGCGAACGTATCAAGATAGAAAAAGAAGGAACTGATATATACAAAATCAAGATCAACAGTGTTCGCGTAGAAGATGCTGGGTCTTATTCGATCGTAGCTCGAAACGAGATCAATCAAACCACAGAAATATGGAATCTTACTGTTAAGAGTCCACCCAAAATCAGAAAGAAATTAGGTACGATCCCGGTAATTGACGAAGGTGATTCTTTGACTCTGTTGATCGAGGTTGATTCAGATCCAGAGGCTACAGTGGAGTGGTACAAGGATGAACAGACTGTTGTTGAAGATGAACGTATCAAGATCGTGCGAGAAGGAAAGAATTACATGTTAAAGATTACTGGTACAGTTGACACCGATGCCGCGGTGTACAAAACCAAAGTAACTAATACTCATGGCACTGTTTCGGATCAAACCAGAGTTCAGGTATGTTTGCGAATTAACGTCAAATTAATCTAACTTAATTACACTCGATGCAAGATATTATTACACGAAAATTCTAGGTAAGCGGTATACCAAGATTCAAATCGAAACTGAATGATTTTTCGGCCAACGAAGGCGACACCAACATCGAATTAACCGTTAAAGTTGATGGCTATCCAAAACCAAACGTTCATTGGTTCATCGGTGATGTGGAAATCACAGAAAAACGTAGCGAGTACACTCGCATCGAAGAAGGTGACAGTTACAAGCTCGTCATGAAAGAAGTAAAGGAAGAAATGAAGGGTAGATACACTTGTAAAGTTGAGAACGAATATGGTGTGAATGAATGCAGTGCCGACTTTACGGTTAAGACTAAGCCAAAACTTTTGAAAAAATTGGCTGATCAAAGGATCAAAGAAGGCGAAACGTTGAAATTAACTGTTGAAATATCTGGCACGCCCGAGCCTGATATTAAATGGTACAAAGATGGGCACGAGGTATCGGCTGATGCAAGAATCAAGATTACCAGGGATCAACAACGAAAGGAGAGTTACGATTTGACGGTAACTTTGGTCAAAGGATCGGATGGTGGAGCTTACGAGGTTCGCGCTGAAAATGAACTTGGAATGGTCCTCAGCAAGAGCAAAGTCATCGTTCTCAGTAAGACCATTCAGTTTTTTATTCGAACGCTGTTAAACCGAAAAAATACTGAGGCGCTGCTCCGTCCCAAAATTTTCAAAGATATTTTCGATTAGCAAAGTTAACTCGAGTAATATACTTATATAGAAAAAAAAAAAACAAATAAATAAAAAACAACAAATCATAATCATTCTATCGGCGCAGCAGCGCAGCAGGTTTGATTCGAAAAACATTTACGCGCACACGCATAAACACGTATAAAAATTTTTTATCTTTTGAGAATCCTGGCAATAAAATCGTCATGCTTCGGCAACGTAAAGTAAGTAAATATGTAAGTAAAGAGTATGTATCAACGGGAGTTTTTTCTACGATTTGCAATTTAACAGTGAAACTGTCAATGTTCGAAGATCTGTTACGACGATTATCGTTTTTTACAGAACACTCTTTAAAGAGTACACTCTTCGATCTCAAACGAGAAGAGAAACATCTTCTTCTTACATTTTTTCTTTTTCTTTTTCCATACGTTGCGTCAACCTGACGACGTTTATTTTCTTTTTTTACACTCTGTATCTTTTTTTTCAAAACTCCTCATTATTTTTTCCCTTCAATGTTGAGTGATACTGACGACGTTTTTGATCGTGTTTCGCATATATGTAAATACCTACGCACAATTCCAAGACTGTTATGACGTATTTGAGATTCAATGTGTTTATGTATCCCACGTTTCATTAATTACACGAGCCTATATCACACTTTTCTATCCTAAACAATCGTACTCCTGTCGTACGAATTAGTCCAATTTTTATATGAAATTTCCTAGCTAAAACAGAAGGAAGCACCGAAACGGTAGAAGAAGAAACGAAATCGAAGAAGATTGTGATAGAAGAAGTAGGAACGGAGAAACAGCAAGCTGATGAATCAGGTCCGGAAGGTAATATTGCAAGATCGTAAAAATTGATATCTCTCATCGATTTTAAATTCGCATCTATCATTTCTTTGTTGCTTCTCACAGTCAATGAACAAATCAATATAATCGACTAATCGTTGGATAGTCGTATTTCGTATTTCAATGTTTCATAGTTAATAGAGATAGATCTAACATTGATCGTCGACGATTTAATCTAACAAAAACTGAACACTTTGGCAATGGCAGCTTCGAGGGTTGAAGATAACATGTATTGTATTTAATGTCCATGATCTTAATCGTAGGAGTACAGTTGATATGAAATGATGAAAGAGATATGGGAGGTTTTATAGATTAGAAAAATTAGCCCTGGTAGAAAAACCAAACTGTGTAATAAATTCAGGTCGGTTCGAATCGAAGAAAGAGAAGGTTGAGGTATTACGAGGAGAAGCTGAGAAAGTAACCATCACCGTAGCATCAACAACGACTCATCAATCAACGTTAACAGGTAATATGGCTCACGCTAAGCCAAAGTGATCGTTTAATTAGTCGCTTGAGTAACCCATCGAGTTTGAAATAGAATCGAAAGATTTTCGTTAGAAAGCTTCACTTTCTCGGTGTAATCATAATGGAAGGTATTGTGACCAGCTAGACCGTTCACAGGTCCGGACGAGAGACACACGATCAGCAAGATGACCGCGACGAAGGTCGAGTTTCAGGAGTTAAGTTCGGAAGGGCCAACGGTGGAGGAGATAGGATCATACAGTTACAATGTTCAAGAAGAAAATAGCCCGACGAAAGTACAGAACGGCATGTTCGTCGAGGAATTCTCAGAGACCAGCGATAATAGTCGTTCAAGATTACAAGTTCATCATGGAGTTTCAATAGTTTCTGTATCAGATGACGAGTCAACTTTGAAAGCCATATCCAGGGACGTAAGCATGGACGACGTACGGTGCGTTGAACTAACCGACGATCTCAGATTGACAAATGGTTCTTGCGAACAATTCAAAAACGTCGACGGCCGTACGATCGAGAAAAATGTCCTGGACGAAGTCAAACCACTCCGAGCATCGAAATTTAACGAAACAATAATCGAGGAACGATCCGTCGAAGAATCTATTTCTTCGAAAGCCAGCGAAATGACTTTGAACCAGTCACAGAAGCCAATCGTTCCTAACAACGGTTTGATTAGGCAAAATTCGAAGTTGGAAAGAACAGAGTCGATAGAATCCTACAAAGCCGAGGTGAAAACGATTTCGAGAGAAAATTCCCATAGAGGAGTTCTCCTTGGCGAAGAAGAAGAGGTCGACGAAGAGTTGGAGGCTCTTCTAAATCGCGTTAAACGACAACGTAGCGTTCTTAACGAAATTCTCGATAAGGAACAAGGCGTGGAATCAGGTATGACGGATATACCATTGAGAAGGCTATAGATCTCCATAATGAAATTATATTCTTCAATTCAGATTCGAAAGTCACTGTAATTGGTGGATTTATTTTCGAGCCATTACAGACTTTGGTGAATCGATATATAACCTGCACGTGTTCTATTTTACTTTTCATTTCTTACACCAACCTTCTGTGCATATTTCATTATCCTTCACCTTTCTTTCGTCATCACTCATTTTGCTTTAGACGCAATAATGCCTAAAAACAAATTCAATGGATTCTCTTTTTCTCGTCTGTTGAACGTAACGACAAAAAATCAGATGAGAATTAACAATCGCTTCTTATCAATGACTTAACAATGACATTCGTGAGAATCCATAGAATCTTATTGAGCTATTGCATGATAATGTGAAATAAGCACGCAAATTGAGCCAGCACCACAGCAGTTACCGCACGCCTTATTAATTGAGGTAAGTTAGGAGAATAGAATTTAACTGGACGGACGTGTTTGCGTCTTCGACGACGATCAACATTTCTCGACAGCGCTGTCTAACACTTTGTATCTCTATTACGGGTCCAATAGAATAACAATGGCGTTATAATCAGTTTACATTTTATTTCTAACAATTCGCGAATCGCCACTTTTATTTGATAAGATCGTTCTCACGATTGTGCACGATGAAAGCAAAACGTTTAGTAGAATTGCAATATGACAATATCACTCTAATTGATACACATACATTTTCAAAGTGAAATCAGTAGAATTCTAACATTTGATTTTATCATTTAGCACCACCCCACATAATAGAATCAAACTTAGAGGATCGGATGATCTTTGAAACGCAAACCCTCACTTTCGAGATCACTACTACTGGTTTACCAAGACCTGATGCTAAATGGTTCAAGGATGGCAAAATTCTCAGAACTGGAGAACGTATACGTATTACCAATGCAGGAGAAAAGTATGAATTCGAATTGAGCAAAGTTGTGCTCGAAGATGCTGGTCTCTATGAGTGCATCTTTACAAATAAACTTGGTGAAGATATTACACAAGGACAATTGACGGTAGGTACAGTCAATGATCTACGAAAACCACGATTCATAGAACCCCTTAAAGACGTTGACATTGCGGATGGTAAAAATGGAGAATTTCAAGCTATCTTCTCGGCTGATCCGGTTCCTGATATTATTTGGTACGTTTTCTTACTTAACATTTTAATGATATACATTAACGATATTAAACAGAACTTAACTCGATCGAATTTTATTATTTTTCAAAGGTACTGTAAAGGATTGGAGCTTCCTAATGACGATTCAAGAATCAAATGGAAGATGACCAATAAACCTGGATCAGATAAGTTAACTGAAAGTACTATTACATTGAAAGTACCTAAATGTAGAAAAGACGATACTGGAGAGTATATTCTCAAATTGGAAAATAAATGGGGCCAAGCTGAAAGCAGCGTAAGCAACAAACTTTTATCTTCATTTTGTTTTTTTTTTTTGACATTTAAATTGCGTCACATCATTTCGTTGATTTTAATTAGGCTCTTTTGAATCTGCTACTGCAACCGAGCATCGAAGAATTTAAAGATCTGACAACACCAGTCGACGAACCAGCTACGTGGGAGGCAACAATCAAAGGAAATCCAAAGCCTGAAATAAAGTGGATGAAAGATGACAAGGAATTAGAAATGGGTGGTGAATTTGAAACGGAAGAAGATAGAAAGAATAACAAGTACAAGTTAATCATCAAAAATGTTAATATCGAACATGGTGGTAAATATACAGTTTTCGCAAAAAATTATTTGGGCGAAGCAGTTGGAGAAGCATTATTAACCACACACCGTAAGTTATTTAAAGCAGTGATGAGGATACCGTTGATGAGTTCAATATTATATGAGACATACATATAAATTTGTCTTTATAGTCGAAGCACCGATCTTCTTGAAGGGATTATCCAACATTCCTGTAAGTGATCGCAATGATATCGAATTGAAAGTTCGAGTATCCGGAATACCAAAACCAAAGATCACTTGGTTATTGAACGATGCACCAATAATGCAAGATGGACGCCGCGAGGTTATAACTCACGTCGAAGGTCTCATTGACAGTACTCTATACATCAAAACATTTTCTGTCGATGATTTGGGAATAATAAGTTGTACAGCTAGCAGTATCGCAGGAACTGCAGAAACAAGTTGCGAATTAAGTATGGTTTTCGAACCACCCACGTTTGGTCGTTTAACTTTACCAAGATCTGTGAATATTGATGAAGGAGAACCACTCGAGCTCAAGGCCAAAGCTGACGGTAGCCCGATTCCTTTAATATCTTGGTTTAAAGATGGTGAATTACTTACACCTAACGATCATATTAAAATCGAAAATCTTCTGGACGGTACTACAAAACTGACAATTGAGAATGTGATACCCGCGGATTCCGGTGCTTACAAATTGGTTGCTTCTAATTCAACAGGAGAACAAAGTTTACTTTGCGCTGTTGCTGTCACGCGTAAGTAAATTATAAAATTATCTTTCGTTTATATATCCTATTAACATTTAAATTATATCATTTAATATATATATAATATACAGCTTCTCCAAGAAGTCCAACATTTACAAAGCCTCTGGAAGATACAAAGGCTATTGTAGGACAACCTCTCAAATTACGAGCTCAAATCGTTGCATTTCCGAATCCACACATTCAATGGTTCAAGGATGGTATACCATTGAGACCAACAAAAGAATTTAATTTCATAAACGATCCCAATGGTCTCATTGGTCTAATAATCGATAAAGTACGGCCAGAAGATGCAGGTACTTATTCCGTGGTCGTATCTAATAAACTTGGTGATACTACCGGAGAAGCAAAGGTTGAGGTAGAGGAGAAAGAAAAGAGGCCAGATTTTGTTGGAAGTCTTCAGCCACTTACGGTGGTCGAAAATTTACCAGCTAAATTGGAAGTTAAAGTAATTGGTAAACCAACACCCGAACTCAAGTGGCTGCACAATGGCGAAGAGGTATGTCAATTATATACAAATAAAAAGTTATCAATTATTATATTAGTGTTAAATGAAATTTCATTCAAATTGAATGCAGATTGTGCTGGATGGAAAACATTTGAATATCATTAGTCAGCCGGACGGTACCCACGTATTAATCATCGACAAAGCAACACCCGAAGATGCAGGAGAATATCAAGTTGTAGCTGGTAATACCGAAGGAACGGCATCTTGCAAAGCAAATCTCGACGTACTTGGCAAATTGAGAGAGGACATTCCACAAGAGAAACCCGCATTCTTAACATTGTTACGAGATATTTCGGTCGAGGAAAGCCAACCGCTAACATTCAGTGCCTCCTTTAATGGTAATCCTATACCAGACATCACGTGGACGAAAGACGGAGAGCCGTTAGAACTATCGCAAAGATTAATGATGACGTGTGATGGAAAGAAAGTAACTTTAGAGATTAATCCATCCGATGCCAAGGACCAAGGAGTTTATGCTTGTCATCTGACAAATCCACTTGGCGAAGACACATCTAACGCAAATGCCAAGATCAGAAAGGTTTTCCAAGCTCCGAGCTTTACACAAAAGTTCACGGATCTTCAACAACTTCCTGACTTCGATGTTAAATTCCCGGCTAAAATTAGCGGTATACCCAAGCCAGATGTTTCGTGGTATTTCAACAACCAACCAATACTTAAAGATAATGACAAATATAAGATCAAACGGGACTGCGATGCCTGCTGCTTGTACGTTAAAGATTGTACATACGACGATACTGGAATTTACAAATGCAAAGCAGTTAACAGGGCTGGCGAAGCGGAATGTTCGGCTCATTTAAAAGTCGTTGATAAAATGTAAGTTTATGTTGTTTTTAAATCGCTTATTATTCAAAATTATTATCTAACTCGCGTGTAACTGTAAAATTACAGCGAAAAAATGCAAAAGATAGAACCACCGGCGTTCTTGAAAAGAATCGGCGATTGTGAGGTTTACAGAGGAATGCAAGCAAAATTCACAGCTTGCATTACTGGTATACCCGAACCGGAATTCGAATGGTTCCGTAACGGTGACAAATTGTGGCAAACTGATCGTATTAGAATGGACCAAGAAGGTAGTTTACTTCGGATGACGATAGCTAACGTGGACGAAATGGATGCAGGCACATATGCATTAAAAATAACAAATCCTCATGGATCAGAATTGTGTTCCGCCGAAATGATCTTCGAATGTAAGTAACGAACTAAATTATTTCAAATCTACGCGCACACGTAATGTACTTTTAAGTGATCATTCGTAAACATTTTGTATACAGCTCTGGAGCCACGTGCAAAGAGACCGTTAGCATCTCAGTATATAGAATTTGATAAATATCAAAAAACAGGAATAGCGTGGCCACTAGCAGATCGTCCAATAATTAGTCGTATGATGGATCGACATTTGACACTTTCTTGGAAACCTTCCATCCCATTAGGACCACGCGTACCGGTAACATATCTTGTAGAAATGTGCGAGTTACCGGACGGTGATTGGTTCACTGCGCGATCTGGTTTACGCAGTTGTGTCTGCGACATCCGCAACTTAGAACCTTTCCGGGATTACAAATACCGCATACGCGTAGAAAATAAATATGGCATCAGCGACCCTTCGCCATTTGCACAAACCTTCCGTGCTAAATTAGAACCCGATCCACCAAAATTCTTTCCTTATTTACCACCTGGTATAGATTTTCGTCCCGAGACCAGTCCTTATTTCCCCAAGGACTTTGACATCGAAAGACCGCCCCATGACGAATATGCTCAAGCACCTAAATTCCTTCGACAAGAACACAATACTCAATTTGGTGTCAAGAATCACAATTGCAGTCTCTTCTGGTTCGTTTATGGTTATCCTAAACCAAAAATGACCTATTATTTCAACAATGAATTAATCGAGTCTGGTGGTCGATACGATCAAAGCTACACAAGAAATGGACAGGCAACATTGTTCATCAACAGAATGCTTGAAAGAGACGAAGGTTTATACGAAGCTGTTGCAATCAATGAACATGGAGAAGCACGTCAACGTGTTAGCTTACAAATCGCTGAATATCCAACGTTTATTGTAAGACCCGAAGAAACTATTGTGATGGCAAGAAAATCTGGTAAATTGATAGCACGTCTTACGGGTGTTCCATTTCCTGAAATCAAATGGTACAAGGATTGGAAACCGATCACTACTACTTCGAGGATTAGAGTAATTATTATTTCTTATAATCATTTTTCAATATTATCTATTATTAACTGTTGAAGTATTGTTATTTCAGATTGATTTCGTCGAGCCAGATACATCTGTTTTAACCATTAATGAAGCAATTGTTAAGGATGAAGGATTATACTCGATCAGTGCAAGAAATGTAGCCGGAGCGGTATCGCATTCAGTCATGATACACGTTGAAGAAAATGAATACGATTATGTTTACAGAACATATAAGAGAAAGACTGAAGTTAAACTACGTGCGGATAAACCCTACGATGAATTTTATGATTTGGGTGACGAATTGGGTCGTGGTACTCAAGGTATTACGTATCACGCAGCAGAAAGAACTACTGGAAGAAATTATGCTGCCAAAGTTATGCATGGACGAGGAGAATTGAAACCATTTATGTTTAACGAGTTAGATGCCATGAATAATCTTAATCATCGAAAATTATTACGCTTGCACGAGGCTTACGAAACCGATAAATCGGTCACTTTGATCATGGAACTGTATCCTTTTAAATGTAATTACTTGTATGAACTAAATTTGAACTATATTGTTTTTTTTGCGATAAAGATTTTTATTCACTTTTCAAATCCTTAACGAGAAAAAATTTAGAGCTGCCGGTGGAGAATTAGCAGATGTTCTAACGAAACAACCACATTATACTGAATCAGAAATTGCTGGATATATTCGACAGTTACTCTACGGCCTTGAATATATGCATGACAATCATTATGCACATCTTGGCCTAACAGTAAGTTTTTTCCCAAACAAATGTTTTACTTTAATATCATCATTCTCTAAGTGTTCATTTCCTTTTGGTAGCTCGGAGATCTTTTGATCTCTCACACAGGCGGCGACGATCTAAAGATCGGAGATTTCGGTTTAACACGAAGGATAGCACAAACGAAATTAATGTTATTGGCGTACGGTATGCCGGAATATGTTGCTCCTGAAGTTACAAACAATGAAGGCGTCGATTATGCCGCAGATATGTGGTCAGTTGGTATCATAACATACATCCTGTTATCTGGAATTTCACCGTTCAGAGGTGTCAACGATAAAGAAACGTTAACGAAGATCAGACAAGGAGCTTGGGACTTTGATGATCGCTGGAAGAATATTTCTAATGAAGCCAAAGATTTTATTCGTAAATTGTTAGTCTACAATGTTGATAAACGAATCGGTGTTAAGACTGCTCTTAAACATCCTTGGCTGGAATACGCAGATAGATCGCCATTAGATTTGTATAAAATACCTTCTGAATATTTGAAGACTTATTACAAACTTTACAGGTAATATATCCTTGGTTTATATATTTTCTTCTTGATATTTATATGCTTCGTAAAATAATACTTTTCCATAACTCGTTAACAGAGATTGGTATAGTAACGCGTCTTGTCGTACGTGGTACCGTAGACGCAAACTCAGTAGTGCGTTTGAACATCCTTCAAAAATGGTTTATCCTCCTGGTCATAAATACACACCTGAACCAAGTATTGAACGATATAGTCCTACAGGAAAACCAGTGCCTAGAACTTGGGAAAATCAACTACCTGCGAGAGAACCAATCGATACAGAAATTGGACTTATTAAGAGCGAGAGTCAGTGAGTATTCCAGAAGAAACAATTCAGTTCTTATTTCTAATAAATATAGGTACTTGTAAAAACATTGTGCCACTATCGAATATTTTCAGCTATCAGTATGGTCCAGATACTTATCTTCTACAACTTCGTGATACTGACTTCCCAGTACGATTACGTGAATACATGAAAGTTGCCTTTAATCGCAGTCCAGGATATTCGCGTACGATCACTGACGATAATGGCTACGATTGGAAGGCAATAAAGCACTGTTTTCTCTCTAAACGCATAAATTTTAATGACAAAAGATATTTATTTATCTTTTCTTTTTTGTTTTACAGACACCAATAATACGTGAACGCCGTCGTTTTACCGATGTCATGGACGAAGAAATCGACGACGAACGTAGAGCCAGGATAAATAGATATGGATCACCTGATACATACTCATTGAGACGATTGAAACATGAATTAGGTACTCGTCTCGACAGTTATGTTGAAGCTGAAGCTATGATAGAATCCAAGAAGGAAGGGAATTTACCTTTCTTGCGTGAGAAACCGCAAATACGGCCGATCGAGGAAGGCAAAACAGCACAATTAATGTGCCTCGCAGTAGGTGATCCAAAACCATTAATACAATGGTACAAAAATGATATAGTCATTCAAGAAACTAAAAAAATAAAGATCACGGAAGACAAAGATGGCAGATCGATACTCAGTTTTAATCCCGTAAAAGAACACGATGCTGGGATTTATAAGGTGGTGGCAAGAAATTCTCTTGGACAAACTGTAGCCAGAACTAGAATGTTGATAGCTTTGGTTCCCACTGGTCCCGATTCACCAGAAGTATATATTCATTTTTTTTCCCAGATAAATAATTATTTTCTAATAGTATTCAAAATTGTAAAAGTATCGTTTGATTTGCAGGCTACTGAAGTATCAGATACCCAAATACTTTTACGTTGGAAGCAACCAAAATACGACGGCAATTCTGCCGTACTTTGCTATAATCTTCAATACAAAGAAGCAGATTCTATTACATGGATAGATATTGGTTTTAACATAGATCACGAATTTTACTTAGTACGAGATCTGAAGCCAGACGTTTGTTACATTTTCCGTCTAGCAGCGCGTAATCGAATTGGATGGAGCGAGAAAGGTATTCCCTCGAAAGTCATTAAAACAAGACCGCCAGGTGTACCTCAGATACAGATAACCAGTGCAATGAGACATCTTCAAGAATTAACAGAATCTGGACAAGAGATCGTACTCGAGGAAGATAAGCCTCATATTGATTATTCACTTGAGGAACATCCGGTTGAATGGTCGACTGAAACATTAACAAACAAGTATAGTTTCATATCTGAATTGTGTCGTGGTCAATTCTCTGCTGTGGTTAAGGGTATCGACAAGTCTTCGGATCGCGTGATAGTCGCAAAAATTCTAGACCTTAGGCCGGAAATAGAAAAGCAAGTTAACAGAGAATTCGAAGCTCTACGTTCTCTCAGGCATGAGAGAATAGCTCTTTTAGAGGCAGCATATAAAGCACCAGGATCACCATTAGCTGTCTTCATTATGGAGAAGCTTCAGGGTGCCGACATTCTCACATATTTTTCCAGTCGACACGAGTATTCTGAAAATTGTGTAGCCATGGCTGTAACACAAATATTGGATGCGTTACAATATCTTCACTGGCGTGGGTATTGTCATTTAGACATTCAACCGGACAACGTGGTAATGGCCTCTGTTAGAACTGTTCAAGTTAAATTAGTCGATATGGGCACTGCACAAAAAGTTAGTAAACTCGGCACAATGGTACCAAAGGCAGGTCATCGTGAATACAGAGCACCGGAAGTATACAATGAAGAACCTGCATATCCACAAACAGACATTTGGATGGTCGGTGTTCTTACGTACGTCTTATTATCCGGAGTATCACCGTTCCGTGGCGATGACGCCAGCGAAACCAGACAAAATATTTTATTTGTTAGGTACAGATTCGAATATCTTTACAAGGAACTTACTCAAGAGGCTACACGTTTTCTCATGTTGGTCTTTAAACGTGCACCAAAGTAAGTATTCGTAAAAGTAACTTGTATAATTTATATTATTCACATCCTTCTTTCTTCATTTATTCTAGCAAAAGGCCAATGGCTGAGGAATGCCACGAACATAGATGGTTATTACCGACGGAATTTATGATTAAAAAACGTGAAAGATCGGTCTTTTTAGGTAATAGACTTAAAGAATACAACACCGAATATCACGAAGAAAAAGAAAAACTTGTATCTGAAAGCCAAAGTCTTGCAAGCGAAAGCCTTTTAGGTTCAACTCGAAAATTAATAAGATCAACGAGCATACAAGAAGAATTGCTTACAACGATCTAACGATAAAGTTTATGATTTTTCCAATTTATTTTCTCCATATGACTGTGAAATATCACAAAAATATCTAGTCAGTCGTTAAGAAAACAAGGAAAAAAAAGGGAATAGAAACAAAAGAGAATCATACAAAAAGTATCCCGTTCCTTGTTTTTTTTTTGTTATTATTTATTTGTTACAACCTATAATTAATTATATCGAATATTATATCATCGATTCGACCATGAATTTCATTAAAGAAAATCATGAAATTTTGACTGTTCAGTATTCTGATCAATTTAAATGGTTACAATGGACACAATGGTATTGAAAATATAGCCAGCGAATGTACTAACGAATTAGTGAACATGATTCAAATTCTTTCAAATTGTACAAAAAAAAATCGTTACATAATATAATAAATAAATATAAAATAACAAATGCAATTAAGCACTATATTCTTATATGCGTATATGAAAAATTACATGTACATGTCTTTCGCACTCGTGTCTCTTTGTAAGAAAATAAAATAATAATGAAATCAATGAAATATGATAAATCCTTGGAGTAATAAGTGAATTAAAAAGATGTCGATTTTTTTATTAAATATTGAATTTATTTACAAATCGTGTAGTCATAGATAATCTGTGGTGAGAAAGAACTATCGTACATGTGGTATATCTTTGACGCATCTTTCTTGTACTTTCAACAATAGTAACAAGTTGAATATCTTGGATGTTTAAAGAAAAATAAAAATAAAATTATACTCTTTCTAATATGAGACTAGTAAGAAATATATATCAAAATATAATGTACAATTTCCTTTGAAAACGTCGATTTATTTCAAATTTTGTTTGATTTGCAAAAATCATGGATCTAATTTGGTAAGTGCATAATTATATTGTTGTATTAGGAATTTGAATTGGAAATCATCTTTTTGCATATTGCATAACGTATTGCTTTACCTTAGAACGGAAAGATTCTTTATCTTTAATAAACAAGTCAGCTGCATCTCTATTTAACGGATCATCAAAATTTAAAAGATCCTGAAACATAAACGGCCTAAAATATTTTATATCTACCGTACAATTATTTTCACATAAAATAATCGTACTTACGGTAAAGAGCGAATTTAAACCCCATACAACATCTTTTAGTTTGCGGGTTGGCGCCCATCCCATTCCATCTATACTATTTTGCCTTAATATTGATAGACACACATCACCATCTTCGCTTATATTAGGATGCCATAGTTTCGTCGTACACTTCACTTTCGGTGGCTACAATCATATACAGTTGCATTAAATCAACAACATTATATAAGAAATCTTAAATAAAAATAGTTCATTTATATTTACAGCCATATTATAATCTTCTGATATAATAACGTCAAAGAAAAAGCGACCACCAACCCAATATCCCTCATCAGGTGTAATTAAAAGTGTAAATTCATGTAATCTATGAGGATCATTAAACATAACTTGACAGGTAATAGGAAGCGTTTGTTCCATTTCTTGTACCTAAGTAATATATATCAAAAATATAATATATAATATCCATTATTATATTATTATTATATATATTTCATCATACCTCTTTTATTAGTAGCTTATCGCGAATAGATGCCCGTTTATTGTAATCTCTATTTTTAGAATTTGTAATCTCTGCATCTTTTTTCAATTTTCCTCTTAATGTAATCATGGTACCTCCTGTGTGTTAAAGTTTATAAATTATCTATTTACATATAATAATTTGCATAAATATATATATATATATATATATATATATATATATATATATAAAAGAAAAGAAGAGAGAGAAAAAGAAAAACAAATTAATTTTTGTATATAATAAAACTATTATAATATTAAGAACATTAGAGAATTGTCCTTCACATATAAGGTCAAAGAAAATATTTATATTACAATTACAAAAAGTTATATTTTCCAAAGAAAAAGAAAATTGGTATAAATAAATAAATGTTAAAACTTACTTCGTGTTTAACTCCGTTTTTTAATAAAATCTTTACGATCGTAAAAGAAACATAATTGATTAAAAATATATTCATTCAATATTATAAAAGTAATATCTATACCAATGTACTTTGAGGTTAGAATTATCGTGCAGTTAATGAATTGGTAAGAGACGTACTTTTGACAATTCTATCTTATAAAGTTCTAAATTTGGCCATGAAACTCGTATAGTGTTCAATAGGAAAAATATATTCGAAGAAATTCCATTTCACCCGTCATGATGTAGCCGAATAAAAATGGAAAATATATCAGTAAATTCAAAGTTGTTACTATTGTACTGCAGATGGTGGTACTGTTTGAAAATAAGAAGAAGAAGAAGAAGAGAAAGAGAGAGATTGAACTACTTAAAGAACATAATTATAACAATTGTTGATAAAAAAAAGAAAATGAATTAATCATTCATGATTCCTACTTTTAATTAAAATTCGATTATTTAAATTTTCGATTTCGTTTGGAATTATAGTTAGCCGCCATTTACGTTAATAATGTTCACGCTTGCAACCAAAGTAACACGGGTATTCTAGGGAAAATATTTACCAAGGTTGACAAACTTACAAAATATATTATAAAATAAACTTACTCTTGCTGTCAGAGACGATATTTACAATACGTTTATACAATAATAATAAATAATGGCAGAAATTGAATGGCCATGGCAATACAGTTTTCCTCCATTTTTTACGTAAGTTTTATCAGATTCATTCCTCTAATTATTTTGTGCTTATTATCTTATTTGGATGCAGTGCATGGTACCTGTCACATGCATAAACAAAAATCTTTAATAACACAATGAAATGATCAAAATACAAATTAACATAAATAAAATAATTTTATCTACTTGAACAGTCTCCAACCACACGCAGATACAAAAGCAAAACAATTGGAAGCATGGAAAAGTTTAGTATTAGAATATTATCGGATCACAAAACAAGCAATTATAGATGTAAGAGAAGTCCATTCGAGTCCTCTTTTTAACAACAGTGCAATCAATCGTATCCTTAATAAAATTCTATTTGAAGAATTTATATGAATATATTTTATAAAATGCAATTGTTTTCCTTAAAAAATATCAACTATTTAATAATAGGTAAACTACCATCTGAAGTAGTACTTATAATATTAGAAGAGTTAAGCAAAACAGGAAACGCTATGCCATTAGATAAGACAAAACAAAGGTGGTTAGTTTACTGGCATACATTAGAAGAATGGGGTGAAATAATATATAATTGGGCACAAGAAACTGGACAGATTGGTTCCGTATGTACTTTATACGAATTAACGCAAGGAGAGGATACAGTCGATCAAGGTATGCACTGTAAATGATATTCATTATAACGTATCGACTATCCTTTATTTGTACTATTTTTTAGAATTTTATAAACTTGATACTGAAGTATTAATAAGATCTCTTAGAACACTTGAATACGCTAAAAAGGCTGAACTGATAATGTTCGACGATAATCAAGGTGTTAAATTTTTCTGATCGGATATTTATTATCCAGAAAATACGCATATTAAAAAATTCAATGTTATTCAACTATTTTTCTAATAATGAAAAGTTCTTAATTATCATTTTTATAATGAATATTGAAATTATCTATTCTATACGCGTTTTTAATGAAGAACAAGAATTATTTGAAGGGTAAGTTAATAAGACATTGATACTTTTATTGGAAGAACAAATATTTGTACTAATATTTTAAAAAATCACTTCTACAATATATAAATTCTTTTTCATAACATTTTGTATTTGGATACATAAATAATTATTATGTTCTCTCTTATTCTTGTTATTAACAAGAGAATTCTTTCTATGAACAAGAATTCTTAACAATTAAGTATATTCTATATGCATATTCCTATATACAATGTGATTTAAATTATTGCTTGTATGAGAAATTATCAACTGTATCTAATAAGAAGTGTTATACATCTCGATATATATTAGAAACAAGAAGAGAAACATGTACATATAAAGAGAGTATGTCTATAAATATAAGAATTTATTATGATTAGCATCGATACTTTCCAAAGAAAATCACTTTATTTTTTTTTAATAATTTTCCAATTCTTTATCATTGTGTGTATGTGTGTGTATCTTATAATAATTTAAGATATTATATTTATGAGGATAACAGCATACCTATACACTCTTAAATTATTATATCAATGGCTTTTGTACATATGTATATAATAAATTTACGTAAATATGGTGGAAAAAGTTTAAAGCTAAATTGGTTGTGTTGTAGATTTGTATTTGCATTAGTATATATTTAGTTTTAAAAAGTTATATTCACTAAATTGTACTAAACAAATTTTTTCATTTGTAAGCACGTTATATTAAATAACATAAAAATTTATAAGTCTCTGGTAAGAGACACAGTTAAAACTGTATAAAATAATATAATATTGTATAAATGCTATTAAGTAGCATGCATAAGGAGAAGAAAAAGAAAGACAAAAAAATTATGTGTCTGAGTTTCGCAATCGAGCAAGTTCAATGGCATCTTCTGCTTGATTCAATGCAGGTACATTAAGTTCTCCTCTGCTCATCTTTTCGATAATGCAAGCTCCAAGTGCATCGCACATTACATTAATTGTAGTTCGGAATCGATCTCTAAATAAATTAAACAATCATTTATATAATACTACAATATATAAAAGAAAATAATACGCACAGATATCATTTGAAATTATAAATTTAAACCTACAGCAACCAATCTACGGCAATAATTAGAGTGACATCCTTCGCGGGTAAACCTATGGTATCTAAAACCATAACCATTGTAACAAGACCAGCTTGTGGTATGCCAGCAGCACCTATACTTGCAGCTGTTGCAGTTACGCTTAAAAAAAGATTTAAAAATGATTATTTTCAATAGATAGCAGTTATTTTTTAATTTTTATTTTTTTAAATACGATGAAAATAAAATACCTAACACCGATGACTTTACTAAGAGTTAACGATACGCCTCTAACTTGAGAAATAAATATAGCTGCAACTGCTTCGTATAATGCAGTTCCGTCCATGTTAATAGTTGCACCAATGGGTACAACAAATCTTGTTATTCTAGGATCTGCTCCCATATCATCCAAGCACTGCAGAGTTACTGGCAGTGTAGCAGTACTGAACGAATAAATGCATTTGTATACATGTAATAACTTTTTGCAACAATTGCAATAGAAATGAATAATATTCACCTTGAAGCTGTTCCAAATGCTGTAACTAACACTTGTCCCATTTGTCCAATAACTTTGAAAGGTAATTCTCTGGTACATACGAAGTATATAATAGATAAAGTGCCAAAACCATGGAGAAATAGTCCCAATAATACTGTCATAAAATATAAGCCTAATTTACCAATGATCGCACTTATATCCTCAATTTCTAAAAGTTTTGCAGCAACCAAAAAGAAAACACCGATTGGTGAAATCCTAAAAAGAATATATATTAAAATATTATGATTGTTTCTGTGAGAATGATTATTAAATCATTCATTTAAAAAAGACATTTAATATTTTTTTCATACCAAATAACCCATTTGGTAATAATCATTGTTGCTTCTGACAATGCTATAAAAAAATCCAACAAAGCTTTTCCGGATTGTCCCATTTTACCGAGTGTAACCCCCAAAATAATACTAAAAACAACTAATCCAAGAGTATTTGTTCCATCAGTATATTTACTTGAAATTTCCCATTCTTCTATAGTAGTTTCTAAAAAAGCAATTAATTAATATCACATTAATAATATAATCAAATATATTTATTAATAAGTTTCTTATAGAATATCCACGTTGTCAAAGAAAAATTTAAATAAGATAACAATTATTCTTACCATTAGTCGCATTTTCAGGCTCCGTTAATATCGTACGATACTGAAATAAAAAAATAAGATATTTGATAATGTTAATTTATTATTTAAAAAAATGTTTAGCATTAACTTACTTGTGCAACACAGGCTTGAACAAGATTTGACGGAAATATATTCCTAAAAAAAAAAGAAGAAAAAACAATGAATTATATTGCTTATCACTTTTCGGAAATATCGTGTATCGGTTATAATTTTATAATCGAATTACCTAATTAAATCTAATAGCGTGTCGGCAGTGGTAACATTTCTGATAGGAGTTAAATCTTTATCAACTTCGAAAGAAGTTCCACTAATTTCTCCGGGTCTTATCACCAAGACAAGAATTATCCCAAGAATAACAGCAGTAATCGTTGTAGTTCCGTAATAATAAATCGATCTCATACCGATCCTTCCTATAAAATTTGAACGAGTGAACAATTATTTTCATTGTTTTAATAAAAATAAATAATAATACGTTATTAAGACATGTTAAGACAAATTATTCACCTGAAAGAGTAAGATCTAAACTACCGATCGAACTGACAATACTAGCCACGATCAAAGGTAAAATAAGACCTTTGAGCATCCTCAGAAAAAGATCTCCGGGAAATTGAATATACATTATTTCGCGATTCGTCCATCCCCCCGTTTTATTGATATTTCTTAAGATAAAACCAAATAGTGTGCCAGCAAAAACGCCGACTACCGTCAGTAAAGTCAGTAAATTTTCCGACATACAGTTCTTCCATCTTTTTGGGCGTGCCATATCGTCCTGTTAATTTTTCTATGCGAAATTGTTGAAATTCAAAGATGATAAAGACCTGTCAAGCCTGTAAAATTAAAGAACGATAAATCGTTGTGTTTCTTTAAGATTAAATCTACTAATAGTAAGATACAGAGTTTTCTAAATTTAAAACGTTTCATGAACATACGCAACATTTGCATAAAGATGCATAAAAATGCAAGGAAGGCTTGATTGAAGCATTCTTTTATTACTCATGCACATATCTATAATATGTGCGTTAGTTAGCTAGAAAAATTGAAACGGTAAAGTCAATATTGTCTTATTGTTAAATCATTTTGAATTAAAAATAATTACGATGATACCACGGACGGGAGGTAATTGAATTCTTTTTGTTTACTATGCTTGCATAAGAATCAAAACGATAATTTAATTTGATTAAGAAAGGATGCAAAAAGAAGCGCATTTGCTGATATACACGTAACATTAGAATTATTTCAATGTAACGCACATAACGTGGATTGGATAATTCATACGTATAAAATTCTGAATTAATCGTTCTTCGTGACAAGATAGTGAAATTCCCATATCTATTATGTTAAACTGGTTAAATCCAATTCTTTCTTGTCTTGATATATAGAAGTAGAGAAAAGAATTATACAAATTATTATTCTTACGCAAATGATGTGTTTTCTCTTACAATTAAGACAAGCAAATGATTTTATTCACGTACGCAACATACAATTTCTTTGAATTTATCTGCCTTACTGTCTTACTAATCATTTTTCTTTTTTTATTATTCTCAAATATTATATTTTCTCCCTTTTGATTCATTATTTTTTTTTCACTTTTTATCGAATAATAAATGTGATAAATTGCTTATTTTTTTATCGTTTTGTTTACTCGTATCTCTCGTGAAAAAAGTGTATTCCCGAGACCTTCCTTCTTCTTCTTCTTCAGTGTTAATTAAACATTACAGCCCGAAATCTGTTACTTCCCAGTCCGATAATAGCATCTCCCATATTACTTTTTTGTTTCTTTTTTTCCTTTGAATTCACCAATGTAATAACGGGAGTATCTGCTAAATGTATTTATCGATTTCTTAATGTACTTGTTTGTATATATGTACATGTGTGTATATAGATGTATATATACATGGAATAACTATTACATATATTCATGGAAAAACTAGTATGAACCGGTTAAAACTATACCATAGATCGGTAAATGTATTTACATGTCGCAACCTATCGAAAAATATAAAATTAAGAGAAAACTTTCGTACAGTTTGTTAGATGATCGGTATTTATAATAGGGGTAGGACTACATTAGGGTTGCGTATATTGATATACTGCACATGTTGACATTTTACTATAAATCATTTTTATATTGATCGTAATAATACTGAACACCTATATTACACATTGATATTTAATTTAAAATACTGACAAAATATTTGTTTAAAATACTGACCTAATAAATATATAGCATATAAACTTTGAATTTCATTCAGAAAACAATTTTGTGAGTATTTACATGAGCATACTCATAAGAGAAACAGATAAAAAAACAGAAGGAGAGTTCTTAGATCCCGTGAGAAAGAAGAAAGAAAAGCCCAGCTCCAAAAACATGCTCGTATACTTCGACGACTGCATTCCTTGCATAATTGCGACCTACGATCGTTCTCAACGTTCTCCCTGTTAACGAGGAACACTTTCTTTTTATGCGCGGCAGAAGTTTTTTATTAATTATTTACGAAATACATTTCTTAATTCACAAGATTTTCGATTAAAACAATTACGAATTGATCCTACGAAAGAAAGGAAATAAAATTCATTTTATAATTGTATTATTATTGTCGTGTTGTTGGAAAGTATACGATAGATATGAACAATGAGTTCATTTCTTCACAAACCTGCGCGTACACAAAAGAAAGTTAATTTATATTAATAACATATTAATTCATTGTGACAATGTTATTTTGAGAAATGTGTCAAAAGCGTACGATAACATTTAATGTTTTAATTCGATTGCAGTTGCACGTTAAATGAAGTTTCTTCGTGTTTGGCTCTCGAAATTCGAGCCTAACGAAGTTCCTTGCTCGTACACATGATTCGTCGATCCAAATAAGGTAATCGCTAAGTATGGCTGCTGTCTTACCTTCGAAACGAAATTCGGGTCATCTTTCTCAAAGCCGATTTTGTCAATATCTCGAATCGTCCAACAATTTCTCTTTCAAATTTCCCACCGAACATTAAAAGAAAGTTTTTCTTCTTGTTTATAAACAAGAATCATCTTTCTCGAAATGGATTTTATCAATATTTCAATTCATCTTACAGTTCTGTCCAGTTTCCCGCCAAACGATAATACTTTTCATTCATCAAAATCAAATATTTCGTGTTTAACGATTAATAAGAAAAATTGACCAATTTCTTAATATATAATTTATCTTATTTCGTAAGTTACGTTTGCATATCTCACCATCAGACGAAGATGAAAGACAAGAGAAGGTCCTTAAATTTTCCTTTCACATACGCATCTAACACCCACGCGATTCGTCCCAAGGACTTATATTTTTTTCTATCAATTCTCTCAAATACTCGTCTTTCTCTCTATTTTTTTTTCTCTATCGTTTAAGAATTTTGAATTCCTCTTATCGAGGATGATTTAATCGCTTAAAAGCTTCTTTGTTCAGAATAGAAAATATCGTTCGTCAATTTTATTTACGTATATTTTATCATAGCAATTCTTTGATAAGAAAACTTATTAATATCCATCCACTCTCGTTTATTCACAGTTTCTCATAAAACACGATGGAACAGTTTTGTTCAGAGAAGATTTGATAAGAACACAAAAGTCACGATATGTATATTTATTCATACACACCAAAAAAAGATAGATGAAGACATCATTTCACGCGGATTTGATGTTGCGACTTCGTATGTGACACATGTGGTTGTTATATTTGCGAACCACGTTGATTGTATACGCCTCGTTATGTTTATGTACATAAATATATACATATATGTATATATACATTTTATTATCCCGCGAAATCGTGTCATTCGTAAATCATTTGAATTTTTTCCTTCTTATTTCATTTTTTTGTTCTAATAACATTTTCATTTAATTTTGTCTGATTAATCATCCCTATAAACGTTTTTTTTTCTTTTATAACAGAGATAGGCAAAAGATTTACTATTAATCGATCGATACAAAGTACGTCTATGGTTTTACGATAGAAAATAGAAAAACAGAACAAGAATAGAAATAAATAGAGAAAAAGGAACGAATAGAAAGACCGTTGCTCCGAAGTATTTATGCATATAGTACGTTAAGAAAGATCAAAAGGTAGGGGAATGTAACAACGAGAATAGTTAACTGGCGACAGCAGCGACGTGTTTAGGAGAAAGGGAAGAGAGCGGGAATAAAAATGATCGATAGAATTTACTCACTCGTTCAATCCTGTTCGATAAATTTGAAAACTCCCTTTTCGATGCACTATATCTTCTCTTTCGATCAAAATTTTGTCTTTAGTTTCGAATCATCTATATTATGTCTATTTAAAGTGGCAGTTTGAGCACGCGGTCATTTGAAAATTCAAATTTACGATTAGTAAAATTACATTTGCTCTCTTATTGTCGCGGGAAATAGAGAGCATTATTCGAAAAATAATTAGAAATGAAAATGTGTTTAAATTGAAAAGTTCTCTTACTCGTTAATCGTATACGTTGGGGTTCACGATGGTAAAACTCGGAGACGCACACTACTATTCGCGAGGATCGACTGCGAACGACAAATTCAAAAAACGTGAGACCGCTCTTGACTCTCTGCATCTGAAACCCGCCGATGATCACCAATCGTCTCTCTTTTACTCCCGCTCTCTCTTTTTCTCTTTTTCTCTTACATACGCCATACGCGCATACATACACGAACGCGCGCGCGCGCGAGAGCGTATATGCTCGCAAGTTCGTCCTTCGAGAAGAAAAAGAGAGAAAGAGAGAACCGGGTCCAACGACTGGTTGTAACGTCACTCTCAACCCTGCAAAAGCCGATGCGAATAAAAGCATATGTATATATGTATATATACATATATATGTAGTAGTACTATATTGCCAGTTGGGTTGAAAAAAGATCGAGAACAACACGGTCCAGACGATATAAATCTCTCTTTCTAGCAGTGTACTTTGTTCATTATGCGCATGCGCAAAAGATCTCAAAGAGCGGAGATGTGTATGTTAACTCTTTAGGCAAAAATTATCTACCTACTTAAATGTTATGTATTAGAAACTAATTAATTTAATAAATTACATTTTTGTTTTTTTTGTTTTTGTTAAAATATATTACAATGGAATTTATATAATTTCATTTATGTTGTAGGACTTAATTTTATATTTAACCGCCTGCGTACAACACCATGCGCACAACCGACAAAGTAACTATTTCTGTCTCACTTTCACTTATTGGAACCCACAATATATTATTACTATATACATATATATTTAAAAGCCAAAGTTGAGAACCGTATGCGAGTCGAAGCCCTTCTGTGTCTCTCTATTGCCTTCTCATCTCCACTTCCCTCTTTTATAATCTCACAATCATCATCGTTCATTTTCCACCTCGAGATGATTCTTTTTCTCTCTCTCTCTTTCTCTTTATTACAACTTTTATCTACTTTCTCTTCTCCCACCCTATTTCTCTCTTTCTCTCTTTCTCTACGTACAGACACACTCACAAATCCCTTCTATTTCATCGATACAATCATCATCGTCACCGGATCAAGGACCCTTTATCTTCTCTTATGATTCAATTCGATCCTTCAGGCATTTTATCAAACATTACGTTGTTAATTTCTAACGTTAATAAATCAGAAAAGATGAAGAGCAGTGTTTCTCAAACTTTCGTTAGTCGCATACCTAGTCGCACGTGTTGCAAATATTGTCTAGTTCTTCATGATTATTTGAATACGTAGGAATTTACCTAATCGAATAAATACCATCATGCGAGGACGAAGTTGTATTTCTATATATTTTTTACATACGTTCATTCATGACAAACGTATAATGCTTTCACACGTTATGTGCGTCAAAACACAGTTACAATTAATTTATGTATAATTTATGGAAATTGCTGTGAGAAATATTTAGGTATTAAAATACTCTGTTAATAGACACATATAATAGACGATGTTAATTAGATCGAGGTCAAGCACATTGTGGTGATATTAATTAAGTCTTTAAATGCGTTTTTATTAAATTTGTTTCACTTCGGGTTTATTATTGTAACATTTTTAACTGTAAACCGTGAAGAAAATTTGAATTATTTTCATTGTATTTTAGTTTGAGAGTATCTTATGGTTTGCTTATTTAGGCGATATAAAATAAATAATATAAATGAGAAAATTTATACAAAAAAAAGAAATATTTATTTTTCATTATGGGTACATGTCCTTTTTTTAGCGAACTAAATCATTATTTACTCATACGTATACAAATATTTAAATATTAAGTTACAAAAAAATACTAACCATCAATTGAAACATTACCCTTACATTAAGTTCGAGGAAATGAAAATACATTTAATTATTTTTAATATAAAGTCTGAATAATAAAATAATAATTTGAGTAATATGATATAAAGTTGTATAAAAATTACTCTATCACATTATTCAAATGCATGGAGGGGAGTACGACAAATTTACCGTATACTAAGGCACCTAACACGCAAAGTTATCTAGAATATAATTCTTATTTCACAAGTTTCCGATTGCTCAGCTCATCTTTTAGGATTCAATGAAATATTGAATTTTCTGTTATCTTTTCAAGAAACATCGTTAACAGGATGAAATATTAAAAGCTAAAGTAGTCTATAGACATATATACAGAATATTTTGATGATATATTGAAATTAATTATGAGAAGAGCACAGCTTATGTCACGTCTTAAAATTAAAACGATTTACATTAGTTTTTTGTCTGTTGCAAAATAACATATACTTCACTTAAATGACTGTTTTGAAATATGATATTATTTTGAATAACTCAAATGAATCGTCTAGCGCTGAACCCTTCCAATGCTTTTACGATATCAACAAATATTTTCACAATGAAGTATAATGGTCTTTTACGAGTTATTTTCTGGTGGAGGAGATGTGATCTTTCTTTTAAATAGGAGAATATGTGGTTCTAAAAATATATATTTTAAACCGTTAGATATGTGATTAGCATACCATATTATTATATATGAAAATATTAACCGCTTAGTTTACCTGGGTAGTGGATCATGTAATGCACCCATCCTTGACTTTGTTGAACTCCAATAGCTCTCCACTCCTGCTCAGACATGAGATGGGTTTTTGGCACTAATTTCTGCATATCTTTAGGTAAAACCACATGCCTAAAAAAACAATCCTATACTCAATACATTTCCCTTGCATGAACTTTTTTACATAGATAATTAAAAAATTTTTAATTGGTTTCAAAAGTAGATAGGATGAATTAATTAATAACAAAAGTAATAATATTAAAGAAATTAACAAAGCTAACAAAAGCATATGTGTGGTTAGTTTTTTAAATGCAAGATTGCACTTTATCCATAAACAAAAAACACAGTAAATTATCAGGAATTTTTAGTACACGCGAATTTGGAATAATACATGTTATTAATTATATGTATAATGGAACGAAATATTCTAATGAAAAATAAAAGAAAGTGTAGCTAATAAGAGTAAACTGTCTATTGGGAACTTACCTGTATTCATAAAGGTCGTCATAATATTTGTCAGAATAATAAATGGGATTCGGCATTCCGTAATACTTAATTGTAATACCACAATAAAATTAAAAAAAAGGAGACAAAATAAACGATAATAATTTGCTATGCTATGCTGCAGTAAGCGCTCGAGAATTTTCCAAAACCTTCTGACTGCGAAGGGTGCACGATTTGAAAGTTTAACGGATATACAATTTAAAGAAGTGGGGGAAATTCAACTACTCTCTAGTCGTTGACACTTTAAATTAATTTCTTTTAACCACACATCATTGATTAAAAATTTAATTAAAAATTTAACGTAAATATATGTATTTCATAGTATTATTGTTTATTGTTATAAAGATCATTATTCGAAATGAAATAATTTATACATGTGCGGAATATGAATACGGAAATTCAGTTAAGGTTAGTCAAATACACTGCTGCATTGATGCCAACATAGCAACGTTGTGAGATTGTTTCAAGTTTCAATGTAGTAAACGTCGTTGTGGTGTTGATTGAGGATAATATTTACATAATATAATCTAATAAAATGGAAAAAGTTTCACATAGACGTAATATTGAAAAATCGAAGAAAGATACACGACATAAAAGTAGGAACAAATGTTATGACAAGAAATTCAATAGTGACGTTGAACATCATTTACAAAATTCTAAATCTCATAGAAACTCGAAAAAATCTAATACGAGAAAAAAGAAATCTAAAGATATTCGAAATTTGTCGAAATCTCGTGAATCACGCGAATCACGGAAAAAATCGTCCAAGCATAAAAACAGAAGAAGGTAAAATATTTTTAAATAAACTTTTTTCATCCTAACCTATATTACGAATGCTTTTTTGTTTAGTAACTAAATATTAATCCATTACAGATCATCCTCGTCCTCTTCTTCATTATCGTCATCTTCGTCGTCCTCTTCTTCGTCATCGTCATCTTCGTCGTCCTCTTCTTCCACTTCGTCATCTCTGTCGATTGAATCAAACAATTCTTCTTCTTCGGATACCTCATCTGACTCAACGAAACTACTAGAAAAATTGCAGAGGCAACGTCAAAAACAAATAGAAGAATGTAAACGTCAGAAGGAATTAATGAAAGCTGCAGAAACACCAGAGGAGAAAAGAATAAGACGATTAAAAAAGAAAGAAGCTAAGGAAAGAAAGCGTAAAGAAAGAATGGGTTGGGACAACGATTACTTGCATTACACAAATACAGATAATCCATTCGGAGATGGAAATTTACTATCAACGTTTGTATGGTCCAAAAAGTTAGAAAAAGAAGGTTTGCTTGGTGTTAGCAGAGAAGAACTTGAGACTAGAAATAGGCATAAACAAGAAGAAAATAGAAAAGAATTAGAGAAAGTTAAAAAAAGAAGGCAAGAAAGGGAGTTGGAGAGACAACAAAGAGAAGAAGAAATGACGCTGTTGCAGAGAGGAAAAGAAGCTGCGCAATTAGAACAATGGGCAAGACAAGAAGATCAATTCCATCTTGAACAAGCAAGATTAAGATCACGTATTAGGATTCAGGATGGCCGTGCTAAACCGATAGATCTTCTTGCAAAATATATCAGTGCGGAAGAAGAAGTCGATGCTGTGGAAATGCATGAACCATATACATATTTAAGAGGACTACATGTTAAAGATTTGGAGGATCTTATTGAGGATATTAAAGTTTATAAAGAATTAGAAAGAGGAAAAAATTTGGATTATTGGAATGATATAACTGTTATTGTTGAAGATGAATTACATAAATTGCGAAAATTAGAAAGATCGGAATATGAAGTAGCTGTTGGCAGAAGAGAAGGAATTCATTCGTCAGTGGCAAAAGATGTTACTGCTATTTTTAAAGGAAAAACAGCAGCTCAGCTAGAATCACTGCAATTACAGATTGAATCTAAAATAACCGGGAAACCGGAAGGCGTTGATATCGGTTACTGGGAAAGTYTGTTGTCACAATTAAAAGGTAACWTATACTAATCTAATATAAATAACATGTAAATTACATATATTTTTGACTTATAAAATGAATGAATTTTTATAGCTCATATGGCAAGAGCTAGATTAAGGGATCGACATCAAGAGAATTTACGTAAAAAATTGGAGGTCTTGATTGCTGAACAGGGTGTAACTAGAACAGAAAGTGAAGCGGAAGGATCTCAAGTATCAAGCGAGCATTCAACAAAACAGGAAGAACCTACTACGAGTAATATTATTGAAAAGAGTGAAGAAAGTCAATCAGAGTATGTATACATGTAATCAAATCTTGATATTTGTTTTTTAAATCATATTAACTATTATTTCATGTGATTGTTATAGAGACGAACAAGAAAACGGGAATGCAGCAGATGATATGTTATCTGAATCATTTTGTGAATATGAAACAGGTGGCTATTCACCAAAATATATACCTTACTCTCAACTAGAACCAGGAACTTTAGTTATTTTAGAAGAGGATGATAATCAACGTTTAGAATATGCTAGAAATCAAGTACTGAGTACTGGACGTAAAGTTCAAAATGTAATGACTGTAGAAGAACAAGCGATGCACAGAGAAGCAAGGAAAAACATGGCTTCGGACGAGGCACAATTTAGCGTAGAGTCATCGTTGGAAGCACAGATTTATTTGTGGTCCGATAAATATAGACCTAGGAAACCAAGATACTTTAACAGAGTTCACACAGGTTTCGAATGGAATAAATATAATCAAACGCATTATGATATGGACAATCCACCACCGAAAATTGTACAAGGATACAAGTTCAATATATTTTATCCTGATCTCATAGACAAACACACAACACCGGAATATTTCTTGACTCCGTGTGCCGATAATAAAGACTTTGCTATTTTACGATTCCACGCTGGTCCTCCTTACGAAGATATCGCTTTTAAGATTGTAAATAGGGAATGGGAATATTCATATAAAAGAGGCTTTAGGTGTCAATTCCATAATAATATTTTTCAATTATGGTTTCACTTCAAACGATACAGATATCGTAGATAATATACCAGAATTTTATATTATTTTTTTTGTAAATGGACGTGTATATACAAATTATACTATAATTTAAGAGAAACAAATTTTTTAAGATTATACTGTAAATAAAATAGATAGCGAAGTATTTATTGTAAAGTCGAAAAAAATAACAGATATTATTTACAAAAAAAGAAAAAGAACTCGCAATTTCTTTCTATTTGCGTACCCGCATTTATGATATGAAAACAATAAAATTACGAAATTTTTACGTAATTATATAATTAGAATGTGTAAATCACCCATATTATAATGCATTGCCTGCCGACGTAATTTTATCATTATTGAAAAATACTTAAATATCCGCGCTTATACTAATTTCTTGTCCAATTATCTCTTTATGAAAGAAATCAATATTATAATATTTAACATCGTATTTAATTCGCACTTATTTCATACATATGTAAAAGTTTGTTTCATAAAAAAAAATTACAAAAGAAAAAAAAAAAGAAAAAAATTAACTTTAGATCGTCAATGTTCAATGGTTGATTTTTAGACATTCTGAGGGCTCGAACAATATTGAATATTTTAACGCGTTAGCGGGCCGATGACGGAAGTGTAAGTCACATAAAATAGGTATAACAGAAATGAGCTCAATGGTGCTCTCGTTGGATCGATTTTCTCGGCCACCTGTATTTCTACTGCAAATACATTCTCACAATCAGTGAGAAACATAAAAGGTATATACAACATATATATGAAGCCAATGGCAAGGTAAACCTGAGCTCAGTGTACCGAGTAATTCGCTACCACGGAGACGTATTTCCACGGTTGCTTTTTCTTTCCCTTTCGAATTTTACGAAATTTTGTAACGTCAAGTACTACTAAAGATAAAAAAACAAATGCATGTTCATTGTTACTGTATAAATTAATGAGAACAAAAAAATTTTCAAAACGAAATTGTTGCGTCGAACCCTTATCTCTGTGTTTATCTTATGTATTTTCATTGATTAAAATCATGTGATTAATGTAACCACATATTTTTAATTGGAAAATTTTAAGTGCGTCGAACTTGTTCAACTTTCTTTTTCTTTGAATTTCCGAACGTCTGGAGATATTTAAATCATTTTGATTAGAAATGTTTACGAACTAATAATCTTCGAAATGACGGTGCCTATTAATCGTAGGTGTACATAAGATATTCGTATTAATTTAAGCAAATGTAATATCAGAGAAAGTTTGTAACGTTTCAATGAGTCATCCTTCGAAACAATAGAACGATTGCGTGATTATGCATCGAGCACGATTTAACAGGCTTTGCGCGTTAAGCGAATCGATCGAATTTATGAATAAACAAATTTTCTTCTGTATACCTAAATTAACCACAAATTTTTTTCTAAAAATACGTGTTAAAAAGAATCGCTCGTAATTACTTTCAACGTGCGGAATGTAAAATGAATTACTTTATTTCTTAATCGTTCGAAAACGAAGATGAAATTTCAACGTAATCTACGCACATAGATATTTAGATCGTTCTGTAATCGTGCAACGAAATCTTTGATTTGTCATGTTAGCAAAATCATGTAAAGTAAAAAAAACAGAATATTCGAAAATAATGTAAGTTTTATAGGTTTCTGATTGGTAAGAGATGCTACTACCTATTCAAATTCTCGATATTAAAGTTTGAACAAATCATCATGAAGTGGAAACGAGAATCCACGGAATTTTTATCGGAGAAGACTTTCCTGATAATAAGGGACAATTTGGATAATTGCGAAGGTAAATGGAAACATTTTGATTCGACATATTTTGTTCTTTTGCAAATTGGAGTATATAAGAGAATAAAGAAAGAAAAAAAAGAAAAAACAAATAAATAATTGTTCTTAGCACCCGAAAAGACGAAAAATAAAAAGAGTAAGAAGAGCAACAGCAACAGCAGCAGAGGTAGGTCCACCGACGAAGAAAGCGATGGTTCACAAAGGAGATCGTCGTTAGGAAAAACGAGTACTTGGCCGCCAAAGATAAAAAGATCTCATTGTCAGCAAATTTACGAGGAAATCGAAAGACCGAAAACCGCGAATCTTGATAAACCTAGCGTCCTAAATCCAGAATTGGTCGACAAGCTCGATATGTCCTTGCTGAGTAAGGAATTATTTTGCGATTCTATGACGCGTTACCAGCAGCAGGTGACGAAGACGATTAGTGGGGGCAACTCTAGCATCGCCTTTTTCCCTTCCAATCGTCCTCGTCAAACTGTTCTCCTCGGTTTCCAACAACAACAGCACCAACACCTTCGACCTGCTTGGAACGATCGCATAGCTTTACATCAAAAACGTCGTAGTTTCGAACAAATACTCGACGTGAAATTAACTCAAATAGAAACTATAACGGAATCGGCGAAAATGCACAAGAATTATCGTATTGCTAATCAAGAAAATTGTCATCTTGGAAAGAAATTATCCTCGGACGTTAAGAAATTCGATAATAATAATAACAGGTATGTAAGTATGATATTTACGTTTCTCGTTAGGGGTTTTAGATTTTGCATAAACACCTACGTATGTGCGCGCACACATTTTTAGGAATAATGCGAATGGACCGATCAAAGTTCAAACGTTATCATCTCTGAGGAAAAAAAATTCACGAGCCAACATGTCGGCCGACGTCGAAGTCTTCACGAGTTTGACGAGCAAAAACGTTCCAGAGCCGTGTAGAACTTGCGGAAGATCGGATCAACCCGAAAGATTTCATAGTCATCCGAAGGATGGAAGACCTGGAAAAACAAAAATTGCTATTACTTCAGTATCCCCGAAAACTTCGAAGGTGTCGGTACCAAAGACCATACAGAAACCAATGCCATTGAATTTTCGCAGCGATAAAAATAGGACGAATAAATTGGAAGAAGCTTTGACGGTTCGAGATGTTCAAACGAAAGAAAATAATACTGAGGAATCATCGGATAAATCAACGAGACCATCCTCAGCTCCGATAAGAAGAGGACCAAAAACAGTAACTTGTTACATTTGCGGTCGTGAATTCGGCACTGCTGGCTTCCCCATTCACGAACCCAAGTGTATGGAGGTGAGATTTATTTTCATACAAATTTATTTTATTTTATACAAAAATACATGCATACGTCATTCGATGTCAATACTCGTAGAGTAGAATATTTCTTAGAAATGTTAAACGTCAAGGTTGAAAAATCGATGAGCTAGCGAGCAACAACGAGTCGAGTATTATCAAAGATCGTATCGGATGCGTTAGAAAGATTGCTATCGTGTATAAGCTATATAGAGAAAAGCATCGTTGTTGCATCGTAGTTTGTCTTGCATTATGCAACGTATACACGTGGTTCGATATGTCTCTCTTATGACCTCGGCAATGACATCTACGCCTGCGATGAGACGCACCATTCGTCATACATAAAAGAGACATCGATCGTTTTGTCTATCATTTGTTGATCTTTTTAAATGACGTCATCTCTATATACTCTTATCGATTTTCAATACTTGTATAATATGCTTCGGTAATAATGACACTGGTTTCAATTCAATTATTGATAAAATTGATTTTACGATTTATATTTCACAATATAAATAATTTTAATAAAATTTGTTAATAATGCTCTTAATAGTTCTTATTGTATTATTTTACACGAAGCAAATAACTCATTTTATTTTTTACTACCTATTATCGGACAAGCAGTGTAAATTGAATTTTAACGTATTAACAAATGGTAATGCATTACAGAAATGGGAACGAGAAAACAATTCTTTGCCAGTTTCCCAAAGACGACCTAGACCTAAACGACCGGAAGTTGCGATTAATCATTCGGAATGGAACGCAGTTGCTTGGAAAGAGAGTCAGGTTTGTATTTTCTATAAAATAAATACATGGTAAGATCATTCGATAAATGCAATCACGTTGATAAGACAATTAACGATCGTCCACAATGAATCTGGTTGATCTCATCTGGTTGATAGAGTTGATTATGTAGAAGGGTGCACTTAAGAATCTCATCAACATGTATTAAGTTCGTTTATACGAGAAAATTCTATGAGGGCGCCGGTTTATGTCTATTTATGTGGTGCATACGAAAGAAGGAGAGAAAGAAAGAAAGAGAGAGTGAGAATGAATGAGAAAGAACGAGTTTAGTCACGCACCATGGTTCAACCCTATCGTGTTCAAGGTGCTGACCTAGATTTATGACATGCGCTTCGTTCCTTAAGGCAAAATCGAGACCATGATTAAATTGAAAAAATTCTAAGCCGCAATGCGACTATTGAAAAAAATATTCGTTCAGGATAATTTCGTACCTACAGTTTTTATTCTATTTAATATATGGTATGATATTTATTTTTATTATTAATTTATCAATCGTATGTGTTTTAGACACAATTGGTTCCTTGCTCGAAATGTGGAAGAACATTTTTACCAGAACGTTTGTCAATTCACTCGAACAGTTGCAAAGCGAGTCCAAAGGTTTGCAAATTATTTTAGAATTTGTATTATACCAATAAATTTTCAATCCTAAATTATAGTCCTTACGATCGTAGAATTTGGATAAAGAGAAAACCGAGAAAATAGATATTTTAGAAAAATCTTCAACGATTTCTACACGAAGCGGTCCTCCTATGGTACCTTGTCAGATTTGTGCAAGAAATTTTAGTACAAGAAGCATAAAGATTCACGAACCACAGTGCATGAAACGTTGGAAAATGGAAAAGGAAGAGAAAGCGACGAACTCTCAAAGAATTTCGTCTCACAAAGAAAAATTTTCCCCTACTACGAATTTACAGGACAATACTTTGGACAACCCTATTGGGGTGAGTCATCCGAGAAAGCATACTTATTGTATTCGTTTTGCCTAAGAATTTCAGCTATATAATATTCCACTTCGTTATGAAAATATTAATCAGAATAAAATACTTATAAAAATGTTTATTTTATTGTGTGCTATCGCATTGCGTGTTTTAATACATCACGTATAATAAATGTAATATTATTAAAAATTCGTACAAAAATTTTGGGAGATACATAAACTTGTTCTCAACGGACAAACATAAGCGTGGATAATACGTTGATTTTAGGATACTACTCAAAAACGAATGATCACCTGTTATATTTGCGGTAGAGATTTTGGAAGTGTTAGTATAGCCATTCACGAACCGCAATGTTTGAAAAAATGGCATTTGGAAAACAACAAGTTATCGCCTAAACAAAGAAGGAAGGAACCCCAAAAACCAGATATTATTTATACGAGTCGGTATTTTTTTTATACACATTTTTGCCTAAAATTAATTGTATTTTTTCGCATATACGAATTATTCTTTTCTTTTTTTATGCAGAAGACCCATCTACAGGAAATGCTGTAGTAGACGTTGCAGCAATGGCGGAAGCTAGTTGGAAGTCTCATCTTAATCAATTAGTTCCATGTAAAAATTGCGGAAGAACTTTCAATCCCGATCGTGTAACTATTCACGAAAAAAGTTGTAAAGGAAATCGTTAAAGATTTCTCATCGTATATTTTTCAATCTCATAACATATAGAATAGCATTTTCTGAAATAAAACAGTAATAATAATCATCGATGATCACACATAAAAAAAAGAAGAAAAAAAAGGCATTTAACATTAACATATTTGTTTGAACAAAAATACGATTATTATGATTTATTGCATGAGAAAGATGATAGTACTTGATCTCCATTTGAATTATTCGAATGTTACAAGACTGGTATCGACATTTTGGTTTTAAGTTAATTTCATTTTTAATTCTATAATTCGTTATTGTGTGTGTACAGATATTAATAGATTTCTCGTATTTTATAGATCGAATGAGTTACCAAATGATATTTGCTATGTAAAGTGAATAAAGTGAAAATAGTATTGTGATGCACTTATGAATTATCGTATTGAAATTAAGGCTCATTCACATTTTTAGACAATGGTGGACAAACGTTCGTTAAAATTTAATTTACTATTACTGTAAAGAGGGCAGCACATATTACAAAGGCATTTGTAGACACGACTTTAAGAACATTCTAAAGTCCAGAGAGCGTTGCGTAAAGTGAAGATATTATATTTTTATATATATATATATATATAAATGATAGGCGAGATAGGAAAAAGATTGTACATAACATAGGTTTCTTACTTACGTGTACGGTAATATGCAATTGCATCTTCGATGCGCACGCAGCTGAAGTCAACGTGGCGGGGTTTAAAAGATTTTGATTGGTCGAGACGACGACTTGAAATGTGAAGACTCCCTCCGCAGTACATTAAACGTTCTGCCCTTTCGCAGAACTCCTGTTCTTTCCGAGGGAGTCCGCCATAGTTGGAACACGTATATTTCAGATCAGGACTACGGCTATCGGAAATCATCCAAAATGGTACGTACTATCGTTTTAAAGTATCGCGTGTAAATAAATCCTTGTGGCTCGCCAAGTGCAGAGGTGTAAATATTTTTGAAAACGCGTTCTCAATTGGGTTCAGATTAATTGAAAGAAACTGGCGGATATTGCTTCGGATTGCGCAACTTCCTTCGTGAAGAAAATTTTGTGTCCTTGCGAAGGATCTGCCTGGGCAAAGATTGTCCTAAGTTCTGATAAATAATGTGCCGTTATGTTCCTGATCAATTTCACATTGAAAAGGCTGAGATTCGACGATATTCAACGTCGAAATATGTTCCGTGTGTCGTAAAAGCAACGTGTCATGGAACGCTCTTTGGCTCCCCTCTATGGGAGTCAACGTGCGCAGAAGGAAACATCGTCTACTTTAAAGATAAGCTCTTAGCGACGCCTTCCGAATTGGATGTACAATTAAAGAATATATCCCCGAAATTAAGAGCGCACACGAGAATACACTCTAGGCGTCTAATATGAATATTTCAAATTTGGAATCGTTATTATATTAAGTTCGGGGACTTCATCGATAAGAAAATACACAGCATATAATGAATAGACGCTAAGTTAATAGACGCCAAGCTTTCCACATTGGAACGGATAATTTACTTTTGATCTGAATCATAAGTATATCTGTGTTATATATCCTTATCAAGAATTACGAGACTTTGCTTTCAATATGGTCAGTGTATAGATTATTGAAGACATTTTTTTTTTCTTATAGTATGTTTGGGATAAGTTTTGTAGATTTCTATTTAGTCAGAATATAGTACACCTAAGGTATATTTTAATGTTGATTTATTTTTCTGATATTTATGTAGCTTTTTGTTGTTCGCTATGTGTACATACATATATATATTTATATTTTGATAATTTCGTTACTTTCTATCTTATCAAGTTTGATAGTATAAAGTAATCTTATGTTTTAGAATATTCAAACTATAGCAGCAGTGTAATATTACGTGAATAATTTCCTATTGTATGAGTTCGAAATTTAACATCAGATTCTCTTTGTCTTAGGTGAACTTTACGGTAGACGAGATCCGTACCATGATGGACAAAAAGAAGAACATTAGGAATATGTCCGTCATTGCTCATGTAGATCATGGCAAATCAACTCTGACCGACTCCCTTGTATCAAAGGCTGGTATTATCGCCGGAGCTAAAGCTGGTGAGACTCGATTTACAGATACGCGCAAAGATGAGCAGGAACGTTGTATTACTATTAAATCAACGTAAGTGTATTTCGAAATAAGAACCTACCAACAATTAAAAATTATACAATAATAAAATTAATAATTTTTTTTTTTATAGAGCTATATCCATGTTCTTTGAACTTGAACAGAAGGATTTAGTTTTTATAACGAATCCCGATCAACGTGATAAAGAAGAGAAGGGTTTCTTGATTAATCTTATCGACTCACCTGGCCATGTTGACTTCTCCAGTGAAGTTACAGCTGCTCTTCGTGTTACGGATGGAGCACTTGTTGTTGTTGATTGTGTGTCTGGTATGTTATTTTTTATTTTAATGTATTTTTCCTTCCAGCACAACAAGGGTCACTTTGTAGTACGTTAATCGATTTGTTAAAATTGATTAATGTACCTTGACAATGTTGACAGTGCTATTTAATGGAAGAAGAATAAAGAAAATTGTGTTGATAATCTATTAGTGAACCTCTATCTTTATGTTCGATACTAATATGCTAAGATACAATTTCAACAAATCCATCAATTTACAATTTTTAATCAATTTAAATGATACACTTAAAATACCTAAAAGCATAACAATATAACGAGTTTTTTTTACCACGTAGGCGTATGTGTACAAACAGAAACTGTACTTCGCCAAGCAATTGCTGAACGTATTAAGCCTGTTTTATTCATGAACAAAATGGACCGAGCTCTATTAGAATTACAACTTGATAGTGAAGATTTATATCAAACATTCCAACGTATTGTTGAAAACGTTAACGTCATTATCGCAACGTACTCTGATGACGATGGACCCATGGGTGAAGTCAGAGTAAGTATCTTCTTTTCGTGATTTATTTTAAATATTAACACGGCACTAATTTATTTTTTAAATTCTCTAACAGGTAGATCCAAGCAAAGGATCTGTAGGTTTTGGTTCGGGTCTTCATGGTTGGGCATTTACTTTAAAACAATTTTCCGAAATGTACGCAGAAAAGTTCAAAATAGATGTTGTTAGACTTATGAATAAATTATGGGGTGAATCTTTCTTTAATCCAAAAACCAAGAAATGGAGTAAGCAAAAGGAACCAGATAATAAACGGTCGTTCTGTATGTATGTGCTAGATCCAATTTATAAGGTAGTTTTTCCCCCTCGCTTCATTCAATCTATAGATTATCTTTGGTTTATCATTACAACTGTATATCTAATATTGTAATATTGTTTTAGGTATTCGATTGCATTATGAATTTCAAGAAAGACGAAGCTAATACACTTTTAGAGAAATTAGGTATTACCTTAAAACCAGAAGACAAAGACAAGGATGGTAAAGCACTTCTTAAGGTAAATCATTTGCTATCTATAATTCTAACATAATATATTATAAATTACAATAAGCAATCTTTCCATGATGATTGTTCTATAATTTTTTTTCTGACACCTCTTCCGATTAATACAATGAGGGATAATTTGAACTTAAACTGAAAAGAAAGTTAATTTTTTAATTATTATTACACTTCATATTTCGTATATGAAATTATAAGCTATATTTTTGTTTAAACAGGTTGTTATGAGATTATGGTTACCAGCTGGAGAAGCTTTACTTCAGATGATTGCAATTCACTTACCTTCTCCAGTAACTGCACAAAAGTATCGTATGGAAATGTTATATGAAGGACCACACGATGATGAAGCTGCCATTGGTATTAAGGTGATTGCTTATGACATACTTATTGTTTCAATCTATTACATTATTTATGTTTAAAAGTTTAGTAAGGAATTTCAAATGATGATTAATATTCATAGACCTGTTCGGAAATTTAATGACAGATTATTTATAACAACTGATTAATTATAATTACATAAATAAATCATTTCGGATTTCATTTCAAAGGATTATTAATATTTTATTTCTTTTATAGAATTGTGATCCGAATGGACCTCTCATGATGTACGTATCTAAAATGGTACCAACATCTGATAAAGGACGTTTTTATGCCTTTGGACGTGTATTTTCTGGTAAAGTGTGTACTGGTATGAAGGCCCGTATTATGGGACCGAATTTCCAACCCGGAAAGAAAGAGGATTTGTATGAGAAAGCTATTCAACGTACTATCTTGATGATGGGTCGTTACGTTGAAGCCATTGAAGATGTACCTTCTGGTTAGTATATGGTATATTTAAATATTTAATGTATCCATAAGAACTATTGTTTCTTAATATTTTTTGTTCATACTTATGATGATTTTCTTTACAGACCTGTTATGATAAATAATGATTTAATATATAGAACGGCCATCTGACGTTAAATGTTTAAATAGAGCAATACCCTACGAATTTGATTTCAATAATCTAACAAATTTTTCTTGATTTTTCGTTTACAGGTAACATTTGTGGACTTGTCGGGGTTGATCAATTCTTGGTCAAAACTGGTACCATTACTACGTTTAAGGATGCACATAATATGAAAGTTATGAAATTCTCGGTTTCTCCTGTTGTACGTGTAGCAGTTGAACCCAAGAATCCTGCAGATTTGCCAAAATTGGTTGAAGGTATTTATTTTTATTTATTATTGTATTCAAATGCTAATATGATAGTATTAATGATGATACTAAAAGAGCATTGGGTTATGAAAAAAAAACCATGATTCTATCAATAATTCTGATTTGTATATATATTTTATATATATATATATTTAAAAAAATAATATTTTTCGTATCACTGACTCGAATCATTACTATTCAAATAGGTTTGAAACGTCTTGCTAAGTCGGATCCTATGGTGCAATGTATCATCGAAGAATCTGGAGAGCACATTATTGCTGGTGCTGGTGAACTTCACCTTGAAATCTGTTTGAAAGATCTTGAAGAAGATCACGCCTGTATACCAATTAAAAAGTCTGATCCTGTTGTATCATACAGAGAAACTATTGCGGAACAATCTAATCAGATGTGTTTGTCGAAATCACCGAATAAACATAACCGTCTTTTCATGATGGCTTGTCCAATGCCTGATGGTCTTGCCGAAGATATTGACAATGTATGTCGTCATTAAATGAGATCTTTTTTTGTGTGTTTAATATATTTATATATTCAAATTAAACGTAAAATTATTTACAGGGTGAAGTAAATCCTAGAGACGATTTTAAAGTACGTGCGCGATATTTGAATGAAAAATATGATTATGACGTAACCGAAGCAAGAAAAATTTGGTGCTTTGGACCTGATGGAACTGGTCCCAATATTCTCGTCGATTGCACCAAGGGAGTGCAATATCTTAATGAAATTAAGGACTCGGTCGTTGCTGGATTCCAATGGGCAACTAAAGAGGTGCGCTTTGCTTTAATATTATATAAAAATATAAAATGTTATTATTATGAATTTAATCCACTGTTACATGATTACTAATACGTATATTAAATTTATATTCATAGGATATTAAAATATTATTTCATTATAGGGTGTTCTTTCTGAAGAAAATTTGCGAGGTGTTCGTTTCAATATTCACGATGTAACGTTACACGCTGACGCTATTCACAGAGGTGGTGGACAAATCATTCCTACCACAAGACGTTGCCTTTACGCCTGTCTACTCACTGCCTCGCCACGACTCATGGAGCCTGTTTATTTATGCGAAATTCAAGTATGCATTTGAGACAAATAATTTATTTACAAATCAATTATTGAATGAATGATAATATTGATTTATATTTCCAGTGTCCTGAAATAGCTATTGGTGGTATTTATGGAGTACTGAATCGCAGAAGAGGTCACGTATTCGAAGAACAGCAAGTGGCCGGTACTCCAATGTTCGTAGTCAAAGCCTATCTTCCTGTAAATGAATCCTTTGGCTTTACTGCTGACTTACGTTCCAATACCGGTGGTCAAGCCTTCCCCCAGTGTGTATTTGATCACTGGCAAATTTTGCCTGGTGATCCAATGGAGCCAACCTCTCGACCATACCAAGTTGTGCAGGTAAATAAATCTAATATTATAGATAAGCTTCTTTTGAAACATGTCCACGAACATAACTGATGATAATGAAATATATATATGCATTATCATTTTTAATTCCGTGGAAAAGCAATTGTTCTCAGTTTGGACTTTCTAGAGATCATTTTTCCTAGTTTGTCTGAATAGGAGATCATACATTCATTTCTGTTCTCTTTTTATAAATTTTTTAATATACAAAATGTTTATTTCTTTTCAACAGGACACGCGTAAGAGAAAGGGTTTGAAGGAAGGATTACCGGATCTAAGTCAATACCTCGACAAATTGTAACCGGAAATTTCCACACCGCATGCACAATAAAAAAACGATCTGCGAAAGCTATAATTTATTTTAACACAAAAGGGCCCCCCGTCAGAACTTTCTTTTGTGTCAAAACAAATTAGGTTTGCTATACAACGTTTTTTTATTGAGATTAATAATGTTATTTTTTGTTATTAAAATTATCTGAATCGCCAATTTCGTTTACCAATGATCATGAAATCGCAACAATACTGTAATCTTTCCGAACATGAACAATATAAAAAGATTAAACAAAAAATTATAAAAAAGAAAAATACTAATTTTCTAACATAACTTTAAATCCATCTCATAATGTCCTATGAGGTTTGAAGTTTTATTCCTGAACAATAATAATATTTTAGGTGATACATTTTTAGGTATCTTCGTATGAATATAAACTAAAGATAAGATTAATATCTTATTAGTTGATTTATTTATTTTTTAAATTTTCTTAAAATATTAAATAATTATATATACTGATATTAATTTTTACACAGATCACTGTTCTTTCATTGTACATAGATATTTTATCTTCGTCGAACTTACGTCCGATATTTTTCTTTTTATTTAGCAATCTAAACCTTATTTGTTATCTTTTGTATTAATATAATTATATTTACAAAACACATTATTTTTCGATGGTATTGATTCATCAAATATTACACTGGATTTATCGTAGTTTTATAAATTCCAGCTAGAGATTGAACTGCTAAAAATATCAAATCTCTTCTTGAAACTCCAGTTAATGCATGATGCCATTCGTTGTGAGAAACCTGCAAAGTTAGTAAAAAGTTGTCTAGTCTAAACATTTTCAAATATATCTAATAATGTACTTCTTTGTATACTTGTAAATTGTTCGCCATTAAACTGCCAATTGTGACTGATAATCCAGACCATTTGAGAGGATAATCTTCTGGTGTATCTTGTTGTGCTAGCAAAACTATTTGACTAGGTACTGGAGTCATTTGAGTAAACGTTTGAAGATTTACATTGTTTTTAGGATCATTAAGAAGAATCACTCCTAAATCGTACCATTTGTCTTCCCCTATTTCAAGTAAAAAATTTTCTATCGCAATAATAGGTATATCTTTTGGCAAAAATGAATTGTTGCGTGCTGAATTGATTCTCTCCTCGGCACCTTTCACACCAGCAGCAAAACCAACTGGTTGAGCAGCTATGGCAGTACAATCCACAGGTACACCACTAAAATAAAATAATTTGTTTTTTAAATATATAATTAATAATAATAATAATATTATCATTTCATACTTAAAAATGGTATACTTACGTAACTGTTGCTTTACCAAACACTGCTTGAAATGCTTGGCGTACAGGACTTATTTTTGCATCCTTATCTGAAGCAACTACGACTTCTATATCACCGCCTGAATCTAAAACAAACATTTATAGCAAAGAATGCATATATATCTATATATTAACTAACACATATCACATAACAGCGTACTAAATTTTATTTCGATAACATTATGCATTTTCACAGTAGAAGCTAATTTTTCGTAAGCAAATAACAATAAATGGAAATAATGTTTTGAGATAATGCAGTAAACACATAAGATTATGCCAAAAATGTCTTAATGCGTTATAATTAATGTCGATTGAAATGCTTTCATGCAATATACTTACAAATGAACTCACGCATCTGTGGATCTAATGTTGTGATCATGGTATTGACACTATTTTTTGCCTTCTCAGCGACTTTGCTTAAAACATTGCTAATTACTACAGTCTCTTTTACCCAAGAGAGCAAACCACTACCAACCATTCCTGAATCTTGCAATTGCGTTTCTACCACTTCAGTAGGTGGATTTGTTGATACTTCTGATGGTGAAGTAATTGGATATTCTTGTTTACTTTCCATAGAAGTATGAGATACAAGTGGTTTCTTGACCAATTCATTTTGCTTTAATACAGATACATTTGTATTTTGAAGATTTTTATCTAAAGAAACCGCAACAGGATGTGAAACAAAACTAGGCAATGCTGCTGGCGGTGCTAAGTTTGAAAATAAATTTCCTGTTGACGTAGAAACACCCAAGGGTGTTAAAAGAGATGTTGATGATGATAAACTGCAAAATGAATCTAGAAAATAAAATCAACATTTTATAATTGGTTGGAAGATTCTTTTTTAATTTAAAAACGTTCTTTTTTTATAGAAAGATTCTAATTTGTTACATGTCAACCATTTTTATTTTGCTGTAGACATTTTTGTTAATAGAATCCATAAACAAACCATGATACTTTAAAAAAGTTTTATGGTTAAGAAAGAATTGTTCAAAGTGATAAATATTATCAAATTAAAAATTGCTCCAATGACTGCATTTGAAATATAATAATTTTAATGTATTTAATCGTTTGACGTGAAAAATACCTGGTCTTGTCATTTTGACAGTTTTCACTTTGGATATATATTGATATTTTTTATAGATACAAACCAGTTTTAACAATCTCTCCAGGTACTGAAATTTCGTCCGATTTTTTTTCTACAAACTCGAACGTAGATTCTCCGTTAGATTCGTCTGTCATTTTGAATAAATTTCAACAATTTTTGATTATTCGTTAAATTTGTCTTAAATTTTATTGTGAATTTTCGATGATATATATTCAGTGAGCAATAAAAGAATTTTCAATGGTTGCCACGTGATACGTGGCGCTGCTAAGCTTCCACGAAATAATAAAATCTAAGTTCAGTGTCTCTATTTGAAATTGTTAAATAAAGTAATAGTAAACAAAAACTATATATATATATATAAAATCGTTTATCAAAGATAAATGATATTATACTCTTCATAGAAAAAAAACTCAGAAAATACAAAATCAAGAAAAACTTTATTACGCGATTATTGTTAACATTGATATATAAATAATATTTAGCTAAATAAACGTATAAAAGCGTAAAACAAGAAAAATATAAGAAACGTATAAATAATTATTTAAAATGATCTCATTTTTTATTACAACGATCGATCGAATATATCTTAATTGATATAATTATACGGAATTGGAAATATTGTTAACGAGATTCAAAATTGGCGCTATCTTAAAGTCACCTGTACAATATTTAATCATTTTTCTTTGGATGTTTCCGTGGAAAAATATTAAATGTATTTAAGAGCACACAAATCTTGAGCGACCTTCTGATGGTCAAACATTGATTAAATTATATTAGTTTTAATAGTGATTACATGTGTATTCTATGAACGTGTTATCACAGTTAGTTCTAGTTAATCGTGTATATTGTATATACTACGTTTGACTCTGGGAAATTTCAAAGCTTGAGAATTTATTTATAGTATAAGTACCATGTCGTATCGATACAAACCTCGTGGACCTTTTCTACATTGGATCATGTCATTCGCCTTCTGATTCAGCACAATTAGAGACGTTTCAATTACAACGCATAATATCTTTTAATAGTTAATGTGGTGAACGACACTAAGGGAAAAATTAATATATTGCTTTGTATTTCATTGTTTGTTTTTTTTTTTATATTATTGGGTGGACTCTAATCGAAGATGAGGAAATTACGATCAAGTATTTTTCATGACATTTATAATCAACCATATGATGACTATTCCAGGCATAAGTTGTACTCTAGCAGCAAAGGTAATTTACTTCAATATACTTGAAAAGAAAATTTAAACAAATTTATTTTTACTTAAAAGATATTATTAGCGACAAAGATAAAGTAAAATTTAATTCAAGCGCAAATGCTGATAAGTACTTGAACTTTTTTATATTAAATGTCTTTTCTTTTCTTCGATCAAGTTTACAAATCAATACTTTTTCATGATTTTATTTTTTTAGGGTATTAATTATTGTTCTTGGTATTGCAGCTAGCTTACAACTTATACAACGTATGTCATTGGTGAAAAGATTAAAAGTTCATAACGGTTGTGTCAATTCTATATGCTGGAATAGTACTGGTAATATAATATTATCTGGTAGCGATGACCAACACCTTGTGCTTACCGATGTTTATAATTATCAGGTATGTATGTCTCTGTAATAGCATAATTTTATATTTCAGTTTATTCATTTTTATTAATTTTATTTGTCTAAATATGATCAAATTTATTTGACCAATATATTACTATTTCTAAGCATCTATTTGAAACCGGTATATATAAACGAATTAAGGAAGTAGTAGAATATGATAAATTGTAATTTAGAGAATTTATTTTATTTCCCATATATTTCTAGACCTTGTTAATCAAACAGTGCCAAGATTATTTTTAACCTTACCCTTGAAAATGTTCAAATAGTAAGAATGTCATATTTATGTATAATACAATTCACTAGTTTCTTTAAACAAAAAATTATACTTATTATACTTCAGCGAGATATGTTCTATTAATTGAACAATTTTATTTATATACGTATGTTTTTATACGAAATTTAATCACTTTATTCAGGTGATATGTATTGTAATAATTTTTGCTTTTTGTTGATTAAATCATACGAAAAAATCATTTTTATATTATTCTTTTTTTTAAATATATATTTTTAATAATTAATTTAATTAAGTCAAGGTCCAACATTGGTATAGTTAAAAATGCAATAGTCTTGCCAACTGAATGGAAATTTCTCAATGTACTTTAATCAATGCTATTTTAGTCATGCATTGTCATAGATCTAGAATTGTTTATCTAATTAACAACTTGTAATACTAATATTATTACTAAGATGTTAATTTACTAGCACGTATAGATTTATTTCTTTATTTTATTGTACAACACGAATGATCATGCGATATCTAATTGAAAATGTATACATTTCTTGCAGGTTTTAACTCATCATAAAACAAGTCACAGAGCTAATATATTCAGTGCCAAATTTTTGCCAAATAACGGTGACCACCGTATAGTCTCATGTAGCGGCGATGGCATTATTTTATATACAGGTTTCAATTATAATAGAAAAATAAAACATATTTAAATAATTCATGTCAAGTGATATTAAAATGATGTTATATTATTTTGACAGATTTAATGAGACGAACAGAAACGTTTCATAATCAGTTTGCATGTCATAGCGGTACTACCTATGAAGTAGCCACAATACCAGGTGAACCTCATAGTTTCTTAAGTTGCGGGGAAGATGGAACTGTGAGATGGTTTGATCTCAGAGTAAAGGAAAAATGTAATGTGGCAAGATGCAGAGAGGTAAAATAATATATACAAAACTAAATTATTATGAATAAGGTTTGCAACAAATTTGTTATTTATTTTACAGGATGTATTAATTTCTTGCCAAAGAGCTGTGACTGCTTTATCCGTTAATCCTGTAATGCCTCATCAAATTGCAATTGGTTGCTCGGATAGTACCGTCAGAACATTTGACAGAAGAATGCTTGGAACACAGGCTACAGGTAATTTCAATATATTAAAATATAAATTGTTACCTAACGACATTACTAAATATGTGTATCACATATTGTAGGCTGGACAGATAGCAGTGGATCCGTAAGACCACTATGCAGTTTTACAGTGCCAGAATTTGATGGGAATTCTTACAGAATAACATCCTTAAGTTATAGTCCAGATGGACAAGATGTTCTTGTTAGCTATAGTAGCGATCATTTATATTTATTTAGTATGAAGGTATTTATATATTTTATTAGTGTTTTATCCATACTGAATGAACTCCAATTGTGAGATATAAAACTTTGACATTATTACTGTGCTTGCAGGATCAAAGTAACGTACACTTAAGAAAAGATATACAAATGGGAAAAGGCAAAGGTAAGAAACATCCATTGAGATCTCCTCAGCCTGTACGTCGATTAAGATTACGAGGAGATTGGTCAGATACAGGACCGGATGCACGTCCCGAACGAGAGGGTGGTCGACGTAGCGGAACAGGTATTATAATCTTATGATTTTTATTAATTAACAATGAATATGTATCCTTTTTTTTAAAAAAATCTTATTGGTATCTTATATCTTTTTTGAAGAAATTGCTCAAGCAAGACCAACTTTACATACTTCATTGATGCAAAGGATGACAGATGTCCTTAGCAGAATGTTGAATGATCCAGCGACGCGTGCTGCTTTAAGTGGTGGTGGAGAAGATAGTTTAGAAGGTGTTATAGATCAACAAGAAAATAGTCAACGTAGTAACGATAATAGCACTGTGCCCAACGTAGATGCTAATCGTGAACAACAACAAATAGAAGCAGAAACAGAAACAGACAGTGATGTACAAGCGCAAGAACATATGTTGTCTCTTGATCAATCTGAAACTGCAAGAAACGATGATCATCAAGTTTCAACTGACATGGCAATACAAGGTTCATCTGTTTTAACGAATAACTTTAATACAGAAGAACCAATAAACAATGATTTGGATGATATTCAAGCGACAGAAACTCAAACTAATTTGTTAGAATCGAATAATAATACCTCGAATAATTCAGCAGAAACTAGAAGCAGCGATGGAGAGTGTGATACAGAAGGAGAAAGTAGCAATGCAGAGACAAGTTGTCATAACGATAAGAGAGAAGAAAATATGATGGAAAATCTTCAAGATAGATTAACGACTATGAGAGATGGATTTTTAGAAAGACATGGAAGTGAACCAGCTGTTAGTTTAACATATTCTGATAAAAGTTCGACTAGGGCTACTATATCGTTAGGTGTAGCGAATGAAGTTATTCGAGATAGTTATCACGCAGGTATGTTTTGTAGATTTATCTTATTCTTATATATATTAGATTTATTAATTAAATTGTTATTATTTTTTAGGACCATCTGGAAGTCAAAGTACTGAACGTCTTGATCCAGGCCCAAGTAATAGTTATAAAAAACGTATGTTATATAGAAGTACTCAAGAAAGTAAGTACGGGTGATGTTAGTTTTCATAGTAATTCAGAAAGTTTAATATTTGTCGTTCCTTTTTTTTTTATAGAGAGTGATGACAGTGCTTATATTGATAGCGACGACGAGGATGTACCAACCCATCATAGGTAAGTAAAAATTAAATCGAATAATTATTATAATAAGTATTTAGAAAGAGAGATATACGTTACGATATATGAAAATGTTTTCATTAGATTGGTACATCCAGTTGAAGCTGAAATGGATGAAGCTATTGCAAATGCTCGTACGTCACAAGGCCAGGAATCATTCGATGAGACATATTTAACAGAGCTTTGCGTTAAACAAAAATATACGGGCCATCGAAATGCCAGGTATGAATTATTTATTGCGTTAAATATTAATGAGAATTTGGGACATGCACGTATAAATGATATCAAGCAAGTATATTCATTGGATAAGATTGAAATGAAAAGAATTTATTTGAATATTAATATCATTTCAAATAATAGTAAAGAAATATGTAAGAAAGAAGAGGAAATGCAGAGTGTTCAATCTATACGTATATCATCTTGTGATCGTAAAATTAACACGTCTTTGTCAAAGATTTCCAAAAGTGATTAATGAGAAATAAAATAATTAGATCAATTTGGTGATCTTATAGACAATTTAATAATTGTTAACAATTGTTATAAAAACAAAATCTTGATTGAAACCAAATCCAATTAGCGAATTTGGACAACAATAACCATGTCCCCTCTTACAATTCATGTGTAATTACATTGTCTATTGATTATTTCCTAAGATTGATCGGAAGCCAAATAATAGACGTATCATTTTCCGAAAAAGCCTCCGAGCGGACTGGGCTATGTCTCATAGGCCCATTAAAATTTCTGATCAGTTGTCCTTCCCTGGTTTGACTCTAGTTTCTTTAGGACCATGATCAAAGAAGCCAATTTCTGGGGAAACGACTTCGTCATGTCGGGTAGTGATTGTGGACATGTATTCGTATGGGAAAGAGACACTGCAAAATTATGTATGTTGCTCGAAGCCGATCAACATGTTGTTAATTGTCTCCAACCACATCCTTATCTACCAATGTTGGCTACATCAGGAATTGATTATGATGTTAAGTTGTGGGCACCTACCAACGAAGAGTCCACTTTTGACGAGAAGTTTGCCGAAGATGTGAGTTACAATTTTAATTATAATATTAAATGATTTATATAAATATTGAAATATTATTAATACATTCATCTTATTCTTATCATATTTTTAGTTGAAAAAGAGAAATGCTGTTATGTTGGAAGAAACCAAAGATACGATTACAGTACCTGCCGTTTTTATGATCAGAATGTTGGCATGCTTGAATCAGATACGCAGAGGTAGTAATAATTTATGACGGTATAGAGCAGGATTTTTTAATTAGGGTCCACTGTGTATTTCATAAGTTACCAAATATTATTCATCAATATGTTTTATTCATTTTTTTGGTCCCATTTATTAGCGCGTTTTAATGCATTCCAATTATTTTTAAACCTATACTCTTGAATTGATGTTTTTTTTAAATTTTAGATTTTTGTTATTTCCTTATACTTCTATAGGAGTAAATTTAATGCATATTCTATAGATACATAAATAAAATTATATATATATATATATAAGGAAACATATATTTGCTTTATATTTTAATTGGCGAAAATGATCAATTACATCTATGTTTTGTAGAACCTAATTGGCTGGTAATATAGCATTTCTAAAATTGTAGTTACAAAAAATAAAGATTATAATACAGACAAATTGTATTTGATATGATGATAAACTAAGGAATGTGCATTTTGAAACTTCTTAATATGATTTTGATTGTGTAGAAAGAAAGTGAACGAAATTATATCCCTGTTTTAAAAAATGAATAAACGAATAGATGTGTTCAAAGACGTTTGATTTAATTTGAAGAATTTTTGTTTGGATTAATTGTTGAAAAAGTTCTTTCTTCAATGGAGAATTATGGAATTATGAAGACGATTGCTAGAAGAATTCATGTCTTTCAATAGAATTGCGATTATTTTGTAGGTCGCGGCCGCAGCCGAAGGAGAAGCGGAGACGAGAATGACGAATTGCGAGGTGGATAATACGTTTTCGAAGATCTCTCATACAACTGTTAAAAATTATAAATTCAAGCCTAAGGTAACGATGGTATCCATGTACATATAGAACATTTATATTTTTCGGCCTTTTAGAATACCAATTCTGGAATATCCAATTCCGAATGAAAATAAATAGAATTGTGTAAATTTTAGTCTAGGCAGTCGAATATTTTTAAAACTGTTTGCGAAGAAAAATCCAACGAAATTAATAAAGATAAAGGAAACGAGACGACAGAGATTTTTTAGGTCCATTTCTTTGCTGGTATAAACTTTAAGTATAACATTTATGTGAATTTCAATTCTTAGTATATAATCTGTAATACTCATTAACGCAAATTAAGAATTATTTGAAATAGAATTTGTGTCTGCAATAAAATTCATTCTCAGATTATGACATTTAATATATTCGCTGTTAATGTTTAAAAATAATCTGTTTCTTTTTTTTTTTAATTATAATGTGAGAGACATTTGTTTAGTACATTCATTGTTTATTAAATATTGTAGATAATTTTAATAACAGAACGAAAAGCGAATATGTTAAGGGATGCTTCGTAAAAGATAAAATAAAATTTTATTGTATCAAATGATTCTCTATTTTTAATTAGTTTGGTTTTTATTATCAAGTGTTATCAGTAGCGTGTAATTGTGTTTCACTTTGCCTTTTAGTTTTAACGAAGCAGAGATGATAGCATTTACGATAATTAAAGGTGCGATGTGATCTGCTCTATTGGAATGTAATTTAAAAAGAAAAAAAGGACACAAATTATTTATATATGCTTGACAAATAATATAAGCGTAGGGTACATTTGTGCCGGTAATTGTAATAGTAGACTGTGAGTAAAAAATTGAATGAAATTCATTTTATCATTTATTTTGTAATATAAATAATTTTAATATAAACTAAGTTACACATAATCAATTTTATTTTATTTTTTGAAATACTTTTTTTCAAGTCCATTCTAATTTTGGAAACTAATTTTCTGAAGAATAAGAATTAAAAAAATATAAGAGAAGAAATGCAATGTTAATCGTGATTGTTCATTTAGTTTGTCCAGTAGGACAAAACAAACAATCAGGCGTGCCTTAAAATTGGTCTTGGCTTCTTTTGCAAACCAAAAAACACAAACATAAAAACGAAATAGAATAAATGAATTAATATAGCAATCCAGTTGCGCTTCCACCTTTTAACGATAGCACCACTTAAAGGTGTCAAAGTAGTATTACAAGTGTATTCAAAATAACGAGCATTGTATACTTAACTATGGATCCAATGTATGTTCCGTAATATACATTAAATTGATTTTATAACAAACAAAAAATATGCCTCTTTTGCGATGGAAGATATCTTGTATACGCGTGCACAACGGAACGAAGAAAGAAAAAATTTATTTAAGATTATTATTTAATATATATATAATGTGTACACGGTTTGTTTTTTCTTTTCTTTCTTTTTTTTGCAATAAAAAAGGTGTGGAAAAAGAATCATTTACCTTCTCGTTGTTTGCTTCACTGGTCGTTCGATCATCACTGGTTTTTTAATTAATTCGAATTAACTTCGAATCGTAAGCAGATTAACTAATAAATGAATAATATTTTTTGTCGATAAAGCCCACCAGCCAAGGAGGAATCGGGGCCCTAAATAAAAATGTCGGCAGTATTTCACGGAGATGTATTTCTTTCCTCTTTATTTCTTTGAACATTGGGGACAAAAGTGTTTTTTTTTTCTTTTTTTTTTCAAGTAATCAATCGCTTATCCGTTTACCGTAAATTCATAATATCTGTGTTAATAATGAATAGATTATATTAAATATACCGATGAGAGAAGATTGAATAATTAATTTTTAGTGTTAATCGCGTTTCCTCGAGATTATTATTTTAAAATACACATACGGTTCCTCGGTTCGTTCGATCCTTCTGAAGCTGACAATTTCTTTTTCTTTTCTTTTACATCCAACGTGTTATTTTTGTCCTTTTTTTCTCTCTCTTTCTCACACACAGACACACTACATACATACGTACACGTACACTCGCCGCATACATTTTATTTCTTTCTCATTCTCTCTCATACATTTTACATTATTCACGTATTAGAATCTTGATCGAAGAAACAGCTCTTTTTTTGTTTTTTTCTATATTTCCAAATTTCTAATGATATTGTTTCATGTTCTTCGTACGCGTTGAATTAAACACACGCACACACATGCGCATACATACATACGCAGCAGCACATGATTTTTTAACATTCTCGCCTTTTTATTTGTATCTCTTTCGAAAAAAGTGGTCGTAATTCGTAATTATTAATTATTTTACATAAACAACGACACACGTACCTAATGATTCACAATAATAACCATGTAATGACGATGATAATAATAATAGTAATAATAATATAATAATAATAATTAGTTATAATAATGGTAATAATAATAACAACAACAACATCAACAATAATAATAATAATAATAATAATAATAGTTAATCATTCTATTGGGATAATAAATTTGAATGATTATTAAAATCTATAAAATACGTTGAATCGGAGCACAGCTCGGCTATCATTTAACGAGCCATATTATTTTTCTGTCAAGCGAAATGATGTAAATAGAGAAAAAGAGTTTCGATTTATCGAGTCTTCAGAAAATCTACTACGCAATACATATATACTACATACATTATTCCGTTTCTTTTTTTTTTCTTTCATTTTACTAATTTCTTTTTTCTTTTTTTTTTTCTTTCATAATTTTTATCCCTTTTTCTCTTTTGTCATCGCAAAACAGAAATTGTTCTTTCTTTCTCATTCCTTTCTTTTTTTTCCACCACAAATTTCACAAGAAACTACCTTAGCGAGCAAATATTTAATTTAATTGGCCAGCCAATCGTAAATGCACATAGAGAGAAAGAGAGAGAAAGAGAGAGAGATGGAAACTTTTATTTATAAAACGCGAACCAAGTTGCACAAATATTATATGTAATATAAATAGACTCGTCTCGTGGAAACAAAGGTTTCTTTTCTCTATGGAAATTAATGTTAGTAAAAAAAAAGGAAGAAAAAAATCACATAAAAGAAGTATAATCAAAAGTTTAAACAATAAAACGGTTCTAGGTGCGAGAGAACAATGCACCAACATTTTCTTTCTTCATTTTTTCGCTCGCCAAGCCGTTTTCTTTTTACGTGTAATTAATTTCATTCTCATATATATATATACTACAAATATACGTATGTATATGTATATATATGTTAATTGTGTAATAACACTTGCATACATTCGATTTAAAACGCAATACACTTACACCAAAAACGTATTTTATATCATCGATTGTAATGATTTTTTATTTCTTGTATTTTTTCGCTGATAGCTATTGAAATCTAATGCAAGTATCATGCGCATACACGCATACACATACATACGCACATATATTCATCGCAATTTCGTATCGCGCGTGACGAGAAAAAACATTGATATACAAAACAAATGAATTTGTTTTTTTTTTCGCTATTTTAACTTTCAAATCGTATCCTTCCTTTTTTATTTTTAGTCGAAATATATATTAAAATACACATACATAATTCGTAGGCATTCATAGGGAACGTAACGATTGATATAAAACATCGAGGAAGCGCGGCCATTTTAAATAGAATTTCAACGAGACGTGGATAAGATCGTGTTTTTTTTTTTTTAAGAAGTTGTACAATAAGAAGGTGTTATAAATTGATTAATTTTGTTAATTCGTTCGTTCATGTGTAATCGAAAAAATTCATGTCGAAGATAAAAGAAAAATTGCAAAAGAATAGACTAAAAAACGATTGGAAAAGAAAAAAATAACGAATAAAAAATATCGTTGATTTTCTCGATTGATTATTATACTCGTATCACTTCCCCACACACACGAGCACACACACACACGCACGCACACGTTTTTCTTTAATTTATAATTGATACGCGAAAATGAATTATATATGCATTCGGCCAATTGCGTTGGCATTGCGAGGGACAAATGTATCGAAGTACTTACTTACATACAAATACGAGTCAACGTTTAGCGACGATGAATAATCATACATATTGGAAGAAAAGGAAAAAGAAAAATATTTATATAGTATATATTCACTTATTTATATACATATGTGGCCAAAGTAAATTAACAAATGGGAAGAAAAATAAAATAAGTAAAAGATAAGAAAACAAAGTTAAAAGGAAAAAAAGATTTGAATATACGGAATGTACGATTTGCGAGAGCCCTGTGTGTAACTTTGACGAAAAATCATCCTATTTTTAATATATTTTATATTATTTTTATTTTATTTAGTTACTTTTTATTTTTTTATGGTTATTTCATTTTTTTTTCTTCTTTTTTTCTTTTTTGTCTTTTAAATACTCTTTCTAAGGTTAAGGATAATTATTGAAAAAGTCATCGAAATGTTTAGGATGATCCGAAAAAGTTCTTGACAAGTGTCGAAAAATCTTCGAATCTAAAAAGAGCTAAATATATTTTCTTTCTTTCTCTCTTTCACTCTCTTTCTTTCTTTCTTTCTTTCTTTCTCACTCTCTCTCTCTCTCTCTCTCTCTAATTATTCTTACTTTTTCTCCGGGTAAATACTTCGTTCGTTAAGTATTTATTAAATACGATTAAAGTTTCGAACAAAAGGTTCGCGTAGCTTTTTTTTTTCTCCTACATATGTATTTCTAATTTGAAATTCTCGTTCGTCGCGTAGTCGTCTTGTGGAAGTTACGAAATAATAAATAATCATTGCTAAATTTCCACGGGCCTTCCGGGAAGCGGATTAGTTTAGATTATAACGGTTCAAAACAATGATGACGTTCGGTTTCGATTAGTTCAAACATTTATGAGAATCGAAATGAAATTTTTCAACTGTTACGGATGGATATAAAACAACAATCCTCGTTCATATCGATATCGGTTTCGGGGTTTCAGTTTTCTGATTGTATCGATTTTATATTAGTATTACAACTGTTATTTTTCAGTTCTGTATCGAATCGAACCGTAATTGATACAGACAAAATACCATTAATTATATCGATTCGAAAATATTGAAATGTGTAAATCGATATGAGCGAAAATTATTATGCCGATAACAATTAAAGAATTGTTCTTTTTCATTACTCTCATAATTGTTTTATTTATAAACTGATATAATATAACAGTAAGAAACAGTTACTTTCAAAACCGTTAGAATCCCTGGTTTATTAACTTACACCTCATTGTTTCAGGTTTTCAACTATTTTAATTATTTAATTTTTTTTTTAACACAAAAAATGGAAACCAAAAAATCATGACAACAAAAGAAATGATAAAGAATGAAAAGAAATGTAAATAAAGTAAAGAAACGCGGATGGTGGTAGGTGCATTATCAAAATTTCGTGCGTGTTGTGCATCAAGAAGTTTCATTTCGAATTAAGTATAATATCTAAAAAACGGGGATATATTTTAAAAAGCTTATAGATTTTTTCGTCTAATACATTCGCGTTTAAGGATTTATAATTTGATAAATGTGTCATTTGTATTTGCGTGTGTGTATGTACGTATTCGTGTATAGAAGTGTTTTTTAATAAAGAACATCGTTAGTAACGATTATTTTTTTAATTATGAAACTGCCCGTACTGTCGTCTGGTTGGACGAAAAAAGAAGGTAAAAAACAAAAATTAACAACAATTAACAATAAAAAAGCGAAAAATCGTCATCGTAGCTCTGATTATTTCGTACGTATTTTTGCTTTCCTCTTTTTGAAATAACTATAATTCGATTAGTATTAATAATATAATAATAATAATTATAATTATAATAGTAGTGTGATTTTCTCTTCACCTCTTTCGTGATCTTCTTTTTCCTTTGCGGTAGTGATATACATAGTTTAATCTTAGTAGTCGTTAACGTTAATGATAATCGTATATAATAACAATAATAATAATAATAATAATAATAATAATAATAATAATAATAATAAAACAATAAATGGTTTTTTATACAACAATCACACGTAGAAGCGA